ACCTTTTCAAAGCTCTTTTAGCCTGTTTTGGGAATTTTGGGGAATTCTAAAAGTTGTAGGTCAAAATAATCCGTTGAGTACTCTGGCTTACTCTTTTTAGAAACAACTAATGCTTCAATAAACCTACACTTTTTACAATTGAAAAGCCCTATTTTATCCGCTGTCTTATGGGTTCGGTGCTCTGCGGGAAAGATTTCGATCGGATACTATGGAAGAGGGGCCACATGGAATGCTGGCTGTGTGCTGGCTGGCTGGCTGTGTGCTGGCTGGCTGGCTGTGTGCTGGCTGGCTGGCTGTATGCTGGCTGGCTAGCTATTTGCTGGCTGACTAGCTGTGTGCTGGCTGGCTGGCTGGTTGCCGGTGGCTTTGTCGAGCCATTGGCTTTGGAGAAACACTGTGAACGATCCTATTATTGGGCGGTTCGTTTAAGTAACTTTCTGTTACTATAAATCCGAATTCTGGAGCGTTGAAAGTACCTATGAATTTGTTCTATTTTATCTTCTAAAAGTAGCTTTTAATTTTTAAAAGGGGGAAAATCCAAATCCTACTGAAAATTTTGGATTTTTCCCTTGCTCAAATTTTGTTTAGCAAAGTTGCTTTAATCGCTCTACAATTGGCATCATTGAATTCTCCATGAAATTCTGGCTTGTTAATGTGCCATTTGGATACCTGCTAGCCATCAAGATCACCGAGGAATTCAGCTCCAAAGTTTGAGTCACAGTGACCACTGTGAGTCCAACTTTGGAACTCGATTTCTCGATGATTCCTGAAACTTTTGTCTCATCCAAATCGCACATTAACAAGTCAGAATTTCATAGAGAATCCAATAGTGGCAATTGCGGAACGAAATTTTCTAAACGAAGGGGGAAAATCCATAGAATCCTACAGAAAATTTTGGATTTTCCCTGCTCAAATTTTGTTTAGCAAAGTTGCTTGAATCGTTCTGCAAATGGCACCATTGGATTCTCCATGAAATTCTGGCTTGTTAATGTGTTATTTGGATACCTGCTAGCCATCAAGATTATCGAGAAATTCAGCTCCAAAGTTCGAGTCACAGTAAGTCTTGTGACCGGTAATGAAAAGTCAACTTTTAGACTGCGGATTGGTCTGAAACTCGAGGAAAACATAATTTCTAGCTGTTTCTTGGTATTTCTGAACCCAAGTCTACTGAATATCTTGTCAATTCTCCAATTAAAGCAAAAGAAAATGTTTAATTTGATTTTTAACAGATAAAAGATTAATCTAAAAGGGCAAAAAGTCAAATAAAAAAAGTTTGTGGCCAATTTTGAGAAAATTGACCAAATTGACCAAACATATTGACCGAGAGAAGAGGGAAAAATTCCGCAAACAGATACAAGAAAAACTCATGAGAATAGGAGAAATGCGAAGGGGTTAGTTGATCAATTTTTCAGTATCGAAAGTTATGAATGGTCGTTTGAAAATGGGGAAATATATGTTGTGTCCGATTTAGATTTCCGTCCGATTTCGATTCAATCTAAATCTTATATAGATTGAACAATAATATAAACATGTTTAATATATGTTCTTAAGCGTTTTCTGTAGTTTTCTGCATTTTTCAAAGGTCTTTTATTGATTACAGTCTATATCGGACGTCCGATACAGATCGAACAATAAAAAACGCAGAAAAGCGCAGAAAATAGCAAAAAAAACGCTTAAGAACATATATTAAGCATGTTTATATTATCGTTCAATCTATATAAGATTTAGATTGAATCTAAATCGGACGGAAATCTAAATCGGACACAATATATACATGTTTTGGTGTTCGGTGAGTTGTTGCCGGCTTTCAATCTCTCTCCGCCGATTCAAAAAGCCGATTTACCTAAATACCTATTGGAAAGTTGTATAAACAAGTTTTAAAATTGAAAATTGAAAAAATTGGAAACTTTAGTAGGAATTTTAGTAGGAATTTTCTTGTTGTTGATCGATTGAAAACGAGTTCTCAATCTATTGAAGTTTTGAGGATTTGATGGAATATTGAACACTGATAGGAGGAGTTTTCTCGTGAATCCCAAGCACCAAAGCTTGAGCTGATCCTTAAAGCCAAGCCAAGCCATTTGGCCATAGTTTTTCTGGTTAAAACTGCTTTTTAAACCCTAATTGCCTGACCTGAGTTGTCTGCAAGGTCACACGTCAAACGAGTTCTCAATCTATTGAAGTTTTGAGGATTTAATGGGATATTAAACCCTGATAGGAGGAGTTTTCTGTTCAATACCAAGCATCAAAGCTAAAGATTTAGCTGATCCTGTTAGTTCAACTAAAGCCAAGCCATTTGGCCATAGTTTTTCTGGTTAACCGGCTTTTTAAATCCTTATTGCCTGACCTGTACAGACTTTTCTGTAAGGTCAGACCTGATAATTCAATACTCTATATATTAGGTTGATGCAAAAGTCTTTTTCATTTTTTTCGTACTTCTTTTGAAAAATAACAAAGTCATCAATTAACCTATGGTTTGCTCTAAATGAAAAGTGTTTATTGTTGAATTTCCCATCTTTTTAAGTCAATTTGGGTTCACTTTCAAGCAGTGAAAACGGGTTTTTCATAAAAATCTATAAAAACCTCTATAAAGAAATTGGCTGAATGAATTTCTCTGAAAATCTGAAAAGATATCTAACTTTTTGTGCTCTATCTTTTATTTATTAACATCAAGATTGGTTTCCTTAGCTAAAGCGTCTAAAATGCATCATCGAGCCGTCGCCTTTTTTGACTACCCGACTTCAGGCTCTCAAAAAAATCTAGACATAAGACATTTGAAACTCGTTTTAATGTCATTTTGCAGAAAGAGAATTGGCCTTTCGAATGCAATAAGCCGTTTTTCAATTTGTGCATTTGTTACTTTTTAACGGAAGTACGAAAAAAATGAAAAAGACTTTTGCATCAACCTAATAGTAAATTGTGTTTAGTAAATTTCCATTTAATCCATTTGTCTTTGTCGTTTTTTGTTAATTGCAATTTTCTTTTAAAAAAGAATAAATAGGTTGGAGTTGGTTGGAACCAAATGTCTGAGCCTGCGGTTCCTCTCGTACTAAGGTGACCACTTGGTAGGATCAACCAGATATCTGAACTAAGATATGCATGGCTTAGTCTTACAACCTAATATCAACCTATCAACCTAATAGTAAAGGATTTAAAAAAAGGTAAAAGATAAGTTTAAAACGTTGAAACTGTATGAATCAGCAAAATTCATGAAACCTTTCCGTGTTCAAATGAAAGAGAAAAGGAAAAACCTTCCCTCAAAAGGAGAAAAAGGGGAAAAGAAATGGCCGACTCATCCACAAACAAATAGCATTCAATATTTCGATTGGGAAGGGAATCGAATTTCGGAGATTCAAACGAAATATAGTTTTGAAGAAAAAGAATTGAATTACGACATGATAAAGTTTATTTATTCGACACGAATAATGAATGACAACACAACGGAGGAAATTTTTACCCCTAATTACCCCTATTCCCGAAATGTTGTTAAGAAAAAAACCCATAATAAGGGGAAAAAGAACCAATCTTTCTAGGATTGAACGGATTGAAAGCCAGGATTGAACCCTTAACCCCCCGACTAGGAGATAAGACTCTTATCCGGTCGGCTACGACGGCTAACACTTAGGAAATCATTCTGAAATCAAAAATTATATATGTATCCTAAGTGATCTGCGTTTAGGAAAGAAAGTAGAAAGTAGTAGTAGTGGTTTGGAGTCTGACTGACGCGCGAGTACGGTCCTCCTGTCTAGTCGGACTACAAAAGACTGTAACTTTCTTTAAAATTGATATTTTTGGGTGTGCTTTATTCCATTCGAAAGCTCTTAAGATTCTCTATTTTTTAAGCTATAGATCATGTCAATCCAGTAGATTTGAAGCAAGTTAGAAACGTTTATAGTTTACGTTTGTAGCTGGTAGTGTCCAGATCTACTTTGTTGAGTGAAAGTCTTGGGATCGTTCTTTCATTCTATGGTAGAAAATTCTGAGATATTAGCTATCAAACGAATCCGAACTCAAACAAAGTTTTGTACTGTTTTGTATTGTATTGACATGATCTATAGCTTAAAAAAATAGAGAGTCTCAAGAGCTTTCAAATGGACACCGAAAAATAACAATTCTAAAGAAAATAGCAGTCTTTTGTAGTCCTAATTAGAAACGGACCGTACTCGCGCGTCAGTCAGACTACAAAAGACTGTAACTTTCTTTAAAATTGATATCTTTCGGTGTGCTTTCTTCCAATCGAAAGCTCTTAAGATTCTCTATTTTTTAAGCTATAGATCATGTCAATTCAGCAGATTTGAAGCAAGTTAGAAGCGTTTATAGTTTACGTTTGTAGTTTTTCAATGTTATAATAATTATTGTTATTAAAAATATCAATGCTAAAGAAAGTTACAGTGGCTTGTAGCCTGACTGACGTGGGAGTACGGCCCGTTTCTAGTTAGGACTAGAAACAACTGTAACTTTCTTTAAAATTGATATCTTTCGGTGTGTTTTCTTCCAATCGAAAGCTCTTAAGATTCTCTATTTTTGAGCTATAGATCATGTCAATTCAGCAGATTTGAAGCAAGTTAGAAGCGTTTATAGTGTGACAGTTCGTCATTTTTGTAGTTTATAGTGTCCATATCTACAAGTATTGTATTTAAAACTGAAAATTCTTGCTTATTCACTTATTTCAGTCATAGGTCGTAAACGTTATGTTTTTAAACCCTTTTAAAGTGAAAATCTCAATTTGAGAAGGGGAAATCTTATCAAAGTGTCAGAACTGAAAAAGAGAAAAGAAGAGAGGGAACTGTAGAAGAACCTTTCTGGTGTCATACCATTGATTTTTTTTTCCTCTTCAATACTTGAGAATTTCAAAATGATCAAGTAAACTTATAAGGCTTTGATTATGAAAGAGATTTTTTAAATCTTTACTTTACATTTTCCTTCTTTTACACGATTTTTCATTTTAATTGTGACTTTTAGTGGGGAAAGAACGAAAGAATTTTCTAGAATTATCTAGAAAAATGATTCCATCCGGAATGTTTCTACTCGACACGACGAATCCTCGCTTTTACACATGTTGCCGACAAATGCATGTAAAGGTAAATACTAAAGAAAGTTTACTTTTTTAATATAGGCTAGGCTATATTAAAGGCTTTATATAGGCCTTATTCCTTGCTTGTAGTTCTGCTTAAAGTTCTGAAGGCGCCAGGCTTTATTCCTTGCTTGTAGTTCTGCTTAAAGTCCTGAAGGCGCCAGGCTTTATTCCTTGCTTGTAGTTCTGCTTAAAGTCCTGAAGGCGCCAGGCTTTATTCCTTGCTTGTAGTTCTGCTTAAAGTTCTGAAGGCGCCAGGCTTTATTCCATGTTATTAGTTCTGCTTAAAGTTCTGAAGGCACCAGGCTTTATTCCTTGCTTGTAGTTCTGCTTAAAGTTCTGAAGGCGCCAGGCTTTATTCCATGTTATTAGTTCTGCTTAAAGTTCTGAACTTTTTTTAGGTCTAAGTTTAAAAAAATCATTATTTCAGAATCATTGCTGAAAGAATAATGACTGATAAGTAAAGTAGACGCAAACTTTATATATTTGAAGTCGGTCATCTAAAGCAAGAAAAAAAAAGATCTTAAAAATAAGAAATTATTTGTTTAAAAAGATTCCAAATATGCACAAGATAACGTACTTTTAAATGCAGAAAGGCAGAAATGTTTTAAAAGCTTTCCTCACAACAATAAGTTTAGCAACGCTTGTTTATATCCGTACAACCTAATAGTTTGTTAGTTTGTTAGTCTGTTAGTTTGTTAGTCTGTTAGTCTGTTAGTCTGTTAGCTTGTTAGTCTGTTAGTCTGTTAGTTTGTTAGTTTGTTAGTTTGTTAGTTTGTTAGTTTGTTAGTCTGTTAGTTTGTTAGTCTGTTAGTCTGTTAGTTTGTTGGTTTGTTAGTCTAAGTTTTAAAAAATCATTGTTTCAGAATAATTACTGAAAGAAAGAATCAGAAAAGTGAGAACGCTTAGGTATAGAAATACGCAAAAAGAATGAAATTAACAGAATCAGAAAACTGCTTCCTTTTATACCTGAAAATTAGAAGGGATACGGTAGTTTTTATCATGCTTTAAAGCGCCAAGATTTCCTTCGAAAAAGGATTGCAAGTAAAGAAACTTAGAAACAAGATTGCTTAACAAAAAGATCAAAAAGATCCTGAATTCTAGTGTATTTTAAATGCTCAAAAAAATCGATTTGATATCTGTAGCTCGACAAACTTTTCAGATGGCTCTTTTCGTTGTGATCGTAATTCTCACTTTCCTGGAGGTTCTTGACACAATTTTGTTCATTTTCAATGAGAATTACAGTTTGGACTCGTTGACTCAAGCGATTTACGAGGTTGGCTTTAAAAGCGAAAAGAATTTCTCTCAAAAACAAGTAAATTCTAGGTCTTTGAATATGTGGTGGTCTTTTGTTTAATTCTCGCATTTATCAAGGAAAAATCGATCTTTCTGATACCGTATATTGGGCAAATGGTGAGTTCGAGAAGATCATTTACAATGGAGTAGATCATTTACAAAGAAACTTTGTCAAAATTTGCATTAACTTTAAAATTGCATTTGAAAATTTGCATACGAAAGTTCTCCTTTCTTTTCTTCAATCCAAATCTCTGGTCGATTCCTTCATTTTCTAAAATTTGCATATATTGAGTTGGTGAATTGAAAACTGCGGCACTTTGAACTAAAATTTATTCAACATAAAACCACCAATTCATTCCAAATAATTTCCACTATTATTGACGACTTCTGCCCATTTTACAGGCAGTTTGCGGATTCCTTTTTCGTAGTAGGGTTTTGGTTTGTGTGTGAGACAAGTGTGAGACTCAAAAATGGAGGACTGGAGATGTCCGATGTCTCAGTTTGAGCACTTTCTTCGAAAGAAACCCATTTTGGTGTCAATAGAAAAGTTGTAGAGAATCAAAAATGAGGCTTATAGCCAAATTTCCAAAAAGATACACTTAGTAGTTTCGCTTAAAATGCAAGTTTTGTGAAAATCCGTAAATTTGGCATTTCTTGAAAACCAGTTTTTGAATCGTTCTGAAAATTTGGATATAAGCTTCATTTTTGTTTCTCTACAACTTTTCCATTGACACCAAAATGGGTTTATTTTGAAGAAAGTGCTTAAACTGTGACATATGACAATAGCCGGCAGTTTTCAATTCATCAACCCAATAGATTGAGATTAGCCTTGATTTGAGGAGAAGTCAATGTCGAACTTGAAGATTTGGAAACGCAGAGCGAAGTGGGTTATGTAAAAGCCCTGCGCCAGACGACGTGCGATTATGCGGCCGCACAAAGAACACACAGAACATAGAAATTTTAAGGGGAACTACTAAGCGTGTCTTTTTGGAAAAAGACCAGTTTTTGAATCGTTCTGAAAATTTGGGTATAAGCTTAATTTTTGATTCTCTACAACTATTTCATTGACACCGGAATGGGTTTCTTTTGAAGAAAGTGCTCAAACTGTCACATATGACAATAGCCCGCAGTTTTCAATTCACCAACCCAATATGATATCAAAAACGTAAAAATTTTGAAAAACTAAGCACTCTGCCGTCTTTCTCATCCCTGACTACCCTTAGTTTAATGCTTTGCTCTCTGCAAAACACAAATGATGAAGCGAAATCTTGATAACAGACACAAACTGATAGACGATTATAAGATATCAGATTGAGCATTATAAGCTCTGTCTTTATCCTAGAAACGTACACTTTTAAGCATCGTGAGCCTCTTATAATGAGGAAATGGAGAATTAAGTGCATTGTAAAGAGTGTGTTTGGAATGAGCACACTAGAGAAAAGACTAATTACAGATCTTGCTCAATGTGGTCCTCGCTTTGGTGATGTTCCAATGGTTGTACACTTTCTTTTTCCCCTACAGCGATATGGCAAAACAGTTCATCGTTGACCCAAATATGGGAAGATTTGAGAGAATGGGAGTTTGTAAGTAAATTGTTGCAAAAGAAGTCAATTTTTGCGATTCTTGCAAATTTGCAGTCTTGTTCCTCGTCGGGATCTCCGTGTTGGCTTACCTGATTGTATTTTGGTTTTTGCAGGTTGCTTTTGATTGTTTAAATTACCGTTCTAGTTTTAGGTCGGTTTTTGTTGCTACATGTACTTTGAGGATCGTACAAATAAGAAGAAAACGATGGCCTCAACTCCTCAAGAAGTCACTGTTCAGGTAAAACCCTAATTGAGCCTTATTTGAATCTTTGAACCTTATTAGATTATAATGATCTAGAACAGGGAAAGATCCGGTCAAATTGAAGCCTTGAATTGCCCTGGCTTGGCTTACATGGATCAGGTTAATGTATTCGCCTGATCCTGGTCCTGGCCTGGTCCTGGTCGGCCTGGTCATCTGGTCCTGGTCCTGGTCGCCCTGGTCACCTGGTCCTGGTTTGGTCCTGGTCGCCCTGGTCGCCCTGGTCACCTGGTCCGGGTCCTGGTCTGGTCCTGGTCGCCCTGGTCACCTGGTCCTGGTCGCCCTGGTCACCTGGTCCTGGTCGCCCTGGTCACCTGGTCCTGGTCCTGGTCGCCCTGATCACCTGGTCTGGTCCGGGTCGCCCTGGTCCTGGTCTGGTCCTGGTCGCCCTGGTCACCTGGTCCTGGTCCTGGTCTGGTCCTGGTCACCCTAATCATCTGGTCCTGGTCCTGGTCTGGTCCGGGTCGCCCTGGTCACCTGATCCTGGTCCTGGTCTGGTCCGGGTCGCCCTGGTCACCTGATCCTGGTCCTGGTCTGGTCCTGGTCGCCCTGGTCACCTGGTCCTGGTCCTGGTCTGGTCCTGGTCGCCCTAATCATCTGGTCCTGGTCCTGGTCTGGTCCGGGTCGCCCTGGTCACCTGATCCTGGTCCTGGTCTGGTCACCATGTGGCCGTGACCTTTTAAAACGAGAAGGCCTAAAACTTGTAGCCCAGATATCTAGCTTTACTGGCCTCAAAGGCAAAAACTGAAAACGGATTCGGAATCAGCGTAGTCGATTCTATAAGATGGAGTTTAAAAGGTCAAGAGCACCTGGCGAAGTTCCCTAGTCAGGACTGGCTGTTGGCCTTGCCTAACTCTATTGCTTTGACCAAGATCGATCTGGAGTATTAAAAAGTACAAGGGTCTATCTGAAGTCAAATCTGGATCTTGGTAACGCCTATTTTAGGGTAACAACGGTCGCTTGACCTTGGTGAATCAACCAAATCAACCCGGAACCTCAAACAAACCACCTGAGAATCTCGATCCTTTCGCTGATCCTCTTGCAGCCACTCCATCACAGGTTTATTTGGTTTAAAAGATCTGTGACATGTGTACAGTTGTGAATAAACTAAATAAGTTAGTCGAAAATCTTACTTCAGAGCCACAAGCCTCAAACAGTTGGTGGCAATTTCGCAAACCCGAATTTCAGGTAAGGCGGTAAAGGGTAAAGTATTAGGTTGGCAACTTTCAAACTTTGACCGACTTCTGTACCTTTTTTGAATTTCAAAAGAGCTTTCTTTTCGCTTTTTGTTTTAAAACTAACTACAATATTACGTAAACAATCTTTTCTTTTCGAAATTTGATCGTTCGTTTGAAATGGAAGATCAAAATTTTGATTTGTGCTGCATTGCTCTACGATTGCATTGTTCTACGATTGCATTGCTTTACCAAAGGAAATCTACGGCTGAATCTTATCGTACAATTATTTCTATTTTTGGAGAAGAAAATATTAGCAATAGAGATTGTCGTACATGGTTTCAACGTTTTCAAAGCGACAATAAATGTCTCTAAGATGAGCCGCGTGAAAGGCTGTGTCGTGGAAGGCTCAAAAAGTGTCAAACGCGGATTTGTTGATGGAAATCGAGAATGACTCACTACTGAGTTAACGGAAATATTTCATATCTCATACTGCAATTGAAAACCATTTGCATCACTTTGGAAAGAAAAAACGGGCGGGAAGATTTCCTGGGAAAATGTGAACATGAATTGTCCCAAAGCAACAAAAGCAAAGCAACTGGCTCGTGTAAGTGTGAACTCATTCTTACTCCAAAGTATAAGGCGAAGGACTTAATAGAATCTTGACGAACTTCTGATGAAACATGGATTGATGGGAATCCTAAACGAAACCGATCGTTGTCCGGTCGAAACGAAACGTCCCCAAATCAAGAGCCAAAACCAGATATTCATGGAAAGAAGATCTTTTCACTTTGGATGACAACAAGCTGGATGGATGGATGACAACAAGGATGACAACAAACTGGATGGATGGATGACAACAAGGATGACAACAAGCTTCCATCCAAAAAAAATGGATGACAACAAGCTCGAGCTCCATGCTCTACGATTTCAGACAAGGAAAACCCTTCCCGAATCTCATCGTTCACTTGTCAAAGCTTGTCAAGCTCGTATCAGTGAAAGTCAGTGTCGTCGATGGTTTTAGCGTTTGCGAGACGGCAATGAAAGGCTCGACGATAAGCTGGATGCTCTCTAGAAATCTCAAATGACGATTTGCTCAATATTGAAATTGATCCCACATTTATGCTTCAGGAATTAGCAGAATTTTTCGACGTTAGCCATGTGACAATTGAAAACCAAATCAACTTGAGAAAAAGGTTCGATATGGAGAATGGATTCACATGGCCCAAGGTAATAAAATAGCTCGTGTCACCGTGTGCTCCATCTCCATCAAAATTGCAAATCACAGTGCAATTCTTCTTGACTCTTGACTTCTGATGAGACTTGGATCAGTTATGACAATGTCACTCGAAAAAATCAATGGCTCTTTGCTGGTGAAGCCCCGCAAACCATCCCCAATCCTGATATTCATGGAGAGAAGATTTTGCTCTGTTTATGGTGGAATTCGAAAGGATTGGTGCATTATGAAGTGAAGTATTTGGCTGGTAACTTTCAAACTTTGGTCGACTTCTGTACCTTTTTTTGAATTTCAAAAGAGTTTTCTTTCTGCTTTTTGTATTAAAACAAACTACAATATTACGTAAACAATCTTTTCTTTTCGAAATTTCATCGTTCTTTTTTCGATCCTTAAATGGAAGATCAATGGTTCTTTGCTGATCAATGGCTCTTTGGATCAATGGCTCTCCCTTTCGTTGGTGAAGCCCCGCAAACCATCCCCAATCCTGATATTCATGGAAAGAAGATTATGCTCGGTTTATGGTGGAATTCGAAAGGATTTGTGCATTATGAAGTGCTAAAGTCTGGAGAAACAGTCGATGCAGACTTTTACTCGAAACAACTAGTGAGAGTTAACGAAGCTTTAAAGAAATTTGGGATCAAACAGCCAAGACTCCGATTTCTGCACGAAAACGCTGCTAAAGTCACTCATAAGAAAAATTGAGCATGCTCTGTTGTTGGTGGAATGCAAAAGGTTTGGTGCACTGTAAAGTGCTAAAACCTGGAGAAACAGTTGATGCCAAACTTTATTCAAAGCAATTGCTTCGAGAAAACGAGGCTTTGAAGAGATTGGGGCTCAAATTTTCAAGGATCCGATTGCTCCAAAATCACAAACAGAGTCATTCACAAAAACAAATTGAAGAGTTTGGCTGGAAATTGTTGCCCCATTGTTTACCCGCGTCACCTAGCACCATCAGATTACTTTTTGTTTCGGTCGAACACTTTTTGGAAAGAGAAAAGTTCGATGATCACTTTCACTAGGGATGCTTTTCGATTTAGATCTTGTTTTTGAGCCTAGACATAGTTTTTCTGGTTTTCTTTGGCGCGGGTTTTGAATATCTAGGTTGTTTGGGGATTACGTGATTCGCAAGATATTCAGCTCCAAAGTTTACACAATTATAGTTGTCTTTTTGTTCATTTGTTACCAATTTCTAGAAAACAAAAAAGGAATGCAAGAAAAATACCCCAAAATTGTTTAGTTAGGGTTTCTACATCACAAAAAGTAAAAGAAAATCTCTGAAAGCTGGTTTGAACCCGTGAGTTAAAAGACTGAAGGCAATCACAATAACCAGTAAGCCAAAAAGTTTTCAAAGCTGCGCAAAAGCAATTTGACTATCCAAAAGCTATGCCAAAATTCTGGGTAAACTTTGGAGTTGAATACTTGCGAATTTAAACATATCATCCACAAACGACTTAGATATTTAGACTTAGATCCGGAATCAGCGCAAAAAAACCACCAGAAAAACTAGGTCCAGTCTCAAAAGCCAGGTCTAAATCGGAAATCAGGTTATAAAAGCACTCAACACAGACTTCACCTCCAAGACTTCTCAGTTTTTCAAGAATGAGATCCAGAACTTGCGCCGAAGCTAAGAAGATCAATAAAAATGGCAAATATCTTTTAGATTCAAGTTTTCCATTTTGTGTTTGGTTACTAAGTTGTTAACTATTGGATTGGTGAATTGAAAACTAAGATCCAGTTTTGTTTTGTGAGAGTTCAGGGAGATTTGGCTTTTAGCTTTCCATTGGATTTTCTAAGAATAGATTTAGAGATTTAGATCTGGAGGTAAAATTGGATTTCTTTTCATAATAAAATTCACTTTCCTTTTCATTATTACTGCAATTTTTATCCTTTATTGTTAGCTTTTGAATCCGAAAGTAAGGCTGACAGAGTAGGCTGACAGAAAGCTAATATTGGGTTGGTGAATCGAAAAACCGCCGGCTATTGTCATATGTCACAGTTTGAGCACTTTCTTCAAAAGAAACCCATTTTGGTGTCAATAGAAAAGTTGTAGAGAATCAAAAATTAAGCTTAGATCCAAATTTCCAAAAAGACACACTTAGTAGTTCCTCTTAAAATTTGTGTGTCCTGTGCGGCCGCGTAATCGCTCGTCGTCTGGCGCAGGGCTTTTAAATAACCCCCTTTGCTCTCTGCTTTATAATCTCCTCTGCCCGTTTCCGAATCTTCAAATTCGACATGGACTTCTCCTCAAATCAAGGCTAATCTCAATCTATTGGTTTGGTGAATCGAAAAACTGCCGGCTATTGTCATATCTGACAGTTTGAGCACTTTCTTCAAAAGAAACCCATTTTGGTGTCAATAGAAAAGTTGTAGAGAATCAAAAATTAAGCTTATATCCAAATTTTCAGAACGATTCAAAAACTGGTTTTCAAGAAATGCCAAATTTACGAATCTTCACAAAACTTGCAACAAAAATTGCATTTTAAGCGAAACTACTAAGTGTGTCTTTTTGGAAATTTGGCTATAAGCCTAATTTTTGATTCTCTACAACTTTTCCATTGACACCAAAATGGTTTTCTTTTGAAGAAAGTGCTCAAACTGGGCTGACAGCTGACATCTCCAGTCCTCCATTTTTGAGTCTAACACTTGTCTCATACATAAACCAAAATTCTACTACGAAAGAGGAATCCGAAAATTGCCTGTAAAATGGACAGAAGTCGTCAATAATAATGGAAATTACTTGGAATGAATTGATGGTTTTATGTTGTATAACTTTTAGTTCAAAGTCCGGCAGTTTTTAATTCACCAACCCAATAAAAAACCACAAAACGCATTTCGAAAATTAAAAGCTACTTTTAGAAGATAAAATATATGAAACTAATAGTAAGTTGTAACTAATAGCAAGCGGAAGACTTGCAAATACTTATTAGAACTATTAGCACTTGTTAGGATCTTGTTAGAACCTTGTTAGAACCTTGTTAGAATCAAGTTGACTTGTTAAAATCATTACAAACTATTAGCAAATCGATAAACCAGAGCACGAGCTTTTAAACAGAAATAAACAATTCACCAACCCAATAAAACGAATGTTTGAAAGTCGTTCTTCTTGAAACTTTAAGCAATATCTCGGCAATAGCAATTCTTGACTAGCAATTCTTGACTAGCAATTCAAGCAATAGCAATTCTTAGCTAGCAATCCCTTAACGTGAATATAAAATGCTATTTATTTATTGATTTGCAAGCACTTTCAGTCTCTCCGACGAAGAGGACGACGAGGTTTTCCAAAGTCGAAAACCCGGCAACAATCCGCCAATTGCTTGAGTTTTTCAATAAATTGTTCAATAATTTTCGCCCAATTTTCTTGTGAATTCATTGCCAATTTCTCAACAATGTTGAGACTAAACCAACATTGAGGCAAAAGAAAGCTTTAAAACTGAAAAACACATTGTAAGTGCATCAAAATACTTCTAGTTCTTATTTTTGACTTCAAATTTTTCAATTCTTGCAAATTCTTGCAACTTTTCCAATTTCCCTGAAAGAATAAACAAAGATTTATAGAATTTTTTTGCTCTTTCAACTTTTCAAGCGTCAATGAATCAGTTGATTGTTGATTTTTTGGATGATAAAGTTGATGGAGTTTGAAAAGTTGGTTTTGTTTTTTTACGATCTTATGATTATCAAAACAAGTGAAAGAAATGAATAATTTTCACTTTTAACAGCTGGTGATGGGTTTCTATTTTTAAATTATTGACTTCTTCCAGCCATTTTTGAGTCATTTAAGCTTTGATTTTTTTATCTGTCTTCGCACCTAGGTGTTCCAGATCACAACCTGCTTCCACATTTCTCTATCTCTTGCTATTGTCATCCAGTGTTTCCTATCTTGGTTATTCCTGGTTCGAAGTCTTGCAGTCTTGCTTGTGCTGGTTGTGGTTGCACTCTAGCCATCCTTTTTCTGACCATTTCTGCCACTCTTGTGCTCCGCCTCGTTGCTGGTCTTCCGATGGGCCTCTTCTGGTCTTGTGGTAGCCACTCTGTGATCCATATCGTCCATCTGTCTGTTCTTCTGGCCTCTTCTGGTCTTGTGGTAGCCACTCTGTGATCCGTATCGTCCATCTGTCGTCTGTTCTTCTGGCCACTTGGCCCATCTGAGTCTTTTTCTCTCGATCACTTTCACTGGATCTCTGAGTCCCGAGAGCTGGCGCAGATCCGTACTTCTTAGGTCTTTAAGCTTTGATAAAGCGCTGAAAGTTATGGTATTGAATAACTTTTGACTCCAAAAGTAAAATACTTTCTTAAAGTTGGATAGAACATCCGATTCTTTATTGGATTGGTGCTGAACTTGCTTCTAAAAAGATCTTTGCTTGAAAACTCTGAATTTGTATAAATTTGATTTAACTTTCTTGTTGTATATTTGATTACAACTAAGGATAGAACCAAAGTGAACTTTGTTGTTGCCAACTTGGTTATTGCTAGACTAGTTGCCAGCGCCAATCATCAGATCTATGGATAGTGTGAATGAGCAAGAGTCAAATATTAGGCTGTCCAGATAGTCTTTCCATTCCTTTTCCGTTTAAAACCAACAAATGCACCAATTATAAACGTTTGTTTGATTAGAAAAATCAATTATTTTTCTGCAAAATAACATTAAAACGAGTTTAAAATGTCTTATGTTTGGATTTTTTTGGGAGCATGAAGTCGGGTAGTCAAAAAGAGCGATGAGGATGCGGTTTAGACACTTTAGCTAAAGAAATCTAACTTGATTTCAATAGTTAAAAGATAGAGCATAAAAAGTTCGGTATCTCGCCAAATTTTGAGAGAAATTGATTGAATCAATTTCTTCGTAGAGGTTTTTATAGCTTTTTACGAAAAGCACGTGTTTTCTCTCTCGAATTTGGTTGAAAGTGAATCGAAATTGACTTTAAAAGATGGGAAATTCAACAATAAACACTTTTTATTAAGAGAAAATCGTAGATTAGCTAGTGAATTTGTTATTTTTCAAAAGAAAGTACGAAAAGACTTTCTGGAAAGCTAAATCAAGCCAAGCTTCGATCAGTTTTCACCAGATTTTCAGGTGAAGGCTGGTAAAGCTAAGGCTTAGGCTTAGGCTTAGGCTTAGGCTTAGGCTTAGGAAACTAGTTAATTCAGCCTAAGCCTAAACAAAACAAAAGCAAACCAAACCCAAGCTACAGCTTTGATTATGAGCATAAACTCAGCCTCTACTTATCAGCGATTTCTATTCAAATCAAATGATGTCTTGCACGCAAAAGATCAAGGACTCAATTTGTATTTAGAAGTTAAAAATTTGAGATTTATCTCGTCTCTTTAATTGATTTCGACTTATTTTTGAAAATTGTGGTTAAGAGAGATTTTTTTTTGGAAATTTCCGAGGACTGTTCATGTCGTTTTTTTCAAGAGATTCAAGGTCACTTTTGATTTCGGTATAGAACTGAGCAGCGGCGGCTAAATTTACCTAAAAACCTTTTGTCTCTTGTATTTTGTCCCCAAATTTTGTGTTGTGTCTGCTCTTTCCCTTGCTCTCTTGAGCCTTTTTTCTCTTTAGAAAAACAAAGGCTTGTAGCTCAATGGTTAGAGCGTCAGGAAGGAGAGAGTTGAGGGTTCAATTCCCTCCGTCTTCCTCTCTCCTTTAGCCTTTTTCTGGTTTGGAACAACAGCGTCTATAGCTCAGTAGTTAGAGCGTCTATAGCTCAGTGGTTAGAGCGTCTGGAAGTAGAGGGACAAGGATCGAGGGTTCAATTCCCCTGGCTCAGTCCTCCTCTCTCCTTCCACCGTTTTTTGCAAGAGATTCAAGGTCACTAGTAGCAGCGCCTAAATTAACCTAAAAACCTTTTGTCTCTTGTATTTTGTTCCCAAATTTTGTAAACACACCCTTTCTGGTGCACTATTTCACTTCTTATTTCCTTAAACGCTCTTTGAGTGGACTTGATTTGTAAAATTACCCTTTCTGGCACACGACTTCAATTCGTATCTCCTCGAGTCTTGTGGTGTACTTTGTGCTTCCAAAGTCCATAAATATACCCTTTCTGGTATACACAGCTACCTTATAAGACTGTCAGGGATTCCAGTGAAATAATGAAGAACTCAGTGCGCCAGAAAGGGTATATTTATGGACTTTGGAAAGCACAAAGTACATCCAAAGAGCATTTGAAGCTGACAAAGATTTTGTGCACTAGAAAGGTTGTGTTTTACGCTTTCATATTTTCATAGAGCATTCTTTATCCTACCTATAACATCAGCCTTGAAACGAGAATTTCTTTTCAATCGTTCCCCGTCTGCTTACAAAAGTTGCCAATCAAATTCTGGTGAATATCAACTTTGTTCATCAAACATTTTCAATTGAAAGGAATGGAAATTAAAAATTCCCGACAAATGTTGATTTTTCACTTCTTCTTCTTCTTCCCCTTCTTCTTCTTCTTCTTCCTCTTCTTCCTCCTCTTCTTCCTCCTCTTCTTCTTCTTCCTCTTCCTCTTCTTCTTCTTCCTCTTCTTCTATTGCAAATGTTTTCCCGTTGCTCATATTTTTCTCTAAAAAGAAAACAAATGAGACAAAAGTCGTTCACAGAAAAGTTCTAAAACAATATTTATTTCCAAATTTTGTCTGCTTTAGATTAGGTTTGATTTATTAGCTTTATTATCCAACTTTTTTCTCTTTGGAAAGCAAAGCGCCCATAGCTCAGTGGATAGAGCGAGAAGAGAGAGGAGGATGGAGCCAAGGGAATTGAACCCTCGATCCTCGAATTTCAGACGCTGTAACCACTGAGCTATAGGCGCTTTTGTTCCCAAAAGGGAAAAAGGGTGGTAGCAGAGAGGAAGACGAAGCTCAGTGGAATTCAACCTCAACTTTCTGATGCTCTAACCACTGAGCTATAGACGCTTTGCTTTTGGACGAGAAAAACGGTGGAATTGACCCTCGATCCTCGTCCATCTACTTCCAGACGCTCTAACCACTGATCTATAGACGCTTTTGTTCCCAACGAGAAAAAGGCTAAAGGAGAGAGGAAGACGGAGGGAATTGAACCCTCAACTCCCTCCTTCCTGACGCTCTAACCATTGAGCTACAAGCCTTGTACAAGCTGTTTTTCCAAAGAGAAAAAAGGCTGAAGAGAGCAAGGGAAAGAACAGACACTTTCTTTCCAAAAGGATTATTTTAGCAGAATAATTGTAAGCTGTTTTCTAAAAGCTTTTTGAAAACTACCGTAGTGTAATACTTTGCAATACTGTAATACATAATACTCCTCCAGCAAACAAGTTTCCCAACGTCACTTCCAAAGAATGCCTTCCAATTGCTCATTACTCTCATTTACAAACATCCACCCACATTCATTTTTTCACCTGCAAACTGAAAATCTCATCTTAATTGGAAAAAAAGAAAGTGATTCTAAAAATTCTTTTTATATTACTTTTTTTAGCTTTTTTTAGCTCAGGTGAAAATATTTGTTGAACATTTTAGACAAAAATTTAGTCAGAAACCACTTTTCTTTAAATATTGGGTTGTCCAGTTATGAATGCGCGTTTTTACTATTTTGTAAATTTCTCAAGATATCGAACAGATGTATATGAGTGTTATATATCATTCGAAAGCTGAAGATCTCCTCTACATTTTGATATAAAAAGCTTTTGAATTTGTTCAGCTTTTGGGCAAATTGACTCCACAAAGGGAGAGGTGGCCAAAAAATGGAAGGGTGCCTTTTATGGTGTAAAATAACCGCCCAGAAAAGAAAAGAAAAGTAAAGTTGCTCTGAAATTGTTATATTTAAAAAAACTTGTATTGATATATCTATTGGCCAAATATCAAACGGTTAACTCAATTTGAGCGGAGCCAAAACTTGATCCAAAGGCACCCTTCCATTTTTGGGGCCACCTCTGCTTCTGTGCAGTCAATTTGCCCAAAAGCTCGACAAATTCAAAAGCTTTTTATACCAAAATGTAGAAGAGATCTTCAGCTTTCGAATAATACTCATATATATCTTTTTCTTGATTTCGGTATCTTGAGAAATTTAGAAAATAGTCAAAAACGCGCATTCAGAACTGGACAACCCAATAGTAAACGCCGAAAAATTCAATTTATTAACTTTTTTTTGTTTTTTTGTTTAAAAATTGAAAGAATTTGACGTTAAAAATCGAAAATCATGAGACAAAAGGTTTAAATTAAATTTTTTAGACAATTTTCAGACAAGGAACTTTTAAAAATACGGTAATTGACTTTCAAACTAAACCTTTTTCTTTTTCGATCCGATTTTCAATAGGTAAACGATGGAAAAAACGAGATTTGGCTACTTCATCGACTACCTTTTCAGACATTTTTTTAAGTAAAAGATTTAGCTTGGAAAATTCGACTTTTCTGTAATGAGAAATCATGAAAAAAAAGTTGTCATTCAAGTGAGAAAATCTCGTTTTTCCGTTTTACACCTTTTGACAATCAAAAAAATGAACAAGTCGATTTAAAACTGTTTTATTTTCAGCTAGGATTTGTTGGGTAGATCTTCTAGTTCACAAGTTGACACTATTTATTGCCACCAGACAATATGCGTTTCGTTTTTTAAATGATTTCTTTGTTCAATTGCCAGATAATACACAAAATTCTTCTTTACTTCAGAATTCTTCTTACTTTATTCTTCTTCAGTTACGTAAGTGCTAAGACTTGTAAAGAGCTAGAAGTTACGTAAGTTAAGGGTTTTTTTGCAGAGTTTGTTATAGTAGGTTTTCCAGAGCAGTCTAGCCTGATGCCAGACCAGAGACAGGCCAGGTTCATGACGGAAAGCCTGGCGTAACTTCTAGCCTTGACTTGGCCTTGACTTAGCCTTGATTTGGCCTTGACTTGGCCTTGACTTGGCCTTGACTTAGCCTTGACTTGGCCTTGACTTGGCCTTGACTTGGCCTTGACTTGGCCTTGACTTAGCCTTGACTTGGCCTTGACTTGGCCTTGACTTGGCCTTGGCCTCTTTTAGACTTGACTTAGCTGCAGCTTTGACTGACTTTGCTGCAAAAGTTCCTGAATAGAAGCCAGTCCTGGATAGACTTCTCATTTCTCTTGGACTTTGTACAAAAAAGTTCTTTTCTTATCAAAGTTCTTTCTTTCTTGTGCTGGATTACGACTTTCATTCTTTTGTACCTTATCGATACAAACTTTCGGTATCGATACAAACCACAATTTACCTCGTTATTTGTACTTTTACTTCAACTCAGAGGGTTACTTGTATGAATTCAATAATGGGGCTAAAATGCGGAAAGCTTAGGCTTAGATTTGAGGCAAATGGACTCAAGATTCGAGAAAACTGGGCCAAAATTTGTTTGTTTGTTTGAAAGCAACAATTTCACTCATTTAACTTGTATTTAACACTGAGTTTAAACAGGAAATAAACGAATTGAAATAACGTAAATAACGAAAGAATTAGCAAAGCTAATTAGCTTTGCTTAGCTTTTGGAGCTATGCTAATTCCTGGTAAGTATTGTGCAGGATTACTGTAGATAAAGCTAAGCCAGGTCCTAAGTATTGCGCCAGGGTTACTATAGGTAAAGCTAAGCTAGTTCCTAAGTATTGGAGAGGTTTCTATTGGAGAGAGAGCTTCTAATAGTTTTTACGGTAGATAATAAAGAAAAATTGGGCTGATTGAATGAAACAGACAGTTTAATTACAATAGTTTTGTAGATGAGTGTCCTTTAAGACCAGAAAATAGCAGATTTATATTTTTATTTAGCAAATAAAGACAAATCTTATACACTACTGAACAATGAAATATGATATTTGAAAAAAGATCGTCACTTTCGCGCGTCTATAACTCCCTTGTCTTTACCGTATTTTTAAATATTAATATTACCATTGTGTAGCCCTTGAAAAGAGCTTTCAGAGAATGTATAACACTAATAGTTTAAACTCAAAGACAAGGGAGTTACAGACGCGCGAAAGTGACGATCGTTTTTCAAATATGATATTCCAGTACTGTACTTTCGAACGACTTTTGGATGTAAATTTGTAACCTTGAATGTAAAGCGCAGCTAAATATTTAGCACAGACTTCCCCTTCTCTTCTTCACAGTTCAATCTTTCCCCACAAACCAGCTTTTTTCCCATTTTATTGGTTTTTCTTCTCAACCCTCAACCATTACGCGTAAGAAGTCCAGTTTTCCGACGAAATTCCGAAATTCTCAAGAAATTTTTGATAAGAACAGTAACTTAAAAGGCTTAAAAGTTTCAAATGATTAGTAAAAACCAAGATTCGGCTATTTTCTGACGTAAAAGCAGACAATTTGCTTGTTTTTTTCAATTTTTCTCAAGCCAAGATTGTGACGCAAGCTTATCAGCAATTTCACAGCTTTTTAAATGGAATTGGGCGGAAATTTTCATTCTTTTATGTTTTGATTTTTTTTAAACTGATTCCCCACTTGTTATTCAGCTGATTAGCAAACAGTTTCAGTTTCGGAAAATCACGCTTTTTTTTAGGTGACGCGATGGGATGGCGATCTTTTTGCAAACCGAAAAATTTTCTACCGTATTTTCTGATACTTTTGGTGAAATTCGTGACGGCTGAGGAGTCGAAAAAGAAGAAATTTCAGGTGAGATAGTTTTACTTGAAAGTAAAACAGTTTAAAAAACGATTTGAATGTTTGGCAATGAATTTGGCATTTGAATTTATATTGTAAGAGGATCAAAACAGAATCTAAAGCTTTCTCCAACTTGTAATGATTGAATAGCTTTCAATTGCCCTGTTCCTTAATAATTGACGGTTTTATTGATGAGAAGTACATGCTTACTTAAAGTTTGTAGCTACCAATCCAATATGATTCACTAGTGAATCACTGTGATCACTCTGATGATTCATTAGGCTTATGGTTAGGAAACTGATTTGTTTGACGTAATTACCATTCATCTTTCACGTGAAAAGTTGAAGAAAGCTTTAGATTCTGTTTTGATCTTTGCGTACTCACCAGGCAAACTTCTTAATTTACATAAATGTTTACAAGCTTTGAGACGTACAAAGTATTCAATCTTAGGAGAAAAGGGACAAATGTTTGGAGTAAAGGAACCAAAGCTGTAGAGAATAGGAACAAATCTTTGGAGTAAAGGAACCAAATCTATACAGAAAAGAAACCAAATCTATACCGAAAAGGAACAAGTCTTTGGAGTAAAGGAACCAAATCTATAAAGAAAAGGAACAAATCTATACCGAAAAGGAACCAAATCTGTAGAGAAAAGGAACCAAATCTTAAGTAGATTAGTAGAGATTACTAGCTTTAGACCTCATTTTGTACAAGTTACAAGAAAAGGAACGAATCTTTGGAGTAAAGGAACCACATCTGTAGAGAAAAGGAACCAAATCTGTAGAGAAAAGGAACCAAATCTAGAGAGAAAAGGAAACAAATCTTTGGAGAAAAGGAAACAAATCTTTGGAGTAAAGGAACCACATCTGTAGAGAAAAGGAACCAAATCTGTAGAGAAAAGGAACCAAATCTAGAGAGAAAAGGAAACAAATCTTTGGAGAAAAGGAAACAAATCTTTGGAGTAAAGGAACCACATCTGTAGAGAAAAGGAACCAAATCTGTAGAGAAAAGGAACCAAATCTAGAGAGAAAAGGAAACAAATCTTTGGAGAAAAGGAAACAAATCTTTGGAGTCCTTTTCCCTGATTTTTTTTTTTTTTTTTCCTTTTTTTTCCTACATAAGGGGTGAGGGTCGGGCCCACTAATTTATTATGTAAAGGAACCACATCTGTAGAGAAAAGGAACCAAATCTGTAAAGAAAAGGAACCAAATCTTAAGTAGATTAGTAGATTACTAGCTTTAAACCTCACTTTGTACAAGTTACAAGAAAAGGAACCAAATCTGTAGAGAAAAGGAAGCAAATCTTTGGAGTAAAGGAACCAAGTCTATACAGAAAAGGAACCAAATGTTTGGAGAAAAGGAAACAAATCTTTGGAGTCCTTTTCCCCCTAGATTTTGTTCATTTTCTCTACAGATTTGGTTCCTACAAAACTAGGTCTAAGCCTAGTAATCTACTTTTGCTCTTGACATAATGTGGGACATGTGGGAAAATCCTCCTAATCCAGGCCTGCTACTCCAGTAGGAAAGAGCCTTTAATAGCCTTTTAAAGCTGTCGTCTAATAGATCCGTCAAGATTCGTCTAATAACGAATCCTCGGTAATTTGACGATTCCCATTTGAAGATACAGAGCCAGGAAGAGCTTGAAAGATCGCTTGAAAGATTGAAAGATTTTGCATCGAAATCCTGCCAGTTTGTTTTCCTTTTTACATGTTTATTAGATTCGCCTACTAACATATTGATTAATTTGTCGTCGATAAAATAAGAATAATAATCGATAGGATCTTGAAAAGTACTGAAGTCAAATCCAAATCGTTCTTCATCAAAAATAAATGGTGTAGGAGACTCTCTTAAGTCTTTCCAACCATCTGGATAAACTGCTTCGGAGTCAAAAATGTCAAAAAAAAAGGCTTGGTCCGCAGACGAAAAAAAAGAAAAAACGCTGTGGTTTTGAATAGGTTAAAAGACTGGTGAACTTAAACTTTTAAGTCCATCAGTCTTTTAAAGCTCTCAAAGCTCCATAAATTTTTGCAAAACGTGATCTACTAAACATTTCAGATCTTGGAGCTCAAATATGAAGAGATTAAAGAGCCAATGATCATTGTTTTATGGATCATTTTTGCGGCATCGATGAAAATTCTCTTCAATCATGTGAGATTTTTGTCAAAGTACATTCCGGACAGTGCCCTGCTCATCGTGGTCGGTTTGGCGATTGGTGGAATTTTGAAGGTGAGTCAGAAGGGGGTAAAACTAAGGAAATGAATTTCATACATAGTAAGCCTTAAACTTTGAACGAAAAACATTTTCGGGACTTTACAAAATGTGCAAAAAAGGAGTAGGTGTTAGACATTTTCAATCCGAACCTAATTCCACCCTCATTTTCTCAGTCTGCTCTTGGCCGATTGTTCTGAAATTTTGCTTACAAGTAGAGAATGCCAATTTCTATTTATAAGCAAAATTTCAGAACAATCGGCTAAGAGACGGCTGAGAAAACGAAGATGGAATTAGGTTCGCGTTGGAATTGTTCGTGGCTACTGGTTCTAGTTCTATCTGTCTATCTGCATGGTACTAGTTCTTAAACAGAAGTCTTGATCTAGAACTATGACCAGGAACTGTCTTAGCTTGGCGAAGACTGTAAGCCAGCCAGCCAGCCAGCCAGGAAAGTCAAATTAGAAATCAGATCCAGACAGAGTGCGCTAGACTCTAGATCAAGCATACAAGGCATAAACTAGGCCTAAACTAGGCCTTAAACTAGGCCGTTTCTAACTTGCTCATGTACTAGCGATTAATCTTACTAGATTTTATTGTAACTTTTCTTTAAGGCTTTGCAACAAAATCATCAAATTGGTCTTTTTTTGGTTCACTGAACTTTCCTCCCATTGACCTTTTACCCCTAGGTAAAAAGTTTATTGCAGTAGGTACTAGTTCTTAAACAGAAGTCTTGATCTAGAACTATGACTAGGAACTGTCTTAGCTTGGCGAGGCAGCTCAGCCAGGCAAGTCAAATTAGAAATCAGATCTAGACAGAGTACTCTAGACTCTAGAGCATACAAGGCATTTCGATTTCGGATTTCGGAACTAGGCGAGGATTTCGTTCCTGACTTGCTCATGGCTCTTGTACTAGCGACTTGCTCATGGCTATCTTGTACTATCGTTCCTGACTTGCTCATGCCTCTTGTACTAGCGCTTAATCTTACTAAATTTAACTTTTATTCAAGGTTTTGCAACAAAATCATAAAATTGGTCTCCTTTTGGTCTCTTTGAACTTTCCGCCCATTGACCTTTTACCTCACCTGCTAGGCAAAAAGGTTATTGCACAAAAATCCCGTTCCTCCAATCGTTGATTAAAATCAAAGTTTCCATAAAGCCCGTGAACGCAATGAAAACAGAAAAACTTGTGGAAATCTGGGAGGTGTCAAAAAAAATTGAGATAAGAGAGTCTGATTGAAAGGGGAAATGAATAGATTGCGATCAAAATGTCGCCGACAAAGGAAATGAGAAAATTGAACAAATACTTCAAGACGTAGAAAGGCAAACGCCTAGCCTTATTTGTGAAATGTAAAATATTACCCAATATTGATTATATTTAGTAAAATGAAGCAAATAAGTGTTGCAAAGACTAGTCAGTGCAACAAAACGTTTTCGTAAACGAAAAGCACAAGAATCTGGGGTATCCTGGCTTTTTTCATGGCTATTTTTCATAATTAGCTAAAAGCAAGGCGATTCCGTGAGTCGAGGGTAATCAAGAATGTTCCAAAGATCAGATTCTGTAAGTCGAGGGTAAACAAGAATGTTCCAAAGATCCAGGAATGCAAATCAGGAGTGCAAGTAAACTTATTGATTTTCTAGATAACTAATAAACAATCAAATCAATCAAATCAATTCAAATTTTGACTGGAATTGTCTTTAGTTGTACGAAAAGATCGAATGTTCGCAAGAAAACGACGAGCTCTATAGCTTTTGTAAACTTTCAAAGGTTTCTGGCTTGTTTTTGAATTTGCTTCAACAATTGGGGAATTGAAAATTACCGGATTTTCCCTAATAGTCCATTTGATAGAAAAATTGGGATTATTTGATATTATTTCTACTTGTTATTTGATATTAGTTAGTTCTACTTTTTACCTGTTACTAGAATTTGGTGTATAAGAAAATGAATGGTTATTTCCACTAGAGAAATGATTGATTTTGAGACAAGATCAACGATTATTAACGCTAGTAGTTTGATATTTTGGATTTGACTGTCCTTTGACTGTCCATTGACCAAAAAAACTGTCCTAGCTCAACAACTAGCTCATTATTGATAGCCTAACTGTTGAAATTTGAAACAAATTTTGATTTACTAACGCAATTAAGTCAACAAAACAGTTAACTAGCAAGAAAACATGTTTACAATTGAAAATAATGTGAGAAATGTTAATTTTATGCAAATTTAACTTTTATCACTGCTATTTTTTTAACTCCGCACTAATTAGAGAGGAAGATTAGCTTGGTGAATACCGTATTTTCTCTAATAGTAGTGCACCTCGCTGAGCTGAGTTGATGACTATTTTACGATTTCCAAGCTTTTGCAGTAGCTCAACACTCTAATCCCCCACTAGATCTCATCGTCAGCTACATTTCCCGATCCCACATCGATAGGTTCTGATAAACGGTTCTCGAGATTTCGAGCAATTTAGGCAAAGCTTTGGGTGCACTATTAGATTTTATGAATTATCAAACAAAGCTAGTGAAAATCGACTCGTGGTTTAAACAATTTTTTTCTATCAATACAATTTCAATACAAAACAATACAATACAACCTTTAGTGTATTGTATTGTTAGTGTATTGTACCTTTAGTGTATTGTAACCTTCAATAGAAAAAAAAGATAGCGCATATTCAGTTGAATATTGCCAAATTTTCAGAAAGATTTTTTCAGCCCTTTCCACTAAATGCCAGTCTGTAGATTTTCTTAAAAGAACCGAACTTTTGTTAAGTTGAGCCGCTGCTTGAGCTGCTGCTTGAGCCGCTGCTTGAGCCGCTGCTTGAGCCGCTGCTTGAGCCGCTGCTTGAGCCGCTGCTTGAGCCGCTGCTTGAGCCGCTGCTTGAGCCGCTGCTTGAGCCGCTGCTTGAGCCGCTGCTTGAGCCGCTGCTTGAGCCGCTGCTTGAGCCGCTGCTTGAGCCTTCTTTCAAATGTGATTTTGTAAGAAAGTAGTTAAGCTTTTAAATGATACCAATCATTTAGCAAAGTCTACGAAAATTTTTAAAAGTTTCTTTGCTTTTCTTTGCTCACCAATTGAGCTTTTCTTTGCTTACCAATATTTGAGAAATTACGGTAGATAAGAATCGATTTTAGGCGGTGAAGACATCGTTCACTTGGTATTCTTTGGAGAGCACCACATTTTTCCTATTTATTCTCCCGCCAATCATTTTTGACGCTGGATATTTTATGCCGAATCGGGCACTTTTTGAGAACGCTGGATCTGTGCTGTTGTTCTCGGTGGTGGGAACACTTTTCAACACGTTTGCAATTGGTAAGCTGACTTGGAAATTAGAATCAAGTTGAACAGGCTTTGTCCTGGGGCTGGGGCTGGGGCTGGGACTTAGAAAAGTTGCCGGGACTTGAACCCACGGCCGTTCGCTTTCCTTTCAACATTCTGTTAAAACCAAAACTAGCTGAAATACTCACACTGATCTAAAAAGGTTTAATACTATAAAATCACGTACCTAATTCTACGTACCTAATTCTACGTACCTAATTGTACGTACCTAATTGTACGTACCTAATTGTATGTACCTAATTCTACGTACCTAATTCTACGTACCTAATTCTACGTACCTAATTCTACGTACCTAATTCTACGTACCTAATTGTACGTACCTAATTGTACGTACTTAATTGTACGTACCTAATTCTACGTACCTAATTCTACGTACCTAATTCTACGTACCTAATTCTACGTACCTAATTCTACGTACCTAATTGTATGTACCTAATTCTACGTACCTAATTCTACGTACCTAATTCTACGTACCTAATTCTACGTACCTAATTTGGTTCCACTGAGAATCGCTTCTAATTCTAATTCGGTTCTAATTAAGTACAACAAAGTTTTCCATTTCCTTATTGTCATTTCCCTGGTGCTGCTTTGAACGTTGTCATAATTAAAATCAAAATCAAAATCTCTTTCGAAAATTCTCTCTTCACATTCAGGTCACTTCTTCATTTTAATAAAATGTACGGGTGTGCTAAACTAGAGTGTGCTACTTGTTGACAGACAATTTGTCAGACAAATTTTCATTGACAACTTTTTTGTCAGACAATTCTAGACAATGTCAGACAATTGATTCGACAAACTTCCGACAACGCGTTTTCTAAAAGGTGCGCTTTTTAAGCAAAGCAAAGCAGGTCGCGCGAAAAAAAATTGAAAACTTTTCTTAAAATATAGTAATGGATAGTTTTATTTAAGGATTTAGGTTTTTTAGGGTTTTTTTTTGGAATGGTTCTAGTGCAAATTTAGACAATAGGCCTGGTAAATTCGTAAATAATATAATTTTTTAATAGTGTTTCTTAACTTTTCCCGTTTTAAATGTTTTAGAGTAAGAGTTTAAGAGTAATAGAGTTAAGGAAAGAGTAATAGAGTTAAGGAAAGAGTAATAGAGTTAAGGAAAGAGTAATAGAGTTAAAGAAAGAGTAATAGAGTTAAGGAAAGAGTAATAGAGTTAAAGAAAGAGTCATAGAGTTAAGGAAAGAGTAATAGAGTTAAGGAAAGAGTCATAGAGTTAAGGAAAGAGTAATAGAGTTAAGGAAAGAGTAATAGAGTTAAGGAAAGAGTAATAGAGTTAAGGAAAGAGTAATAGAGTTAAGGAAAGAGTCATAGAGTTAAGGAAAGAGTAATAGAGTAATAGAAAAAAAGAGCGCAAGATTTTAATGTACATTTGCATTTTGAAAAATTTGCTGATGCAAAGCATCGGTAGCTTAACCTTGGCGCGCGCTTTTTAGAAAACGCGTTGTCGGCAAGGAACACACTCTATGCTAAACAAATGCTGCTTTATTGGATTGGCTTTGTGAAAGAATAAAGTCTTTTATAGCTGATAACGAACTACAGTTGAGATAAAGTTTCATTTGAAAGCTACGATAACTAAACTTCAATAATTAGAGACAAGATTAGCTGTGAGCTGTTCTGTGAGCGTTTTAAATAACGATTATAACAGTAGATGCGAGTGCTTTACCACTGCCGCCAAGTCGGCCTTACTATCTGGGTGTACTTTGTGCTTAAATCTGTAAACACACCTTTTCCGGGGCACTTAATTCTTTAATTTCTGGACCCAGTGCACTAGAAGCAGTGTGTTTCCACCTTTTTGATGACGAAGTACCCAAGGTCTAGTGAATTCTGAGAGTGGTTTATTCCAGCTTCCAGATTTTTTTCTTTGAGGATAGCCTGGATAAACTAAACTTCAATTTCAAACTTCTGATAACTCAAATTATTTTAGGTCTCAGCCTCTACGGACTCTTGGAACTCGGGATTTTTGGCTCTGGCTTTGAGTTCTCATTGTTTGAGGTAAACATTAATTTGAGTTACGATTGCTTCAATAAAAAATCAATTCAGATTCTCCTCTTCGCGGCTCTGATTTCAGCGGTGGATCCCGTTGCGGTGATCGCCGTTTTTGAAGAGATTCACGTGAATGAATTCCTTTTCATCAACGTTTTCGGAGAAGCTCTTTTCAACGATGGAGTCACTGTGGTGAGTTCGAAGTTTTTGATCCCAACAGTGCTTTAAACTCTGACAGTGTTTCGAGGATCGTCACTGTCAGTTTCTCACTGTCATTTTTGAAAACAAAAGAACCTTGTCGCAAGACTTTTTCTTAAGAAATCATCTAGATTTTTTGAACTTTAAGCTTCTGGTTTCAAAAGAAGTTCAAATTTTGGGTATAAACATTGATTGTTTATACCCAAACATTGATAAGAACTTTTCAGGTGCTCTATCAGATGTTCAAATCATTTACAGAGATCGGTGCATCGAATTTGGTTGTCGGTGACTATTTTCAAGGTTTGAGTACTGAAATTTAAGCAAGAATAAGCTAAAGAAAAGGATTTCAAATGAAATTTCAATTTTTAAAGTATTTCAGGTGCCGCATCGTTTTTTGTCGTAGCGATTGGTGGGATTGTGATCGGATTGCTCTTCGCCATGTTGACTGCTATTTTTACAAAGTGGATAAAGAACTGAAACCTTAAGAAAAGACTAAAAGAAAACTTGAATTTTCTTCAGTTTTATTCTAAATTACTGCTAACTTGACCATTGATTTGAAATGGTCAAGAAAAACTCGTTTCCTTCTATTGGGTTGGTGAATTGAAAACTGCCGGCTATTGTCATATGTGACAGTTTGAGCACTTTCTTCAAAAGAAACCCATTTTGGTGTCAATGGAAAAGTTGTAGAGAATCAAAAATTAGGCTTATAGCCAAATTTCCAAAAAGATACACTTAGTAGTTCCCCTTAAAATTTGTGTGTCCTGTGTGTTCTTTGTGCGACCGCGTAATCACTCGTCGTCTGACGCAGGGCTTTTACATAACCCCTTTCGCTCTCTGCTCTCCAATGTCCGTTTCCGAATCTTCAAATTCGACATTGACTTCTCCTCAAATCAAGGCTAATCTCAATCTATTGGGCTGGTGAATCGAAAAACCGCCGGCTATTGTCATATATCACAGTTTGAGCACTTTCTTCAAAAGAAACCCATTTTGGTGTCAATGGGAAAGTTGTAGAGAATCAAAAATTAAGCTTATATCCAAATTTTCAGAACGATTCAAAAACTGGTTCTCAAGAAATGTCAAATTTGCGAATTTTCACAAAACTTGCATTTTAAGCGAAACTACTGAGTGTATCTTTTTGGAAATTTGGCTCTAAGCTTAATTTTTGATTCTCTACAACTTTTCTATTGACACCAAAATGGGTTTCTTTTGAAGAAAGTGCTCAAACTGAGACATCGGACATCTCCAGTCCTCCATTTTTGAGTCTCACACTTGTCTCAGACACAAACCAAAATCCTAGCACGAAAGAGGAATCCGCAAATTGCCTGTAAAATGGGCAGAAGTCGTCAATAATAATGGAAATTATTTAGAATGAATTGATGGTTTTATGTTGAATTCAAATTTTAGTTCAAAGTCCCGCAGTTTTCAATTCACTTTCAATTCACTTTCAATTCAATTTCAATTCACCAACCCAATAATCTAATACTGTACATAGACATCTCTAAAGCTTAAGATAAGCAAGGTTTCAATGAAAATTTTAAATTATCATCTTGATAATTAAAAAGAATTGTTTTTACTTTAGGTACACTCAGAACATCAAAATTTTGGCCCCATTATTCATCTTTTTGTTGCCATATAGTGCCTATTTATTTGCTGAAATGGTCTCACTGTCACCGATTTTGGCGTAAGTTTTGTTTTCTTTTAGCGATTGTGAAAATTCAGTCAAAATCTAAGCAATTCTCTAGATTAATTTGAAAATTCCATTCCATCTCATTCCAGAATCTCATTCTGCGGGATGTTCATGAAGCAATATGTTAAAGGAAACATTTCAATGTCTGCTCAAACATCGGTGAAATATTTCACGAAAATGTTGGCTCAATCGAGTGAAACAGTAAGAAAAACAATAAAAAAAATGTTTTTATTTGATTTCAGGTTGTCTTCGTTTTCTTGGGTTTATCCACAATTTCTTCAAAGCACAAATTTGATTGGGCTTTCATTGGAGCGACGCTTGCATGTTGCTTGATTTTTAGAACAATCGGTGAGTCAGGAAATTCTATGAAATCATTACAGTGCTGGGTGTCCAGAAATAAAGTGGTTATCGGTTTGAGTCTCGTTGATTTTTCAAGGCCTATAATGTCCCTCAAGGGGCCACACAAAAGATGGCCACAAAGATGAAGTCGATTCTGTTGATGATTTTCTGAATAGGAAGGTAGGGAGCTCGGCCAGGGAGCTCAAAATCTACGTATGCGTCCGGAAAAGTGAATTTGTCATTGGTTTGTGTCTGGAGAATTTTCTCCAGACCTTACTATTCACACAAATCATCAAAAAATCGCCTTCATCTTTGTAGCCATCTTTATTTTGTGGCCCCTTGAGGAAAGCCATTTTTGACACCATGATGAGCCTTGAAAAATCAACAAGAACCTTGAAAAATCAACAATCAAATTTTTCCATCCTCAAACCGATAACCACTTTTTTTCTGGAAATCCTATATAAGAATTACAACAGCTAGTACTGTAGCACTACTGTAGTATTCTAGAGTTACAGTACAATTACCTAGACTAAAGTATATCAACAATAAGCTACAGTATGCCTGCCTTTATCATCAACTTTTAGGCGTGGTCAGCCAATGCTTTGTTTTGAACAAGTTTCGCACCAAGAAGTTCACCATGGTTTGTTTCTTGTAGAACTACTTGGATCTTTGAATGATAGGATTTGGATACAACAAAATTTACAACAAGATTTACAACAAGAACCAAAATTAGAGTCAGATTCTATAGCTATTATGTATCTATTTCTGTAGAAATTTTCCTAATAGTAGTGCACGTTTAAATTCCTCGAAATCTCGAGAACCGCTTATCAGAACCTATCGATGTGGGGTTGGAAAATGTAGCTGATGATGAGATCTAGTGGGGGATTAGAGTATTGAGCTTCTGCAAAAGCTTGGAAACCGTAAAATAGTCATTAACTCGGCTACATTGGTGCACTACTAGAAAATAATCAAGGAAAAGCATCTAATCTACAACCTAAAATTGCTCAAAGATGATCAACTGATATTCCAATTTTGAATGCTTTAGTTGCACGGAACAGTCTAAGTCTAAATAATAAGTAATCGAAATGATTTTACTATTGGGCATTGCCTAAGGTAGGGCTTTGTACTTTGTCTATCGACATCAGCAACTTTTACCACCAAACCATTGGCTAAGTGTTGAGCTTTGAAACCGTAGAATAGTCACCAAGTCGGCTGGGTGCACTATTAGAGGATGCACTTATTTAGGTCGATCAATTCATCCTCTCCTACGGGGGTCTCCGCGGTGCAATCGCTTTCGGTCTTGCCTCTTCGATGCCGGACACGATCGCAGCTAAACCCTACTTTATTACCACAACTATTTGTGTCATCTACTTTACAGTGTTCTTGCAGGTAATTGCATGGCTACAATTTGGTACCACAAACTTTGAAAGAACTAAAAATAACTCCTTTTCTTGCTTTACAACTTCACCTGCTTTTGTTACCAATTTTGGTCTATATCTTTTTCACCTGATCTTTTTTAAAATCTTTTTTAAAAATAGCTTTTTAGGGAATCACGATTAAACCTTTGGTTGATTGTTTGAGTGTCGAGACAAGGGATGGAAGAGCAAAAACGATGGCTGAAGCAGTTTATGGAGATGTAAGGATTAAAATTAAAGAGCTAATAAAATGGAATCAAGCTACCACACTAAAATTCCATATCAGCTTGATAAAGAGCTGATTTGTCGTAAGATTAGAAAGTAACAAGTCCATTAGAAAGTAACAAGGCCATTAGAAAGTAACAGGTCCATTAGAAAGTAACAAGTCCATTAGAAAGTAACAGGTCCATTAGAAAGTAACAAGTCCATTAGAAAGTAACAAGTCCATTAGAAAGTAACAAGTCCATTAGAAAGTAACAAGTCCATTAGAAAGTAACAAGTCCATTAGAAAGTAACAAGTCCATTAGAAAGTAACAAGTCCATTAGAAAGTAACAAGTCCATTAGAAAGTAACAAAGTAACAAGGCTTAAAGACCAAATGTTTTGACAAAGTTCTTGACAAAGTTCAAGACAAAGTTCAAGACAAAGTTCAAGACAAAGGTGAAGAGTTCTTGAGGCCGAAGAAGAATTCTAGAAATTCTATGCAAAAATAATGATTCCAGCTTATTTTCCAGCATTCCAGCTCTAGTCTTCTATTCAAAAATTCAATTCTTTCACCTTTCAGTACATGGATCATTTGATGTCTGGCTTGGAAGTGATCGCTGGCGTACGGGGACACAACAGCTTCAGAGCATGGCAAGAGCTTTATAAACAGAAAGATCACGCTACCTTGAAACTTATATTAACTAATTATCTAATATTTCCAGGTTCGACCGGATCAACAACTTCTATCTTAAACCTTTCTTGATGAAAGACCATCACCAAAATCACTTTGATGCAGGGAAAATCATGCGAGCATTCACGAAAATCACTTTGCATGAAGCGTTGGAGGTAATAAATTCAATTTTGACTAATGAAGTTTATTGGATATTTATTTATCAATTATATTTATCAATTAATAATTCAAATCCAAGTTTAAAACGAATTTCCAGGCGGAGGTAGGCGATTTCCACTCACCAAGAAGCACACCAGCCACAACGATCGTTCAATCGACGTGAGTTTGTTCGGAAATATGTTCGGCAAGTGGTCAATTAGAAATTTGGATAACAAAATATTGAGAGAACCAGCCGAAAAACTCACTTAACAGCGGGTTTTGCTGTGGCGCAGTCGAGAGCGCGCTTGTCTACGGCTGTTTACGGCTACGGCTGTCTACGGCTACGGCTGTCTACGGCTACGGCTGTCTACGGCTACGGCTGTCTACGGCTACGGCTGTCTACGGCTACGGCTGTCTACGGCTACGGCTGTCTACGGCTACGGCTGTCTACGGCTACGGCTGTCTACGGCTACGGCTGTCTACGGCTACGGCTGTCTACGGCTACGGCTGTCTACGGCTACGGCTGTCTACGGCTACGGCTGTCTACGGCTACGGCTGTCTACGGCTACGGCTGTCTATGGCTACGGCTGTCTATGGCTACGGCTGTCTACGGCTACGGCTGTCTACGGCTCACACGATCCGGGTTCGATCCCCCCCAGTACCACTCAGTTTCGCTTTTTTAATTTTTTATTTTAAATAGCACAACTACAATATATTCTAGGGGTTCTAAAGAGGTTTTAGCTTTATTTGTCAATACACGGCTGAGAAAATACTCGTACAGACAGACAGACACAGATACTGCTCTTTTAGATATCTTTTATATATTATAAATAGAGGAAACTACAATTTGTAAGAGAGAATTTGTATTTGGGCAAAGAAAAAAACAATGATAGCTTTATAAGTTTGGTTTGACTTACAAGGTTATTAGAATTATGCGATCTTGGAGCATTTGATCCATTAATTGTATGAATGCGCCTTTTTTTACTATTCTGTAAATTTCTCAAGATACCGAAATCAAGAAAAAGATATATATGAGTATTATTCGAAAGCTGAATATCGCCTCTACATTTTAATATAAAAAGCTTTTGAATTTGTTCAGCTTTTGAGCAAATTGACTGCACAGAAGAAATGGTCAAAAAATGGAAGGGTGCCTTTGGATCAAGTTTTGGCTCCGCTCAAATTGAGTTAACCGTTTGATGTTTGACCAATAGATATATCAATGCAACTTGTTTTTAAATATAACAATTTCAGAGTATCTTTACTTTTCTGGGCGGTTATTTTCCACCATAAAACTTGAGGAAATAGCTAAGCTGGAATGGGTTTTTTCGAAAACGACCCCTCCCTTTGTGCAGTCAATTTGCCCAAAAGTTGAACAAATTCAAAAGCTTTTTATATTAAAATGTAGAGGAGATCTTCAGCTTTCGAATGATATATAACACTCATATAAATCTGTTCGATATCTTGAGAAATTTACAAAATAGTAAAGACGCGCATTCATAACTGGACAACCCAATATCATCTGAAAAGGCCAGGCCCTTTTCAGACCCTTTGCTCTGAAATTGTTATATTTAAAAAAACTTGTATTGATTTATCTATTGGCCAAACATCAAACGGTTAACTCAATTTGAGCGAAGCCAAAACTTGATCCAAAGGCACCCTTCCATTTTTTGGCCACCTCTTCTTCTGTGCAGTCAATTTGCTCAAAAGCTGAACAAATTCAAAAGCTTTTTATATTAAAATGTAGAGGAGATCTTCAGCTTTCGAATGATATATAACACTCATATAAATCTGTTCTATATCTTGAGAAATTTACAAAATAGTAAAGACGCGCATTCATAACTGGACAACCCAATAAGAATAGTAAAACTGTTTCTTTTTCCAAATAAAATCGTTAATTTAAGTATCCGTTTTGTTAAATTTGTTTATAATTAAAGCAATTTTTGTAGTGCTAAACTTTTTGTTTTAACCTTTCTGGTTTAAATGTTAGAATTTTAGCCTAAGTACTAGTTGAGCTTGTCAATTTTAAGTTCAACTGATACTTTGGTTTAGTTTGGTTTTGTTTTTTAAAGATTCACAAAGGTATAGAAGTTATTCTTAAAGCTTTTTTTAATAAAGAGCCAATTTCTAGCATGGATTCATCAGATCCAAACTTTGCCTACAACAATGAGGGTTATGTGGCAGAGACATCGAAACGGAAACTCTCCCGAAAACACAGTATTGGAGAGGTTTCCTTGAATCTTTTATTATTCTAAATCCTCTTTAGATCCTACGAGACAAGAAAAATGTTGATATGCTGTGTGAGATTTTCTCTGAGATGTTAGACAAGAAGTTGGAAGCATCGGGGTTGAAAGAGAAATTGACCGTTGAACACGATATCGCTGATGATTACATTCAGGGAGTGGAAAGGCATGAGATAAAGGTGAGTCAAAAATAAGACTTAAAATAAGCCTTAAATTATAGATGTTTATTACTAACTTATTAGGTTGATGCATAAGTCTTAAGAATAATACCGTATTTTCCCCATTTTCTCCATTCTCATCCAAAGCTTTGCCTAAATTCCTCGAAATCTCGAGAACCGCTGATCAGAACCTATCGATGTGGGGTCGGAAAATGTAGCTGACGATGAGATCTAGTGGGGGATTTGAGTGTTGAGCTTCTGCAAAAGCTTGGAAACCGTAAAATAGTCATCAACTCAGCTCAGCGGGGCGCTATTACTATTAGAGAAAATACGGTAAATGTTTGAACTGTAATTTCCCAAAGAAATAAACTATATTGATTCAAAACCACCTTAAGAAAGTATAACTTGTTGCCATTTATTGGGCATTTCTCTAATAGTAATAGCGCCCCGCTGAGCCGAGTTGATGACTATTTTACGGTTTTCAAGCTTTTGCAGAAGCTCAACACTCTGGGAATCTATTGGGAATCTATTAGGCATTTATTGATTCCCTTCTCCCAAAAGCTACAGAGCGGCTGCTTGAAGAAGTAGATCCATTTTTCGACTTCCTCCGCATCTCCAAAGTGCTCGTTGGTCAAATCAACAGCCATCTTCTTGAAAAGATGAAAATCACTAGGGGCCAAGGCGGATGCGGGAGAACTTCCCAGCTTAAAGTCTTTAGTTTTTCCCTGGCCAAGTTTGCACCGTGTGTTATCATGGAAAATGATCTTGTCCATGTTTTGCTTCTTTTTCTCTTCAGAAACGAATCGATTCAATTGATCAACGGATGCCTGAATAGTCGTCCTTTCTTCTAGCAACTCCCAGTAAATAACTCCTTCTCTGTCCACACATAACATGACCTTCTTCTAATGAATTTCGAGCTTGGGGTCGAGCATTGGTTTTTCGCCTGGAGCCATCCATTGTTTATGTCTCCAAAAGTTGACATAGGTTACCCATTGCCTGTGATCAGGTGGAAAGAAAAAGATCGACGACAAACGAATCGAAAAAGGGATGGAGTTAACATGCCTTGTTTTAAACAGCAAGAAGTTCTACTTAAATAGATAAATTGACGTAATAAACATTGCACTTTCCAGGGCCAACGCCGGGAAGATCTCCACACCGATGCACCGGTGCAAGTTGTCTCCGTTCCGGTGCAAGCATCCTCACAAAAACCGCCGACGGACAAATTCCGATGGGGAGGTGACGAGGAAGCAACTCAAGCCAGACGGGAAGAGTTTCGGGCACAAGCAAGGAAAAAAACGAGTGTCAATTTCTAAGCTATTAAGCTTTTCCATTCTCTTACCATTTGTAGTATTCTCACCGCTTGTATCTCAATGTACGTATTTCTTTCGACGGGTCGGTTAGCGTCAAATGTGCTAGTGTCTTCTTGGATCATGTGATTTTCTGCAGATAAATTGTCTTGTTTCAAACAGTCAATGCATCAAACTCTTCGCTAAAGAGTTTTCTAAAAGGCGCGCTTAGGAGAGCTACCGAACTCCAAATCGATTAGAACTACCGTACTTCAATTATGAACTACCGTACTTCAAATCGATAAGAACTACCGTACTCCACTTATAAACTACCGTACTTTAAATCTATAAGAATTACCGTACGTCAATTATGAACTACCGTACTTCAAATCGATAAGAACTACCGTACTTCAATTATGAACTACCGTACTTCACTTTTGAACTACCGTGCTTCAAATCAATAAGAACTACCGTACTCCATTTATGAACAACCGAACTCCAAATCTATAAGAACTACCGTACTTCACTTTTAAACTACCGAACTCCAATATCCAACCTATGAGCTGACTTTCGTGAGAGTCTTGAGTAGAGGATGTTCCTCGCGAGTAATACGTTTTTTAAAACGTACACTTGGGAAAAATTATTGCACAAAAAATGGAGCAAAAGTCACGGATTATATACAACACTTTTTAAAGATACTCAACCGTTTAACTGACTTGGTGGGAAATTCCCTTCCAATGTAAAGATATTGAATTTACTTGTCGTGTAAAGAGGATTACTCGTAGTTACTCGACGAAAAAGCGTCGATTAATCGAGTAAAAATTACTCATACAAATTTTACGCGAGTAATTACTTACTCGCAAGGAACACACTCTAGTCTTGAGGTTCAGTTTGAGCGTCCGGTTGATGGTAAATAAAATGAGACTGTTTTAAAGACTACCGCAATCCCGTCAAAGACATTGGGACTACGGTAGTCGTAAACGCGACTTTAGGAACACTTGACCGAACATATGATAGTCAGTGCCGTTGTGTCTTTACAGATTGACTTGTTTCAAAGAATTCAAGGCATTGTTTATTCTCATCAGATGCCCGTTTAGTGCTTGGCGGCAAAACGACGAGGGCAGGGACAGTAGTTGGCATCTCTGCCTTGACCTCCGGGTTGTCCGGGTCCTCCATCGTGGCCACGGCCTTAAATAGAAAGACATACACCTTGTAATCAGTTTTTGAATCATGTAAATTGAAAAAACAGAACCTCCAGGGCTTCCAGGGCCTCCTGGGCGTCCGTTTCCTCCGTTTTGTCCGGGTTGGCCAGGGGCTCCAGCGGCTCCGTTGTCTCCGGGAGCTCCCTAAAAAGTGGACAATAGAGTTTCAAGTGGTGTAAGTACTGATAGGTTACTTTTGTCCCGTTACCCAGTCTAGTTTAAACTTCATCCCTTGACTTACACGGCCTCCAGGTTGTCCGGGGGCTCCGGATGGTCCTTGGGGTCCGGGGGTTCCACGAGATCCATTTTGTCCAGGTTGTCCCGGTGCTCCATCGGATCCAGGCTGTCCGGGGGCTCCATCGTTTCCAGGCTGTCCAGCAGGTCCCTCGGGAGCTGGCGACGAGTCTCCATCTTGTCCAGGGGCTCCTTGGTCTCCGGGGGCTCCATCGCGTCCAGGGGCACCAGGGGCACCAGGGAGTCCACCAGGGCAACGCTTGCAACCAGATCCCTGAAAAAGTTCTGTAAAGTAATTATAGGTTTCTTACATCATCGTGTCCTTGTGGGGCTTGTCCGGGTGCTCCGGGCTCTCCACGGCCTCCAGGTGATCCAGGATATCCGTTCTCTCCGGGGCTTCCAGGGGGCCCTGGTGGTCCAGCGGGGCAGTTATTGTATGAGTCGCAAGAGCATTGTCCTCCGTATCCGCCACCTCCGCCACCGCCGCGGTTTCCGTTCCAGGCTGGTGGGGCAGATTCGCGGGAAGACGATCCAGAATCCCAGGCGCTACGGCCATGACGACTGCGGCCTGTGCTGGCACGGGCAAGCTGGAATTGGGAATGGTTGATAAGCTGGTGTTATACTCGTTGGGGGACCCGCTGTCTCATTATATCACTCACGCTAAATCCGATTTTGATATCGACTTCTTTAAGACATGGGTCTTTAAGTCTTTAAGACATGCTGCTGCTTGCTGTCAGATTAGATTTGCAAAGTTTTAATCGGGCCTGGCAACTACCGTACACACTCAACAAATTGAGTCGTTTTGGACCAATTAAAAAGAGAATTCAGGATGAGAAATGGTATTAAAGGTAAGCTATGGGATGATCTTTTCTTTTAGGAAAGCACAATACCGAAAACCTTGTACCTTTTCTTGAACGTGGTTGCCAAGAAGTATGCTTTAAATTAATGATCTTTGTTACCTTTTGTTGTTATTGTTATTGCTCTATTGGTAATTTTTTTGCTAAACTTCTGTGAGGAAAATTTTCATCAAAGTCGAATTCAGCGTAATTGATAAAATGAGACGGGAAAATTAAGCTCCGCCCCAACCGATAAGCTTGCTGGTTGTCTAGGAAACTTTTCAAATTGACAAGTTCAGGTACTTCTGCCAAATTCTAAGCACTCACCTTCAACGCATCCAAGACCTCCATCTCCTTGACTCTGGCACGATCGTTGCGCATTTGGATCTCATTTTGAACCTCCTCAATCTAGAATTTTCTTGATAAAGCTAGTCAATAGCTAAAGCTAGTCAATAGCTAAAGCTAGTCAATAGCTAAAGCTAGTCAATAGCTAAAGCTAGTCAATAGCTAAAGCTAGTCAATAGCTAAAGCTAGTCAATAGCTAAAGCTAGTCAATAGCTAAAGCTAGTCAATAGCTAAAGCTAGTCAATAGCTAAAGCTAGTCAATAGCTAAAGCTAGTCAATAGCTAAAGCTTATTAAAAAAACTAAAATTAATCTTTCAAACAAACCTGTCCCCACAAGTATGGAGTGTAGAAGAGGCAGATGAGGATAGCTGCAATCGAGCCTCCAGAGGATATCCAACCGAGTGCGTTGCTCATTTCTGGAATTGACTTTGATGATTGGATACCGTATAACTTTAATAGCTCAGTTAAGATATAAAATTTGAGCTCTACAGTAATCCCCAAAAAAAACCCACTTTCTGGAGCTGCCGAGGAGTTCGGTGTGGCTCTGAAATGTCCCGTTCCAGCTGAACTTCTTTTATACTCTCAAAAATTTATCAAAACAAAACCGGTTTTCAAATATTCTTTCGAATTTTCTTTTAGCTAACTTTTCTTTGGGCAAGGGCTCAAGGGTGTTTGAAAGGAAAAGAGAAAGGAAAAGAGAAACTCTTTCGTCTCACCGTTTTGACCGATTTTTGCCGAGATGCATTTCATTTTGCCCCTTGAATGATTTGAGATTTCGGAAAAATATCCCAAATTTGAGACGGTTATTTTAGTGGAACGCTTTTAGTTGTTGATTGACACTAACTTTGGATAACGATTATTTAATAGACTTCAATAGTTAGCAAGAGAACCAAGAAAGAGTTTAAATGCAAATTGCAACGGTTTAAATGCAAATTGCAAAGGTTTAAGTGCAAATTGCAAAGGTTTAAGTGCAAATTTCAGAGCTTAAGTGTCTTTTCTACCGTAATCTTGACCATAAGTTACCGTAATCTCATCTCTAATCACCATAATCTTGTAACAAATAGGGTTTTAAATGCAAATCGTTAAGTAGAGTGCTTCAAAGTTTTATTCTCAAGCAATCATTTCACTTTTATATTGGAAGAATTTGCGAATCTCTTCCAGGGGTTTGCCCTAAAACTGAAATGAAACTGGATTTAAATGATTTCAAATGATTCAAATGATCAAATGACTGGATTCAAATGATTTCAAATGATCAAATGACTGGATTCAATTCAAACCTTGATTGAATCAAGAACCCAGCGACAACAACGATAATTCAGATCGGCGACCATTAGATGAGAGCTTGCCTGGAAATTGATTATCACAAAAGAAATTGGTTTTTGAAAGTGATTAGCCTACTGAGCCTATTATAGTGCAAATGATATTCGAAATTTGCATATTAAACTTAAAGGTTGGCAACTAGAATTGAACGACAGAGCAACAGGCAACAGGCAACAGGCCAGAGCAACAGGCATAACTCGGTGAATTCTCTTAGCTCGATGAATCTTCTACTTCTATAAGCCTATAAGCTATAAGCTGACCCGGATAGTGCTTTTTGAACTCGGTCAACCACTTTGATTTGCACAGACATCAAATCCCAGCTATGTTTTCATCAAACTCTTGTAAACTCACGATGATCAACTCCAAAATGACGGCTCTCGACAATTTGTTGACAAAATCCTCCTCCCAACGGGTGACAGAATCTCTAAAATTTATTTGTTCTAACAAAATCATTTTATCCAAGATACCGATTTTCGTTGTCAGCATGGTATTCACACCAAGAAATGATCTAGAAACTTGAAATTAAGAAATCTACTCCATTTTCTTTACCAAAGTCAACATTTTACTTGAAACATTAGCCAAATAAATTGGTTGAATGTTGTTTAGTGTGGCTTCATCCTGAAAAGTCTAAAATTAAGATAAAATATTCTTATACAAAAGTGGAATATGTTTGCAAGAATCCGGAATATTTAGCAGCGGCTTTGGAGATGTTGTGGATCTCGTTGCGGTTTGATTTCAACTGAAATGATCTCATCAAAAAAAGATTTTGGTCTTAAGTATTCGGGTATAACGAGGATTAACTTTGAATCCAAAACTCAAACTTTGAATCCAAAAGTTTATTTCTTGAGTAAATAAACGTTAAGTTAGCATCATTTTACAAGATAACCTTTCGCAGAAACTTTTTCGTTGATAAATGATCTTGAAAAGCTTTTAAGCTTCGTATGAATCAATGGAAATTGGTAATAAATCATTGAATTGAATCAAAATCATTGAATTGGTTTGGGTCAGCTCAATTTTTTTAATGAATCAGCCAATCAAACAATAAAATAAGCCAACTAAATCCAGAAATATCTTCAAAATTTATAACGATCGTCTTTGAATCAATCTAAAATCAATCTAAAACCATTAACCGCTCTAAAAAGTTCTCAGCCTTTAAAGTTCTCAGCCTTTAAAGTTCTCAGCCTTTAAAGTTCTCAGCCTTTAAAGTTCTAGCCCTTAAAGTTCTAGCCCTTAAAGTTCTAGCCCTTAAAGTTCTAGCCCTTCAAGCTTGAATCTGGTCAGTTTTCTTTCGAATTCTTATGGCTAACAAAGCTCTCCTAAAGCCAAATATCTCTAAAATCTTTTCTAAGAAATGTAGAATTAATCCAAATCCCTTTAAAACTTAATAACTTGCAAATTTGGCCTTTTAAACACCAGATTTCCCAGAACCGCAAAAATTCCTCACCAAAATCTGATCCTCCAGCATTATCTCAATCTGGGGAAATAAAGAGGCATTAGCTTTATAAAATTTAGTAAGAAAAATACTTTGTGTTTCACGTGTTTGGAAATTCTATTCCTCACACAAACTCTATGCGCAAAAAAAGCCAAAAATTTCTCTGTTTACCTACTCTTGGGTTCGTCCCTTCTTTTTCTCTCTTTTACGCATTTTTGAACAATCGATGTATGTTGCAAAGAGAGCTTTATTCGTCATCAGAATAAGAATCAAAGAAAATTTTGAAATTACACGATCAAAATAAATTTCAAACGCACATTCCGATCAAGAAAAGGCGGGGGTGGGACAAATGCTACCTTTTTTTGCTCGCCTGAACATTTGCGCACCTTTTTTTTGCTGGAAAAGGCCTTAGGAAAGGTCGTAGAGCTTCAAAAATGTTTCATAGAAGGGAATCGGATGCGTAGATTCCGAATTTTGACAAATCAGACCTCGCTGACACGTCAAATTTGGGCTAAAAGGCAAAAACTACGCAACTTAACGCTTTTCCGCAGTTTTTGCCTTTTAGCCCAAATTTGACGTGTCAGCGAGGTCTGATTTGTCGAAATTCGGAATCTACGCATACGATTCCTTTATATGGAAATATTTTCGAAGCTCTACGGCCTTGCCTAAGGCCTTTTCCAGCAAAAAAAGGTGCGCAAATGTCCAGGTGCGCAAAAAAAAAGGTCGCATTTGTCCCACCCCCAGAAAAGGCAAAATTTGGAAGCTTTAAAGCAATGAAAAGATAAATTAGCATAAATGTCTGATTTGTCTAAATTAGCATTTATTTTCGGTAATGTCTCCGCCTCACAAAGTTTTTATTTCATTTTCTGTCTTCTCGCCTCTTCAACTGGTACGTTTTTTCTTTTCTTTAAATTTTATCATACTTTTTTTTGAGCTAACTTTTGCACTATTTGGCTGAAATTTATTTATTGAAAATGTTATTTTATTTTGGGTTGGGGAGAATGAAATGGCGTCGAAGTTTAAAGACACTTTTTTCACGCCTAAAAGCCTTCTTTAAATACACGTTTAATCTATATTTTTAGTGGCGATCACGGCGGAAAGATGCGTTTGGCGGTGCTGCTTGCTGCCGTCATTTTTGGGTTGGCTTTGACTTTATTTCTTTTGTAAACTTGTTTTAGTTATGTGTCACCCCTGGAGTTCGAGCACTTGTCTTCTGCTGATGTGTTAGAGTTGTCGCGTCCTAGTCGTCACAAAGTTGTTGCTCAGCCCGACGAGGAAATTCAAGAGGAAGAGGGTATTGTCTTTGCTAGTTTTGGGAAAAATAGTCTTTAACTGATTGCAATCAAAAGCAGTTTCCTATGATTTTGAATTGATATAGCGCTTTCAACGCATTTGGAAAAACAGATGTTTCACCGCCCATTTAAATTTCTGTTAATTAGAAAGGTTTAATCTTGAAGCTTCCTTAATTTTGGTTTTCAGATCATGAAACTCTCCCAGATTTCCCCACTCTCAGAACAACACCAACGACGACAGAACCGGAAGAACAAGAACGTATTGTCTTTGAATTTATACAGGGCTTTAATCGCATTTGGAAAAATAGCTATTTGACCGCCCAATTAAATTTCTGTTAATTAGTAAGGTTTAATCTTGAAGCTTTCTTAATTTTGCTTTTCAGCCGAGGGAACTCTCGTAACTTTTCCCCCTCTCAGAACAACACCAACACCAGCGACGACGACAGAACCGGAAGAAAAAGAACGTATTGTCTTTGAATTTATACAGGGCTTTAATCGGATTTGGAAAAACAGCTATTTCACCGCCCAATTAAATTTCTGTTAATTAGTAAGGTTTAATCTTGAAGCTTTCTTAATTTTGCTTTTCAGCCGAGGGAACTCTCGTAACTTTTCCCCCTCTCAGAACAACACCAACACCAGCGACGACGACAGAACCGGAAGAACGAGAACGTATTGTCTTTGAATTTATACAGGGCTTTAATCGCATTTGGAAAAATAGCTATTTGACCGCCCAATTAAATTTCTGTTAATTAGTAAGGTTTAATCTTGAAGCTTTCTTAATTTTGGTTTTCAGCCGAGGGAACTCTCGTAACTTTTTCCCCTCTCAGAACAACACCAACGACGACGACATTTACTGCTACAACTACAGGTTTATGGTTACGACTTTGTCGATTGATTTGGACAATAACAAAATGAAAGTTTAGAGACCGCTACTCCCCCTACAACAGAAGCCACAACTAGTCCAACAACGTCGGCACCTACTGCAAAGCCACAACAGACAGACACCACAACAAGAACAACTGAGAGTCCAATTGAGAATACTATTACAACTTCTGGTTTGTCTTTAATTTCTCAATTTATCTGTTTTCATTGAAGGACCTCCAACGTTCACTACACTGGGTCCATTGCCAACTACTTCAATCAAGGAACCGACAGCCACTACTTCAACTCCTGGTTGGTTTTTGCAATTTTTATAGCTACCTACCTAGTTTTATCGTGATGCCGGTTACCCTAATATATAGGGTGTCCAAAGAAATATTTTCAAACCGGAATTTCTCGGAATTTCTGGTGGCTAGAGATGGTCGGTGTGGTGTCATAGTGAATCATTTGTGCTGGTAAAAATGGTTTTAGCACCAGGAGTGCCACCTATAGCCACTTAAAGTTTTTCTAAAATTCGGTTTGAAAAGGGGCCTTTTTTTGAGACACCCTGTAATCTTAGTATACATATTAGATCTAATCTAACGCCACGATGCCAGTAGAAAGTCTCCGCTTTATGCTAAAAATTTTACCCTATTGATGTTCTCATGATACTCCCTATCGAGTGATGGTGTTTTCGTCAAAAAATGTGAAAAATTTAAGAGCACAAATGATTCACTATGACACCACATTGACCACCTTTATCTCACCACCAAAAATTCTGAAGAATTCCGGTTTAAAAACGTTTTGTCTATGCGACACCCTGTAGAGTATTGGTACCGTACAAGAGCAAAAGTTGGTTCTAAAATAAAACATCTATTTGAGATGTTTTTCACTCTTTTTACAGAAGTTTAGAACGAAAACATAATGTATAAATTATTTTTGATTTAGGTAATATCAAGAAAATTGAGCGGTGGAAGTATGATATTCGTCCAATGCGTTACTGTCCAGCACCGGGGTAATATTTGTTATCTTGGTTAGGTGAATATTTCTATTTAGATATCACAGGGACAGTGTAGAAGAAAAGAACGAGAAAGCCGTTAAGTCAAAACGTGAATCGGACCAATCGTCGACAAGTGCAGGAGTGATCAAGTGGATGAAAGAGCTGATTTTTGGGTAAACCAAAGAACTTTCTGTATATACAAATGTTTGTTTCGTGTAATAAATAGTGTAATAAATAGTTGTAATAAATAGTCTTTCCATTTTTGAATATCCAATTACACAAGTCGAGCAGTTGCCGTAAACATTCCGTAAGATTCCGTAAAAATACCTAAGGTTCACTTAAAATCTGCTCACGTATTTTGATGTATTAAATACAAAAGCATTTCGAGAGACAATACATACGTTAAACATTGTGCCTAACTATAATATTAATTGTTTTTTATTCGTTGATGCAAGTTGGGTTTGAAAAATCGTCTGATCGTTTGAAGAAGCCATAGTGATTTCTGTATTGTAGATTCCAGTCGTTCGTCCATTGCATAACTAAATTATGATATTTTGTCTTTAGCTAATTTCTTTGATTTAATATTTTTTAAATATTATAAACGGGGGGGAAAGTTACGGTGGGATTCCTCCGGGCATGTGTCTGTCTTGCAACCGCTAACCAAAAGATCCTCGAGGTTATATCCGAGGCCAACAGATGAATCATTGGTATAATACAAATTCATACGGCCCTACATACTATTTTAAGTTGCACTTCTTTTTAACAGGTTTACTGTTGTGTGTAGAAAGGTGCGTTTATTTTTTGGCCTTGTTCTATCAAAGTAAGCTTCCTCGTCGTCATTGGCTTTGCTAGGATAATCTCTGATTGGATCAAAAAGCCAATTGAATTGATATGAGTCATGGACGTTTTGCACGAAAATCGCAGCAAAATTCTAAAAACAGTTTACATTTTCTATGTACAGTACTGGACAATGAAATATCATATTTGAAAAACGATCGTCACTTTCGCGCGTCTGTAACTCCCTTGTCTTTGAGTTTAAACTATTAGTGTTATACATTTTCTGAAAGCTCTTTTCAAGGGCTACACAATGGTAATATTAATATTTAAAAATACGGTAAAGACAAGGGAGTTATAGACGCGCGAAAGTGACGATCTTTTTTCAAATATGATATTTCATTGTCCAGTAGTGTAGGTACCGTAAATACTCTAATAGAACGTCACAAATCTGCGCGAAATAAGGTTAAAAAATTAATTCTATAAATCTAGTACTACAGGGTGGGCCATAATTGTCGCAACAAGATAAAGTTCTGCTTTTAAGGCAGACAAGAGCAAAAAAAACAAATTTTTAACTGAATAGCATTTATTATACATTGGCAATTATAAATGAACTATCAAATTCGAATTGGCCAGCATTTGAGCAGGCTCGCAGGCGTTTCAGGAAGGCGTCAACGGTGGCGACCAAATAGGCTGCATCGAGCTCTTCCCAAGCTTTCAACAGTAATTTATTCAAGCTTTCGATGCTTTTTTGGGGCTTTAAACAAGCTTTGGCTTCTAGAATCGACCACACTGAAAAATCTATTGGCTTGAGTTCTGGAGAGCTAGGTGGTCACTCAGAAAAAGAAATGGAGTCCAAGAAGTTGTTTTGGCAGAACTCTTAGACTTTCTTGGATTTGTGGGCCAATGCGCCATCTTGTTGATAAGTCCAAATGCGATTTCAAGAATTTTTACGAGCTCAGGGCAAGAGCTCATCCTTGAGAAGAGCCAGGTTGCTATCGGAATTGACTTTCACGCCTTGGGGAACAAATATGAGGGGAGTCTTTCCTGTTGCAGTGATGCCGCCGAAAACCAACACAGAAGCTGGATTTGCATTTCGAGGAACCGTAGCATTCGGTTGAGCTTTGGCCCATACTCGATTATTTTACTTGTTAAGAAGGCCTTCAACGGTAAATATCTTTTCATTGAACAAGATATTGTGATGGTCCACTTCATAGAAGCGCATCAATAACTGACCTCCTCTCAATTTGCGCTTGTTTTTAGCGGCATTCGAAAGAAGTTGAATCTGGTTTTTCTTGTAAGCAATAAGTTTGAGCTTATTTTTGAGGATCCATCGCAATGAGGTGCTTGAAATCGCCATCTTCTTTGCCATTTGCCTTGCAGACTGGTTTGGTTTCTTCCGAATTCGGTCCCTACCTCCCTTGATGTTTGTCTTTGTGACGACAGTTCGGCATCTACCGCTTCTTGGTTGATCAGCAATTGTTCCCGTAGCTTCGTAGCATTGAATAATGACGTTGAATAATAGTGTGGAAAATGACGCTTCTGTGACGCTTATGAACTTTAGGACACTTATGCGCCGAGACTCCTCGCTTGTGCAATTCGATGATCGATTGTCGATGGGGATTTTCCAGCCATTCTAAAAAACAACACATTTTATATGAAAAAAGTTTCAATTATATTCCAAATGTAATAAAAACACAAAAAAAACCGGAAATGAAGCTTAAATCAACGAGTTATTATCCTTGAACGCGCGTGATACCTTGTTGCGACAATTATGGCGCACCCTGTAGTATCTAAAAATACTACTATTTTTTGGTACCAAAAGTGTAGTTGGGAAAAATCTAAGGGCTGAGCAAAAATGATTTTCTAAAAAGGAGTTAGACTACGCGACTGTACGGGGAGATGGCGTTCTATTAGAGTATTTACGGTAGGTAGTTCACAAAAGACAAATAATCAAGTTGCTCAATTCTAACGAACCTGATCTCCACATCTAGGGCTTCCAAATCCAATTGCTTGCACACAACACGTATTCCAGTCTAATTCTCTTACGGTACTCATTGCAAGCATTTGTGCCACGCAAGCGCCAATCGAGTGTCCATTGAACTGAAATGCAAATCAAGATGTAGTTTGAATCTTTTAAATCAAACCATAGCTATCACTTACCAATATTGTATGATCGTTTCCATATTTATCTTTCAATTCTTTAAGCACTTTCCTAAACGATCCTTTTATTTACTTTGTACTTTACCCCTACCCGAGCCGTCTATGAGCGGCAAAGTAGCCTTTCAAAATCAAATTTCCAACATGAGCACTCTCGTTGCAGAAGGGGTGAAATAGCTTTAGCGTCTGAAAAAGTCACCAATTCTGAGCTCACTGAATGATACAGGGCGTTTAAAAAGTGTCTTTCAAACCGAATTTCCAAAAAAGCTTGGATGGCTCCAGGTGGCAGGCTTACTGGGGATGCTCACAGTTTCGCCACCGCCTTTTGAAGTGAGCCTAGCTCATTAGATTGGAAATTTTTTATTTTATATGCTAGTTGTTGTCTTTTGTTAGTTTTTTGTTTAATTTCATGTTTTTTTTCAATCTAGATTTAGAAGCAGAAAAATTTTTTCAATCGAATGAGCTAGGGCATTTGGAAAGGCGGTGGCGTAACTGTGAGCATCCTTAATTAGTTCAAAAAGTGTTTTTAGTCTTAATAATTTTTGAATTTTTAGAGTTTCGGAGTGGGGAGTTTTTTCTGAATAAAACTGAATTTTTTTTTTCTGAATTTTCTGAATAAAAATGTAACCACGCACTTGATTGTCGAGATCTAGCAGTTTCCCAAGCTTGGGATTATCACTAGCAAAATATTCGATGTTTGAAGACCCCGAAATCCAAATCGATATTTCTTTCCATCTACTTTTACCAATAGCAACCTAAAGTTCGTTTCGTGATGCCAAAATATTCATTTTTCGATCTTTGAATTTTTGATGTTGCATTTTTCAAAAAGCTGTAGTTCAGGCTAGACTACCTAGATTGTTCCTCTTTTCTCAAATAATACATTTTGTAGAACTTATTAACTTTTCAAAACTACCGTAATCTCTAGTTTTATCTATTGGGTTGGTGAATTGAAAACTGCGGGCTATTTCGCATGGACTTGCAGATAAAGAAAACAACAGCATTGAACCAGCTGAAAGGGGGTTTGGTTATTTCAACATTTTCTCAAATTATTGCGAAAAAATTATGCTGCCAGCTTTTTATTTTTTGGTATTTTTCTTCACTTCTATTGCACTCGACAATTGGATGATTCCAAATTACTCGGACTCATTACCAACGATCATCGGGTATCATCGCGTGAATTGGGAGAAGAGTTAGCGGTTGATCATGCTACAGTGCTAAGGCACATTACAGTACAGTTACTTGCAAAAGAAGCTACGGACATTATCAATGTCTGACCTTACCCCAATCTTCATTTTTCCCCATAGTCCAACAGAAACAGTAAATCTAAAAACGTTAAAGCATTTTACTTTCTTGTTTATGATTTACTTGTATAAATGTTGCCAGTCGCTTTTTTCGAGACATTTTTCTGGGTTGTCGCTGATGGAATTCAAGCCAATAAAAAGATACTAAAGGATTTTTTAAATTTTAAAAAGTTCTATAAGAATTACTCTTTTAGCTCTTCTTTTAAGACGAATTGATACGTTTTGATTGTTTCTTCGCCCCCATTGTGCGCAATCACAAGTGCACTTATTTCTCCTATGTTGAAAGCAAGAACGTTGGAGCGCTTCACGGTCAGCCGGTGTTCCAGTCGCAATAAATTTTTCCTCAGTGCTAACACTAGTGGTTGTTGTAGTCGTATCGGTGGCAGTTGTGGTAGCTGGTATGATCTTATTCACGGCTTCAATTCGCTCTTGAGTGTCCAATTCTTTGTGATGGCGTCTTTTTTGCACTGTGGTGGCTGTCGAATTTGATGTTGTTGTTGCACTTGCAGCAGTTGTAATAATTGGCAGTGCGTCGGAACCCCTTGCAACATCATTCTTGGCAAATGAGCTAAAGTTGCCAACGTCTTCAAGATCGTCGGCGTGATCAAGATTGTCGACGCTTTTGTTGTCAACAGTTTCCTCAAACCAAAAATGATCAATTTCAGAGTCATCAACTTCTGATCTTGTGCTAGATGCGGTTGTATTAGTTGTCGTAGCCGTTGTACTAGTAGGGGTACTGCTTGCAGTAGTGGTGATTGTCGTAGACCAAGCTGGATCGCTTGTAGTAGCATTTATTGCCATGGCTTCCTCCATTGTCTCCACCCTATCTTCCATTAAAACCGAGTCCTTTCTTGCGTTTAAACGTCGCCCATTGTGCCCAAAAATTACCTGAATGAAAATAAAAATACAGATTTGAATCTTCATATTGGCAACTATGTAATAACTTGTAAAATAATTGTCCATCTTTACTTGACGAACGTTTCTTTCATTAATTTCAGAGAAAATTTGCTGTGAAGAGAATTAATTAGTTTCTGATGACAAATCGATGACATGAAGCAATGTTTGGGGGAAAAGAATTTGATGAAGAGTTGGTGAAACGAAAGAATTCTTTTATTACTTGGTGATGAATCACAAAAGAGGCAAAACATCTGTTAGACCACTATATTTTCGAAAGTGGAAGAAATTGTTGAAAATCAGTGATTCATAATCAATCACAAAATTTGCCCAAGACTAGGAAGTCAGGAAAAACAATGATTAATTTTCATTTCCTGCCTTCTCACCTCTTCAACTCGTACGTTTTTCTTTTCCTTAAATTTCAAATTACTTTTTTGAGCTAACTTTTGCACTATTTGGCTGAAACTTTAGTTAATAAACCTGTTGTTTTATAGAATAAGCATACCAAGAACGGGTTTTTAAGCACAGTTAGTCTTTTATGGTAATCAACATTTTGTCGTCGTTTTAACAAGTCTAACCTATATTTTTAGTGGCGATCACGGCGGAAAGATGCGTTTTGCGGTGGTGCTTGCTGCTGTAATTTTTGGGTTGGCTTTGATTTTATTTCATTTGTAAACTTGTTTTAGTTATGTTTCATCCCTGGAATCCGAGCAATTGCCTACTGCTAATGTGTTAAAGTTGTCGCGGCCTAGTCGTCACAAAGTTGTGGCTCAGCCCGACGAGGAAATTCAAGAGGAAGAGGGTATTGTCTTTGTATTTTTCATAATCTTTAACTGATTGCAACCAAAAGCAGTTTCCTATGGTTTTGAATTGATACAGCACTTTAAACGCATTTGGAAAAACAGCTATTTCACCGCCCAATTAAGTCTCTGCTAAATAAGGTGCGTTGCAAAATGATAGGACCACCCCTAAATTTTACATTTTTTGTTTATGAAATTTAATAACGCGAAATAGCTTTTAAATCCTAGAAATATATATGTTACGTCCGAATCTGAAAAAATCGTCCGAATCTTTCGGAGGAGAATGATCATTCTTCTCGGAATCGGACGTCCGATCTTGAGAACAAATAGTTTAAATGCAAAATCCAATGTTTTGAACAAAACACATGTATTCAGATTAAAATTTTCCTTTTTCTTTCAAATTCAAAGGTAAAATTGATGTGATTGTGCTTTTTCAAGTTTTACTAAAGTGCCGTTAACCTTTATAACAAACATAATATAACAAACAAAAAACAACAACGAAAATTAATAGTTATAGACCATTGACATTAAAAATAAAATTGAAACAAAAAAGAGACAATAATTACTTGTTAGTACAGCTTTTCGAATGGTGGTATCTCGAATTGCAGAGCAAGTCCTTCCTGCGACAAGCGCACCGATTCGTTGTGCATCCGCTCAAGCACATGCAATGGCTGTGACCTAAATGCAAAGAGTTGAGTCAAATAAAAACATTTACAAACTCTCAAACCCATTTAAGAATTAATAAAAATTACTTACCTTGACTCCCTGTGATTGATGCTGCTCCAACGGCTGTTCTCACTGTTGTCTCCTTGTCTGGGATCGAATCGATGGAGATGAAATTGTTGTTGCAGGGAGCCATTTGATTCCTAGTGAACATCTGACGAAGATGACCATCTTGTGTGCCGATGGAGTAGAAACCGTCATTAACGCCTAAAAATTCTTTTACGCAATGCAAATAACTTGACAATTACCTGTAACGACTCGGAGCAAGTTTCGAGGGCCGATCTTGGGGCGATCGACATTTGGAATCGGCATCACCACGCTTTGTCCAACATCAATTGGGCAAAATATAAAAATAATCTTAATGAAAAGTTAAAATTCCAAAAGTACCTTAATTCACTGGCTTGAAGCATCTTTCGTGCTTGTTTCTCCTGAGCAGTCCTTTGAAATCCCGAAATAACTTCGAAGAGCTTTCCACATTATCCCAATACCAGCGTGTCCGAGAGATTGGTGTTTTTGTCGAAGCAATTCATAGAGATCCTCTCGTTTGATGACTTTTGTCCCCTTCGTCCTCTTTGCTCCATCGCCATGATGCAGCAGAATTGAAGTCCCGTTTTCGTTGAATAGAGAATAGCCGCTCCATTGCGTTGATGCCAAATTTCTTTGTCCCTTTGAACAAAATCTAAAATAATTAAAAGTTAATTAAGAAATAAAAACTTTTAAAATACCTCCTTCTTTTTCTTTCGCAATAGCAATAGCATCTTCTTCGTCATCTCTCTCCGGAAAAAATGTTGGATTGTCTGTGATTGCGCCCCGAATCGATTCACTCCAATCGATGATTTCCACATCTTCTTCTCGGCATTCGAAAGTGCAATTGTATCAAGAAACCCAAGCTGCATTTTTCGACCAAACTAAACAACAAAAATAAACAATAATACCAAAAAACCAACCATTGCTTCGTAAGGTGATCGCCCAATGCCCCGGTGATAACGTTGATTCTTCATTGATTGGACAATCGGAAGAATTTGAGCCCATCTTGTTGATTGTTGCTCCCTCAATTGCGTACATAGAATTTTCTAAAACAAAAATATCAGAAAAACTAGTGTTATTAAAAGTTTACCTCAACATCCTGATTTGCTCTTTCTACAGATCCTTGTCTCTGCGAGTGTCGAGGGCGACCATGCACTATTCGACAGCTTGGCCACGGGTTCACGAGTTCTTTGACCTAAAAGCGAACAAAATAAAGCGTCATAAAGAAATTCGATAGGGCACAAAAGGAAAAGCTTACCAATCTGTTGGCGAACTCCTTTCCGTTGTCGGACTGAAGAATATTTGCAGCTCCAAACGTTCCGAATATTTCCATTAGATGATCGACAACTTCAAATTGTGTTTTCCTTTGAAATGCCCGCAAAACGACGAACTTTGTGAAATGATCCTGGTAGGCCATCAAAAACTTGAATTCTCGGAATTCAAAAACGGATTGAAAATCGATTAACTCCACCTGACATCTCTCGTTGAAATCCTTTGTAACAATTGGCTTCACGACTATTCCTTTCTTTGGTGTTCCTTTTTTGAGCTCGCATTCTGGGCACAACTTGACAAAAATTTCGATTACTTCCTTTGAGATCCCATGATAGTCTCGTAGTCCTTGCCACATTATATCTCGACCGGCGTGCCCAAGTCGTTAGTGAGTGGTCGTTAACAGGCCAAAGAGCTCCTCTTTCTTAACGACTTTCTTCGGTCTGTCCAAATCGCCTTTGATCCCATGATTGTAAAGCACCTCTTGATTCAATTCGTATCGAAGAGAGAATCGTACCACAAGTTTTTGTGTTTTTTTCGATGGCTTGAAGTCTTCATTCCGCAATTGTTGGAGAACGGTGACGATTTCCGCGGAATTCCCGCTCGAAAGAATTAAACTTCGCTTTTGATTTGATTGAAAGTGAGAAAACTGCCGGTCGAATCCTTTCTCCATTCCTAAAAAACAAAAACTAGTGTAGTATAAACAAAAAATGCACAGTAACAAAAAGAAAAAATAGGAATGAAATAAGGGGTTATGTTCGATTATAAACAGATTAGTGGTAAACAAGTTTTATCGATGATCCAACAAAGGGGCAAATTGACTTACAAAAACAAACAATTCTATTTCAAAAAAATGATGAATCAGATAGAAAACGAAAAGCCTTTGGTTACACTATGATAAAATGCGCGCTCTTTAGAATGCGTTTTTAGCTTTTAAGCGCCTTTTAGAGAGCTTGAGTTTGTGGTATTGACTTGAGTCAATACATAACTCAAGATTTCATTTTTGATACTTAATCGGCTAGCCGAAGAAGGTTTCGCTAGCGAAAAAATTTGAGACTTAATCGGCTGAAATCCTTCATCGGCTTCGACATATATAATTTTTAACATTATCTGAGCAAATTGCAACAAAATTATAACATTTTCTTTATTTAACACCTGTTGCGAAATGATAGGACCACATAAAAAATAACAATAAATTTGAGAATAAACAAAAGCAAAACAAAAGAATGAAAAGTTGATTCATAATCAATAGATGCTCCGTTTTTCTCGATGACGTCGAGTAGTCGACTTTTCATCGAGTTCACTAAGTTTTGAAGCGTTTGTGGTGGAATTGACGTCCAAGCTTGCCAAATTGCTTGTTTGATTTGCGAAATCGTGTCGTAAGTCTTCCCATTAGCATAAATATTCCTCACGAGGATGCTCCATAAGTTTTCCATTGGGTTTAAGTCCGGTGAGCAGGCGGGCCATTCGAGAAAATCGATGTTGTGACGTTCCAGAAAAGCTTTAGTGGATTGGCTCACATGAATTGAAGCATTATCCTGTTGAAAAATATAGTGTTTCCCTCGAGTTTGTGCTAGGAAAGGAAGTAGTTGATCCGCAAGGACATTCTGGTAATCGTTCGAGTTCATGCGGCAAGTCACAAATTCTAAATCAAGAACGTCATCCACATTGAAAGCGCCCCATATCATCAGCGATCCTCCTCCGAAGTTTCGACGCCCACAAAGCATTGGATCTTTTCTCAAATCGTGCCAATAGTACTTGTTGCGGTCGGAACCATCCAAATTAAATTTTTTCTCATTGCTGAAGATGACCTACAAAGAAAAAAAATAGATAACAACTCAAGGCAAAAAGTTTACTTTTTTCCAATCGATGGCGATGTGATCCCGAGCCCAAGACATCCTTTTTTTCTTGGGTGCCGGCTTCAGTTTTGGTGCTTTCTTCATAATTGCTCTTTTGATGTAACAGATGTAACACTTGATGGCTCGAGAAAGAGTGCTTTTGTGGACGGGAGCTCCAATTTGTACCTTGACGTCCTGTAGCGACATCACCGAATTCGACAAAAGACGTCCCATATGCCGTTCAGCGCGGACCGTGAGCTTTCGATGACGGCCCGGAGACTTTTTCTTGCCATACTTGAAAGGATCCTTCAAGAAATTTGAGACAGCTTGGTGCGAGCGCTTCATTTTTTTGCGATCTTCCGATTCGACAACTTTCTTACTTTCAAAATCAAAATTTTCATCTGTTCGATCCGCGAAAGCGATTTTCCACGTCCCATCTTCCTAAAAAATAAAAAGTAAGCAAAAAACATGGTTATTACAAGTAAAAAATCAAAAAGCAACGTAGTGATCCTATTATTTTGCGACAGGGGTAAAATAAAATAAGCTTAAAAAATTACGGAAGAACTACCACGTATTGTCTTTGAATTGATACAGGGCTTTAATCGCATTTGGAAAAACAGCTATTTCACCGCCCAATTAAGTCTCTGCTAAGTAGTAAAGTCTAATCTTGAAGCTTGCTTAATTTTGGTTTTCAGCCGAGGGAACTCTCGTAACTTTTCCCCCTCTCAGAACAACACCAACACGAGCGACGACGACAGAACCAGAAGAAGAAGAACGTATTGTCTTTGAATTTATACAGGGCTTTAATCGCATTTGGAAAAACAGCTATTTCACCGCCCAATTAAATTTCTGTTAATTAGTAAAGTTTAATCTTGAAGCTTGCTTAATTTGGGTTTGGGAAAAACGTCTGTTTCACAACGCAACTAAATTTCTGTTAATTAGTGAGGTTTAATCTTGAAGCTTTCTTAATTTTGGTTTTCAGCCGAGGGAACTCTCGTAACTTTTCCCCCTCTCAGAACAAGACCAACACCAGCGACAACGACCGAACCGGAAGAAAAAGAACGTATTGTCTTTGAATTTATACAGGGCTTTAATCGCATTTGGAAAAACAGCTATTTCACCGCCCAACTAAATTTCTGTTAATTAGTGAGGTTTAATCTTGAAGTTTTCTTAATTTTGGTTTTCAGCCGAGGGAACTCTCGTAACTTTTCCCCCTCTCAGAACAACACCAACACCAGCGACGACGACAGAACCGGAAGAAGAAGAACGTATTGTCTTTGAATTTATACAGGGCTTTAATCGCGTTTGGAAAAACAGCTATTTCACCGCCCAATTAAGTCTCTGCTAAGTAGTAAAGTTTAATCTTGAAGCTTGCTTAATTTGGGTTTGGGAAAAACGTCTGTTTTACAACGCAACTAAATTTCTGTTAATTAGTGAGGTTTAATCTTGAAGCTTTCTTAATTTTGGTTTTCAGCCGAGGGAACTCTCGTAACTTTTCCCCCTCTCAGAACAAGACCAACACCAGCGACGACGACCGAACCGGAAGAAAAAGAACGTATTGTCTTTGAATTTATACAGGGCTTTAATCGCATTTGGAAAAACAGCTATTTCACCGCCCAATTAAATTTCTGTTAATTAGTAAGGTTTAATCTTGAAGCTTGCTTAATTTGGGTTTGGGAAAAACGTCTGTTTTACAACGCAACTAAATTTCTGTTAATTAGTGAGGTTTAATCTTGAAGCTTTCTTAATTTTGGTTTTCAGCCGAGGGAACTCTCGTAACTTTTCCCCCTCTCAGAACAACATCAACGACGAAGACATTTACTTCTACAACCATGAAGACGTGGATTACTACAACTACAGGTTTGAGGTTTAGCCTTGGACGATTGATTTGTAGAATGACAGAATTTAATTTTAGAGATCGCGACTGCCGCTACAAAAAGGATAACAACTGTTTCATCAACATCGACACAAAGTTCAAAGCTAACCATCACGACAAGGACGACTCAGAGTCCAAATGGAACTACTGTTACAACTTCTGGTTTGTCTTTAATTTCTCGAGTTATCTCTTTGCATTAAAGGACCTTCAATGTTCACTACAACGGTTGCATTGCCAAGATATTAATGAGGAGTTGCTGAAACGAAAGAAATCTTTTGTTTGGTTACGAGTTTGTCAAAAGACAAAACATTCGTTCGACTGCAATATTTTCAAAGAGACAAGGTCATGGAGTGCTTGGGCTGAAGCCGATTTCAGGAATGGCTTTCTTGAGTTCATTCCCGCTCGAATATTGCTTGTTTCCCTTGTAGACATCTCGAACGAGTGTCCCGCACACATTCTCAATCGGGTTCAAGTCTGGGCTGCAAGCGAGTTTGTATTTGAGTATTGTAGATCGTTTGACAACGTTGTGCACAAGTTTGGCGAGTGACTGGAAGCTTCATCTCCTTGCGAACCTCTTCGAGTGATGTCGTCGTGTTGGAAAGACGTCTCGTAATTGCGCGTTCGTCTTGATCGGTCAACTTTTTCTTCCGGCCGTGTTTCTTTCTTCTTAGGAGTCACTTTGGTCTTGAGATACGTGCGAATACACTTCTCAGAACGTCCGATGCGACGAGCAATGTCCCTGTTTGAGTGGCGTGTGGAGCACATAGATACGCGTTTTTCCACCACATCCAGTTGTTTTCCAAGTGGCATATCTGAAAATGTAAAAAACATTTATAAGCATAACTAATAACCAAAAAATGAGAAAAAACTAACAATTATCGATAGAATAAATCGTCAAATAAAAGTCTATAATTTTTTGACAGCTGATAAAACGTTTTTTGTACGATAAAGTACTTTGGATAAGTGAAATGACTTGAAATTTTGCATGGGTTGTTTTTTACATTAAAGAAACTAAAATACTTTTCACTGGACTAGCCAAAACTAGCAAAAAACAGGGTGCGTCTATAATTTTTTGACAGAGTGTATAAGCCAAGTCTCAGGTGTGCTTAAACTACAAAATGGTTTGATTTAAGCCATTTTATCAGCTGATCTCAAATAGAGCTCTGTACATGAGAAATCTCGAGTTTCTGCCTACTTTTCTTTGTTGCTGAGGAAAGGTCGAATGTTAGGGATCCAGTTTTTTCCCCTCTTTAACCCGATTTGAGACTCAGAGCCGGTGTGCGAAAGGGGAAATCGATGGAATAGTTTCTTTTCTCTGAGAATCTCCTTTTCTGCCTACAAACTGAACCCAGCGATCCGTCTCAATCCACCAAGGAAATCATTTTTCACCTGGATATTCTTTTTGTGAAAACATCTGTATTTGAAAAAATTCAACTCATTTATTGCTCTTTTCTATGAATAATAACAATCGAACTTGTAAGTTTACGATTTCAACTAGAAATTTCATTTTCATCTAGTGGTTCTTGTCACTGGCGCCAGTGGATATGTGGCTTCTCATTGTGTGAAATTGTTGCTTTCAGAGGGATATTTGGTAAGGTAAAATTTGTAATTGAGCATCTTTCAAAGATGAATTTTTATTTAAACTTACAATTAGCAAGTCCTTTTGAGGTGTTAAATGCTAGCTTCAACATTTGTTTAGGTTCGAGGCACTGTCCGTTCGCTGAGTAACCCGAAAAAAGTCGGTCCAATCAAGAAATTGGATGTCGACGGTCGATTGGAGCTTGTTGAAGCAAATCTTCTGCAAGAGGACGGATGGCAAAGGTTTGGAAGTGGCAAAAAGAAAATTACTAACGGCCAAAGAGATTTCTCTTTGGTATCTTTCACAAAAGCAATGAATAGCAGTTGGGTGCTTCAATGGCTCGGAGCTAGGCTCGCAGACTCCATTAGGTTCCCATTCGAGAGTCAGTTCTCATTCGGTTCCCATTTGGTTGCCAATCGGTTCCCATTCGATTTCCAATCCCAGCTGCCCTGTGGGCAATCCCTCCATAGATCGCATCCGAAACGTTGCTTATAAGCTAACCACCGTTTGCTCTGCAAGCCAAACAATAAAATTGACAAGAAACACTGTTTTGAAGCTTCTCCAGGGTCCTTTTACAAAAAATGAATCGAGGATGACGTTTGTTGACAGAAACCGACAAATTTTGTAACATTTATCATTAAGGTGCTCTAGGTGACACAAGAAATTGAAAAGCACGGCGAAAGCATGCGAAGATGTTGGAGAGTCACGAGAAGATCCCAAAAAAAAAAATTAGATTTCGGCTGAGTAGGAGAAAAATGCGACAGAATCGACAAAATCGAAATGGGCGAGGGCACAAAATAGAATTTGGCCTTTGGCAGCCAAGTGAAAAGGGTCATGTTTTGGGGGTTCACTTAACTAGCAAAAGAGCCAGTTTGCCAAACTATTATACATAAACCGTTTTCTAAAAGAGCGTTTTTATTTTGAAATTTTAGTGCCGTTCGTGGTTGTGATTATGTGCTTCACGTAGCTTCTCCTTTCCCGATTGTTTCAACGGAGGAGACGATTAAAACAGCAATTGATGGAACACTTAATGTATTAAAGGTAGGGCATTGGAAAACTTGAGCTAATTTGTTTCAACTTTTATTAAAGGTCCTTAGCAAATCATTTTAGAGGTAAAGAATTATAAAATTTTAGTTAGAGTTGTTTGTTTAAAAGAAACTAATTCGTTTTAGGCTTGTCAAAATGAGGCATCGGTGAAGAAAGTGGTGCTCACCTCGAGTTGTGCAGCGGTTAATGGTGGGTTTGAATTGTTTTAATGCTTGAAACCTAAAAAATGACTAATTTAGAATTTAAAACAGTAAGGTTAAGATCATTTAAGAGCGAGGCCAATTATAGAATTAAGTTATTTAAGAATTCAAAACCAGGAAATTTTAATGAAACAATTTCAAAACTTGGCTCAAGACAGGCTAAAGACCTATTTTTTAGCTACCTCGTAACTAAAATGTGTTTGGATTCTAGAGTTTTATGAATAAGCTTTATTTCCAAGCCTTTGGCAATCTTAAAATTTGAGAAGGAAACGATCCCGATCGAATTTTCGATGAAGGGAGTTGGACAAACACGAGAAGCTCCCAAGTCGACTTTTACGCAAAAAGCAAGACATTGGCCGAGAAAGCAGCATGGGATTTTGTGGCCAATATACAGGATGGAAATAAGTAGACCAGCTGAAAGTATTCAGATATGCAAAATTATAGATTTAAACTGACAACCCTTAATCCAACGCTGATCGTCGGTCCACCACTGATTGATGATGATCAAGGAACGAGTATTACGGTAAGTTTGATGCTATTTAAAATGGCTTTGATTGACCGCATTTTACTGTTTATTACTGTCCTTTTAGTTGATTCGACGATTTTTGAATCCTTGGGAGATGCCCGGTGTGCCGGGAGTCTCCCTGGCGTTGGTTGATGTGAGAGATGTGGCAAAGGTGAGTGTAAAATGCGATAGAAGCAAAAACTGATCAAAATCAAGACCAAAGCTTGAAGCTATTGGGTTGATGAATTGAAAACTGCGGGCTATATCGCGGGACTCGCAGATAAAAAACAACAGCATTGAACCAGCTGAAAGGGGGTTGAGATAACATTTCCTAAAAGTTTTAGCCACTTAGCCAGCAATGAGCCTGCGAAATCAAAAATCTGATATTCAGGCTCACATCGAGGCAATGAGGCGGCCGGAAACTGATGGGGAGCGGATCCTTTGTACTTCTCAGCCATCCTTCTGGTTCCGAGACTTTGCTCGCATTTTGGGTAAAGAGTTTCGACGACAGGGTAAATTTCAAAGTTTTCTTTCAAATTAAGCCAAGACTTTGTTAACAAGATCAATTCTCCCAGGAGCAAACAATTTCCAGGTTACTGGGTGCCTTTGATCCAAGTTCCCTATGCTGTCGTTTACATTTTCTCATTCTTCGACGCGCAAGCTGCCTCCGTTTTGCATAGAATTGGACCAGAAGTGAAATTTTCCAACAAGAAGGTAGTCAAAAACCAGTTTTCTATAATACTATATGGAAAGTGCCTCATTAAAACTTAAATGATGCAATTTTGCAGGCAAAACGCTTGCTCGGTTTGGAGTTTCGCGATCCAGCTGAGTCGATCGTCGAGATGACTTATCATTTGATTGAACGTGGAATAATCAAGAAGAAATCCGGATATACGGGAATGCCGGACAAATACAAAATGGCTTTGTGAATAAAAGTTGATTCGTGAACTGGCAAAATGATCTTGAAGTTGATCAAATAGCAGTGCTACTACTTGTTCATCTTGAAGTGCAATCGTTTAATGGTAATTTTAGTTGAAAAACGCTGCCGGGGACTGCAAAATAGACATGGGCTTTGGGTCGGTTTAGGTCCAGCTAAAATGCGATTTTTCCGATCACATTATCCCAAGCTGTAAAAATCCCATAAATAATTTCTACTGATTCTAAAGCACTACCCTTTACGGTTCGAATGAAAGATGTTCAAGATGTTAAACTTTCTAGGAACAACAGTGTATTAAATATTCCCATGTTAATCATAACCAAACATAACAAATAACTCACAAAGCGAATGTTATCAATTCATCTCCATCTTCGGTAGTCTCCTCAGAGGCCAAACGTCATCTCCATTATTGTATTCTTCTGTCTCTTCAGCATGTGCAGAGCACTCCCGTGATTGATTTGCATACAATTGGTAGACTGTCCTTCATTCATATATTTCTTCTTTACTTTTTGGCCACGAGTTCTGCCTAAATCTGCGACTTTATATTGAAATAGTGATTGATATAAAGTGACAAAGGCAAACAAACCCACCTAACGTGCTTTTGGTTACAGGTTGTGTTCAGAGTTGAATAGCCGTTGAATTTTTCATGCGTTGTCTCTTTGGATTATTTAAATGTATCCCGGCAAAGCTAGATAAAATGATGGTTGTATACAAACAGATCGAACTTACGAAAACACGTGTTCTGCACTGACACTGATAGCAGAAGAAGAGAAAATTTCACAGATATTGATGATCACATTATACGGGTGCAGCCACATGATTATCCTCGTCCAATGGCTAAATTAGAAAATATGTAACTCAATAAATTAGCTTGTAACTTCATAAGCTTAGCAGCCAAATCAACTTTTCAATTCACTATTTTATAACTTTAAAGTCAATAAATTAACCTGAGCAGGAAGTAAGTAAAAGCTTTTAAACACAACTTACCAAATATTGAAGAAGCGTGTATGGTTCTTTGTGTTCCAGATGGATGAATTGAAGTGACCCCAATGATTCTAAATAAATATATTAATATATTGAAACTAAATCAACAAAGTTAAAAACAAATTATAAAAAGAATACAAATAAACGTATTGAACAATATATTTTAGCTAAAAAAGAATGAAAAATGAGATGATTTTTGTTGTAAAATTTACGGGGGTGGGACAAATGCTACCTTTTTTTGCGCACCTGGACATTTGGGCACCTTTTTTTGCTGGAAAAGGCCTTAGGAAAGGTCGTAGAGCTTCAAAAATGTTTCATAGAAGGGAATCGGATGCGTAGATTCAGAATTTTGACAAATCAGACCTCGCTGACATGTCAAATTTGGGCTAAAAGGCAAAAACTACGCAACTTAACGCTTTTCCGCAGTTTTTGCCTTTTAGCCCAAATTTGACGTGTCAGCGAGGTCTGATTTGTCGAAATTCGGAATCTACGCATACGATTCCCTTATACGGAATTATTTTCGAAGCTCTACGGCCTTTCCTAAGGCCTTTTCCAGCAAAAAAAGGTGCCCAAATGTCCAGGTGCGCAAAAAAAAGGTCGCATTTGTCCCACCCCCAAAATAGACATTTATTCCTTCATTTTGATGCAAAAAGATTAAAAATTTGATAGCAGGTTTTGAAGGAATACATGTTTGAATTAGACATGTGCACTATAAGCTATAAAAATAACGAACTGTCACACTACAAACGCTTCTAACTTGCTTCAAATCTACCTGATTGACTTGATCTATAGCTTAAAAAATAGAATCTCAAGAGCTTTCGAGTAGAAAAAAGTAGACTCAAAAATATCAATGCTAAATAGAGTTACAGTGGTTTGTAGCCGCAAGCATGGTCCTTTTCGAGTCAGGACTACAAATCACTGTATCTTTCTTTAGCATTGATATTTTTGGGTGTGCTTTAGTCCATTCGAAAGCTCTTGAGATTCTCTATTTTAGCTCTTCTCTATTCTCTATTTTAGTCCTGACTCGAAACGGACCATACTTGCGGCTACAAACCACTGTATCTTTCTTTAGCATTGATATTTTTGAGTCTACTTTATTCTATTCGAAAGCTCTTGAGACTCTCTATTTTTTAAGCTATACCAATCCGACAAATTTGATGTAAATTAGAAGCGTATATAGTTTACGTTTGTAGTTTATAGTGTCCATGTCTAGTTTGAATGTATGACTCGATTTAAGGGCCCTCAAAGTTCCGGTGTTTACCAGAAATTTTTCTGAAAAAGATGTTGTAAAAAGAAAATACGAATTTGGGCAAATATCTAGGTACAATTTAATTTGTGGCACAAACTCTAACTAAATTAGAATCTCGTCTCTAATTAGGCTACAAAAAGTAAAAAACGAGAAAATTACGTCGCCTTTTCTCCTTTTACCTCTCATTTCCGTGTAATCCATTTTTCTGGGTTTATCTGTTGGTGGCAACGAGACAAAAATCTTAAATCATGTGTTGCAAAGTCTATTGAAATCATTTTGGTCATTTATTTTAGCAATAAATCCTTTGTGAACTTGTTTCTCATTAAAAACTCACGTTTTAAGCCGTTTTAATTACCCAAGTCATCTGGAAAGTATGCCTAGATGCTTATTTTTCATGCTAGAACTAAGAAAAGCAAGCATGACTTCAATTTCAAAAGGTAAATTCTAATTTTGAGTGTTTTTTTTGTTGGAACTAGAATGTTTTCTTTTGAAAGCAACGTTTTGAGCCGATTTAATTACCCAAGGCCAGGCACTAGATGAGATTTTGGCTGAGGGAGACAAAAAGAAAGCACAATTTAAGAAATTGACCATGCTTTGTTCATATTTGACTCGGGGATTATTGAGGCTTGTGAGGCTCCAGGTTTAGCAGATTTTGGCGCAAAAACCTCTTCAAATCATTTTTTCAAGCAACTGCTTTATTTGGACTTACTTTTAAGTGATTAAAGAGTTAGTTAGACTCAGAAATCTTTCAGTTTTTCAAATCTTCTGCATCTAAAATCAAAATCGCAGCAATTCAATTAATCAAGACAACTTTTACATCTTTTTTTCTTTTAAAATACATTAAAAATCAAAGCAAACAATGAAAAATCAATTCGAATTTAGATGATTGGATTGGACAATTTAAGAAATTGACCATGCTTTGTTCATATTTGATAAATTTTATCAAAATCCAATTTAATTACCCAAGTCAAAAACCTAAAATCAACTCAAAACAAACAAACAAACAAACAAACTTGTTAAACAAAATTTTCTCAAGGAAAAGCAAGAATTCTTTTTCATTTGTCAATGAATCACGAAGTTTTTCCTTTACAAAACCCTATTTCCCATTTGTTTTCTTCTCTTTAAAAAGCAAAAAAAGAAAAAAAAATTGCATTATTCAGCGGCACTCAAAATTCTGTTCGTGGCTTTGCGTGACAATTTTTAGGCAATTTTCAGTAATCAAAACATTTGCGGGTTTTTGAACGTTTGTAAGTTCAAACTTTTACAATTTTGAGTTGAAATTAGATAAATTTTCAAAAGATTTCGATTTGAAAGTCATCTCGAAAGGCGATTACGGATTTCTGGAGCTAAAACCTCTCTCGATTGCATGAGATTTCGTTTTCATTTCTTGTTTCTCTAAAATACTCAATTTTCTTTAAAATTCTCATCAATTTTTGATCAATTTTTATTGAAACTACTTTTTCTTGCTCTTAAATAAGCCGTGAGTCAGTATTTGCTCATACAAAAAGATCGTTTGAACTTTTGAACGGTTGAAGTAACTTTGTGCAACAAAAAAAACGCTTTTTTGAATCCAATCATCTAAATTCAAATTGATTTTTCATTGTTTGCTTTGATTTTTAATGTATTTTAAAAGAAAAAAGATGTAAAAGTTGTCTTGATTAATTGAATTGCTGCGATTTTGATTTTAGATGCAGAAGATTTGAAAAACTGAAAGATTTCTGAGTCTAACTAACTCTTTAATCACTTAAAAGTAAGTCCAAATAGAGCAGTTGCTTGAAGAAGTGCTTTGAAGAGGTTTTTGCGTCAAAATCTGCTAAACCTGGAGCCTCACAAGCCTCAATAATCCCCGAGTGAGCACTAGACGGGAAAATTCCAAGCCGAACCTAATTCCACATTTGTTTTCTTCGTCGATTGCTCTAAAATTTTGCCTACGGATAGAAATCAACATTTTCAGCAAGAAATAGCCAAGAAAACGAAGGTGGAATTAGGGTTGGCTTGAAATTTTCCAATGTCTAGTGAGCACTAGACATGGGAAATCGAGGCGGTTCGAGGCGACGATATTTTGGCACTAAATTTCACCTTAATCTAATTCTTTTTACATTATATAGAGCATCTTATGGGCTACATTTTGACACATAATAAATAGCAAAATCTCCTGTGGATGAACGAGATAAATACGTTTGAACTGTCGCCCCGAAGAGGCTTTCGGGGTGACCCGTCGCGACGGGTCAACCAGGTTTTTCTCATTCAATTCAAAAAGATATTGAGAAGTATTATAGGTCAAAATGTAGCCAATAATGTGCTCTATTTAATGTAAAAATAGTTAGAACAATAACATTTTTTGGTAAAAACTTTTGGTTAAAATATCGTGGCCGCGAACCGCTCCGATTTCACCCCGATTTCCTATGTCTAGTAAGCATCACAGAAAGATCATACAGGCAAAACGCTTGCCAGTCGATAAAGTGAGCATTTATTTGCACAGTTTTGTCAATTCCTATAGACGGAGAATAACTCCAGAATTGAGTTGAGAAATCGGGGAATTCTCTCTTTTCCATTTTTCATTTTCGATTTTCGATTTATCGTCTTAAGTTTTTGATTGAAAAATCTTCTCAAAAAATTCAAAAAGTTTATCTTTTTGTTGTCTTTGAAATCCGAGCTTGAATCTGAATGCGAAAATCGTTGAGTAAACAATTTTTAGCGTTTTTTTTCTTGAGGAAGAGACCAAAATTCATCATCCAATCTTTGCTCGTTTTGAAAATTCTCTCAAATGTTAAGGTTTAGTTTGAAAATTAGAACTAGAACTAGCACGAGAAAGCTTTTTTTCATTTGAACAAGAGATTTTGTGGGAAATTTCATTTCCAAATGGACATTTGGTCCCTCTTTGTTCGTCTCTTTCTCAATCATCCAGCTCTTTCAAAGATCTACGTTCTCATTTATGATTTTCTCCTAAAATTTATACATCTCTAAAGCTCTTTGTCAGCTTAAATACTTATACTTAAAAGATAATTAAGAAATACTTCGGATATTTATACTTAATACTTACAAAGGGAAGGTCAACTGGCTGAGCCGGTCAAATGCTATGCGTATACCATTAAACGCAGAATTTGATGCTGATTCCGAATCTATATTCTGCTTTTGCTAAAGGAGAATCTGCCAGGAGCTATAAGCGTCTAAAATTTTGTTTGGGCTCAGAAAATGTGGTCATTTGGGTCTTAGCGGAGGTCTTACGTTCTTAGCGGAGGTCCTTCTTGCGGATTGAATTGAATGCGGCCGTGGCCGAGTGGTAGGACTCTAGAGCGAGACCACACAAGTTTGATCCTCACTTTAGACTTTGCTTTCTTTCAAGAAGTGCTGACTAGTCTTCTTTGCTGATCTTGCTGTTCTTTCTTTGCTAGTGCTGACTTTTACAACAGAAAATCTACTATAGATTAGGCTGGCTAATAAGTAATGACAGATTTGCTGGGAGATTGTCTCAAACTTAACCAATCTTAACGAGTTTGATCTTATTCGAAAGCTGTATTCAATAGGAACACAGTAGCGAAGACCATTTGTTGATTCGTTCTGTTTTAAAGTTTTTATAAGTATTTAAGTGAGCTCAGTCAGACCAAAAAAAGCTTCAAAACCATATTTCGTCAATTTTTCAGTTAAAAACCTGGGCTAAAAGCATGTTTTTCGTGATCAGCTGAGAGCAGTGAGAATAATTGAACTATAACTTAAAATTGTAAGTATATACAGCAAGATTTGCACAAGTTTTTATAGTTTCTGATATCTTTATTCACTCTGTTTCCCTCATCTATTATTTGTTATTCGCCCATTATGAAGCTGGTGTTCTATTAGAGTATTTACAATTAGTTTTAAGTTGATTTTATTAGGTTGTCCAGTTATGAATGCGCGCCTGCTCTTGAACAGCGTACCTTAGGGCTATACAATTTTATCAAGCCCTATTCTCTATATGTTGTTCAAGATTTCTTATTTATTACAACTTTTCGTGTTTTTGACGTTAAACTAATTCATTTTTTATTTAATTTCCGTGTTTAGATGACCGAGACGAAGTTTCGTCTTCGTGCCAGTCTTTGGTATGGCTTCAAATTGGGCAAAAATGCCGTTGAATCCCATCGAGATCTCTGCAAAATATTTGGCGAAGATGCTATTTCGGAAAGCCAGTGTCAACGATTTCGAGAAGGAAATGAATCTTTGAAAGACGACGACCACCTCCTGCGATCGATAATGCAGTACTGAAGCAGGCGATAGAAATGGATCCTCGACAAACTACACGTGAACTTGCAGAAATATTTAGAGTAAGCCCTCAAACAATTTGCGAGCATTTAAATCAATTGGGGAAAACAAGCCGACAAGGGAAATGGGTTCCTCATCTCCTCAGCAATGCCAATAAAGCTACTCGTGTCACTATGGCGGGTATTCTTCTTCGTTTGGCAAAAAATACTGGGTTTTACGATGAAATCCTTACTTGCGATGAAAAATGGATTCAATATGATAATTCTACACGAAAACGGCAATGGCTAGAACCTGGTGAGGAGCCAATACCAACACCAAAACCCGACTTCCATGGCAAGAAAGTTATGCTTCCTGTCTGGTGGAATTCCCAAGGCATTGTATATTTTGAGCTGCTTAAACCTGGACAAACAATCACGGGCGAAACGTATGCACAACAATTGGAACGAGTGAACAATGTATTGCTACAAAAAGGCCTTGATCCTTCAAACATAAAGTTCATTCAAGATGAATTCCACACGTTGCAAAGATTGTTCAGGAAAAACTCGAAGAGTTGGGCTGGGAAACTCTCCCGCATCCGCCATATTCTCCGGATATTTCTCCTTCGGATTACCATTTATTTCGCTCAATGCGAAACCATTTGGCCGAAAACAAATTCAAAGAAGTTCAAGAGGTCGAAAAATGGATAGCCGACTTCTTTGCCTCAAAACAAGCCAATTTTTACGCGGAGGGAATTCATTCTTTGCATGGAAGATGGAAACAAATATTGTTAACAAATGGTGAATATATTGTTGATTGAGCTGTTAAACTGTTGGTTTTAAAATAAAGAGTTGTTATCTTAAAAACGCACATTTATAACTGGACAACCTAATAGTTAGATTCAGTCCAAGAATGGAGAATGCACTTAAGCCAAAGATATACAAGTTACTTTTTTACTTTCTTAAGTATTTCTTATTAAGTATCTTAAAAAAAGAAGTATATACTGGTTTATTCAACCAATTCAACCAAGAATCACAATACAATAACCACAAAAATCCTATTGAAACCCTATCCTAAACTACTTACCCTAAATACTGTAATAGTACCCCACGCCCCTCGTACAGTTGGGTAATCGCAAAAGTTTTTTTAGTATTTCATTATTTTCCAAACGCCTGTACTTTCAAAAAATGCGTCTTTGGTATCAAAAAATAGCCCTGAATTTCAGCTATTTTTTGATACCTAAGCGAGCATTGTAGCATAAACCAGTGTCGAGAAAAACTCGTTCAAAGCTAGACTACGCAACACTCCGCATCGTCATTATGGGGCTGGGGTACTATTACAGTATTTACGGTAGTTACTTTATGAAGTTAGCTAGTTAGATAAGCTTATTAAGTTACCAGAAAAACCATGCTAATACCAGGTTTTCTTGCGGGGTTCCATGAGTCCCCGAGGCGCAGTCGGCAGCGCGTTTGTCTACAGTGCACACGATCCGGGTTCGAGCCGCCTACCGCGTCTCGATCTTGACTTTTTGACTTTTTATTTTAAGTGACACAACTACAATATATTCTTAAGATTTTCTAAAGAAGTTTTAGCTTTATTCATCAAAAAACGGCCGAGAAAAAGCCAGTAATAGTATCCCACCCCCCTCGTACAGCCGGGTAGTCGCAAAAGTTTTTTTAGTATTTCATTTTTTTCCAAACGCCCATACTTTCAAAAAATGCGTCTTTGGTATCAAAAAATAGCCCTGAATTTCAGCTATTTTTTGATACCCAAACGCGCATTGTAGCATAAACCAGTGTCGAGAAAAACTCGTTCAAAGCTAGACTACGCAACACTCCGCACCGTCATTATGGGGGTGGGGTACTATTATAGTATTTACGGTAAGTATTAGGCTGACTAATAAGTAATGACAGATTTGCTGGGAGATTGTCTCAAACTCAACCAATCTTAACGAGTTTGATCTTTCTTCTAAACAAATTTTTTAATTGAATCTTTAAATCCAATTGTATCCTTAGTCCATTGTATCCTTGTTCTAAGATTGTTAAAAAAAGGAAATGAAACCATTTGCAAAACTAGAAGCGAATATGAAAGTGCTTTCAGTTATAATCGGCTTTTTCGGTCAAAGATCGAAGGATTTTGTTGTAAGTCCTCTGTTTTTGTCAACAGCATTTTGAACAAGCTCTGTTTTTGATGAAAATCATTTTTCGGTAATCATCTCTTTATTGAATTTTCAGCTATCAAATCATTTGATCTTTGTTTATCAAAGAAAAGCTTTCTTTGAAGCTAAAAGCTAAAAGAAAAGCTAAAAGCTTCTTTCTGAGATCATCATGAAACCCATCAAAAAAAATGTTTTTTCTCTGTCCATTTCATTCTCATTTCATTCTCATTTTTCTCATCTATTCCCTCATTTCGATTCTCTTTATCATAATCGGATTTGGTGTGTTTGAACGAGAAGAGAAATGCGAATCACAGCAATTTCCCGAACTTACTTTCCTATTTTTATCGACTTTTGATTCTTTAAATCAAAGCCTATCTTGTTTTCAAGAGTGCCCTGCAATTGTTTTTTTTAAAGTATACATTGTGCTTAAAAATATCAGCACACAATTTCTGATATGTCATTTTTTTCAAAGATAAGTTTAATTTAAAAGAAACTAGTGAGTTTCTGCAAGTAATCCATTTTCTATTTCTATTCCATTTCTATTCCACTTCTATTCCATTTCTATTCCATTTTCTTTTCTCTTTCTACCGTAAACTTGTCTATATTCTTATTATGCTGGAAAGAAGATTCGTAGAAAAAGTTTGCACGATGATTTCTCAAAAATCAAGTCATCAATTCTTCCCAGATTTTTTCAAAAACTTGACTTTCATATTAGCTAGACTTAATGGAAAGTGGGGTATTTTTAGATCAAAAATTGAGGCTTTAGGTGGATGTTTTCAAGGAAAGTACAATATGACGAGAGTTAGGATTACGATCACCTAGATTTGATGCTATTTACTAGAGCTTGGCTTGGATTTGTAAGCAATAGATTAGGTTGGAAAGAAAGTTCTCGGAAAAAGTTTGCACAATGATTTCTCAAAAACCAAGCCATCAATTCTTCCCAGATTTTTTCATAAACTTGGCTACATTTTAAAGTTTTTAACAACAAAATCAGAGTGAATAGGTAAAAATATAAGAGATTTCTTCAGCTGAAGTGACTTGGTATAACTTGGTCTTGGTGACTTGGTCTTGGTGACTTGGTCTTGGTGACTTGGTCTTGGTGACTTGGTCTTGGTGACTTGGTCTTGGTGACTTGGTCTTGGTGACTTGGTCTTGGTGACTTGGTCTTGGTGACTTGGTCTTGGTGACTTGGTCTTGAGATAAGAGATCTCTTCAGCTGTCACCAAGTCACCAAGTGACTTGGTCTTGGTGACATGACTTGGTCACTTTTTGAGTGACTAGCCTTCAGACAAGTTTTTAATGGGTTAATGAATAGGCAATGGGTTTCATTCAAAACCTAAAATCAAATACTTAAAATAGAGAAAACTTGCGATAAAGACAAATTTAATCTAATGCTTTTTAACTTTTCAGAACCACCTATTTTAGCAAAGTGCCAAGAAGATGACATAAAAAAGTTATTTTTTGAAATACAGCTTTTCTGTAAAAAAATTTTTGGCTAAAAATCGAGATTATAAAGCGTATTGCTCATTTATGATAGCTTTACCTCATAAGGAATCGTTCTGGTGCAAAAAGTGAGCTGAATGAGCTGAGATTGGAAAGTGAGCTTGGAGCTTCAAAAAAGTGAGCTTGGAAAATAATGGTTTGTTCAAAAATCTCTAAAATTTTAAGAGAAAGCTGTACTTATTTTTTTTACAAGTAATTTCTTGGAGTCACCTTGTAAATAATAGAAGAAAATGTTGTTGAATTAGTGGATTTGTTTTTAAGAAATTCAAGTCAAACTTTTTTTTGAGAACTTTCTTTCCAATCTAATAATATTTCTTTGGTACAGAAACGAACTCGGACTTTATATAATTTCGCACGGCAGAGTCGGATCGGCCCAAATTTTTTGCGATTTTCCTTATTGAGTCGCCAGTCCTCAAATGGGCATCAATCTGGCCTTTCTCATAATCCGTGAGCAGCTTTCCGTATAATTTCGCACGGCAGAGTCGGATCGGCCCAAATTTTTTGCGATTTTCCTTATTGAGTCGCCAACCCTCAAACGAGCATCAATCTGGCCTTTATCCTAATCCGTGAGCAGCTTTCCGTATAATTTCGCATGGCAGAGTCGGATCGGCCCAAGTTTTTTGCGATTTTCCTTATTGAGTCGCCAGTCCTCAAACGGGCATCAATCTGGCCTTTATTCTAATCCGTGAGCAGCTTTCCGTGTGCCATTTACCTGGAAATTAACAAAAATTATAAATTTAATAAAAAAATATGCACAACAAAACGAAAAATTTCAAATAACAACAGCAAAGGCGGGTGCGTTTAAGAATTTGAAACGGTTGATTTAGCAAAAAGTTTCTATTTTGAAAATTTTTACTTTTTACAGTATGCTTATTTTTCGTGTTATTTAGGTTTTAAGACATGCTCTTTCGCATAGAAAAAGATTAATAGTTGTAGCGGTGATCAAAATGCAAAATCCGCTATTTTAGAGGGTGCGTTTAAGAATTTGAAACGCACTGTATAAGTGCGTACAACAGTACACTCAAAATTCTAGACTTTTGGCTAACAAAAAGTGAGCTGAAACTGGAAAATAGTCCCTTTTTGAAAAAACTTTAAGCTGGAAAATCCTACTTTTCTCTAAAATCTCTAAAATTTTAGGAGAAAGCTGTACTCATTTTTTACAAGTAATTTCTTGGAGTTGAATTGTAAATAATAGAAGAAAATGTTCTTGAATTAGTGTTCTTGAAATGTTCTTGTTCTTGAAAATGTTCTTGTTCTTGAAAATGTTCTTGAAAAAATGAGCTAAATGCAATAGTTAATGCTTTTTATTTAAAGCAAATCACACTTTTATCGGCTAATTATTCATTTCTAAATGAAAATTCGAAAATTTACATTTTAATTTGCTTATTGAAGCGCTAGTTTTTCTCTAGTTTCACTAAATCCCTTCCAATGAAGCCCTTGATCACAAAAAGTTGAGCTTTCATGCTTGAAAACTCAAAATTTCCACCCTAAATCGATAATAAAACGAATTCTCATCTTAATTTTATATATCATTTTTTAAAGTCTTTCCCTTTTCCATCTGGTTTTCCATGTGTTCCCAAATAGCTAGTCATTTTTTCTCTCTATGTCCCTTCAACCGCACAAAAAAAACACCAAATTGAGGTCAATTTTCAATTTCCCCACAATCATCTCTTCAATTTTGTCTATTTTGTCTATTTTTTTCATTTTCAATTATACTTTAAGGATTAATAGTTAGATTTTCAGATATTTTAATGGATAAAGGCTACGATGAGGACAATCAGGGAAGGCTTAAGCCTAGTGATCGGTAGGAAACAATTTGAGCTTTCGCTAAAATGTCTTTCGCTAAAATGTCAATTGTAGTAAATCTTGTAGTAAATACCGTAATCTTGTCGCTAAATCCTAGATTTGTCTGTTCATCTAAAAATAGATAAAATAGGGTTAAAAAGCTAAAGCTGTTAAGCTAAAAATAGAAAGTTAGTTAAAAAGAGAAAGTTTGAAAGCAAGATTACGGTTTTTGAAACCAAAAATGCTTTAGAAAATCGAGAAAATTGCTTAAACAACAATTGCTATTATCATCCATTTAAATCCATCATTTCTATTCAATCAATTTTTTAAATTACACAAGTTGATGTCCGAGACAGGAATCGAACTCGGACCGTTCACCTGGTTGGCCAGCGTGCTAACCACTCGACCAAAAAAACCACTTGACTACGCCCCTGTTAGAAATTAAATTTTTTTTGCCATTTTTGTATCTCAACTTTAATTTATATTAGAATCAAATCCCAGCTATTGAAAATGCTTTAAAAAGCAAAAATTCTACGTTTTAGAAGACTCGAACCAGCAATCCCGTCTTTTTTAGCCTTTGGCCGAGTGGTTAGCACGCTAGCTAACGGCGTGAACGGCACGAAAAGCGCGAACGGCGCGAAAGGCACGAACGGCACGAACGGTGCAAACGGCACGAACGGCGCGAACAGCACGAACGGTGCAAACGGCGCGAACAGCACGAACGGCACGAACAGCGCAAACAGCACGAACGGTGCAAACGGCGCGAACAGCACGAACAGCGCGAACAGCACCAACAGCGAGAACAGCGCAAACAGCACGAACAGCGCGAACAGCGCGAACAGCGCGAACAGCACGAACAGCACGAACAGCGCGAACAGCACCAACAGCGAGAACAGCGCAAACAGCACGAACGGCACGAACAGCGCGAACGGCGCGAAAGGCACGAACAGCACGAACGGTGCAAACGGCGCGAACAGCACGAACGGCACGAACAGCGCAAACAGCACGAACGGTGCAAACGGCGCGAACAGCACGAACAGCACGAACAGCACGAACGGTGCAAACGACGCGAACAATCCGAGTTCGATTCCTGTCTCGGACATCGACTTGTGCAACTTGAAAAACTGATTGAATAGATATGATGGATTCAAATGGATGACAAATATTTTGACTGAATAAAACTGACTAAACCTTTTCGTATAGACATTTGAATACACCATTTCAGAAAAAAAAGCCGTTCACAGCCGGGGCTTGATCGTGGCTTCGATCGGGTGAAGAGTTTGACGAGGAAATTCTCCGCCAAAGCCTCAAGTCGATCAAGCAGGTACATTGGATACAGTTTCTATAAATAAAAATGGTAAAAGCGTTAAATTTCTTTATTCTGGAAGTGCGTCTTCCAGAATAAAGTGCGTCTTCACTACCGTAAATACTGTAATTGGACCCCACCCGCATAATGACGGTGCGGAGTGTTGTGTAGTCTAGCTTTGAACGAGTTTTTCTCGACACTGGTTTATGCTAGAATGCGCGTTTGGGTGTCAAAAAATAGCTGAAATTCAGGGCTATTTTTTGAAACCAAAACGAACATTGTAGCATAAACCAGTGTTCAGGGCGACTACGCAACACTCCGCACCGTCATTATGGGGGTGCGGAGTGTTGCGTAGTCTAGCTTTGAACGAGTTTTTCTCGACACTGGTTTATGCTACAATTCGCGTTTAGGTATCAAAAAATAGCCCTGAATTTCAGCTATTTTTTGATACCAAAGACGCATTTTTGAAAGTATGGGTGCTTTGCAAAAAAGGAAATACTAAAAAAACTTTTGCGACTACCCGACTGTACGAGGGGGGTGGGGTACTATTACAGTATTTACGGTATTTCTTTTCGTAACTATTTCTAACTATTTAGCTCAATTATTGTTTAACATTTCGCAATATTTCTTTTAATTTTTTAACCTTTTTATCATTTATCAATAGTTTTTACTATTGGAATTAAAATCTGAAATTCTTTGGGCAATGTTTCAACTGATCTGCAGCTAGGCTGGGTCAAGAATCAAGTCCAGAAGTTGGCCTAGCCTAACCTGGACCCGGATCCATTAACTGTTAAATTTTCTGTCCACCAAGCTTTTCTGCTACCTCGAGTTTTGCCAAATTTAGCAAACTTTCGTTTTGCAAAACAGGTCCACCAACGCATTTAGCAATTTTGGATTTGCTAAACACCTTCGAGAGTGTTTAGCAGTGCCACCAGCTTTGAAAAACACTTATAGCTCTGCTCTAGACAAAGATATCAAAAAACTACTCAAAGATTCGAACTCCGACAAACTTTGGCTACAAAAGAAGTAAAAATTCAGCCAATTTTGAGCAGTTAGCATTTAATAAAGTTGCTAAATGGTAAATTGGTAAATCGATTTTGCAAAATTGGTAAATGCTAGACTGTTAGATCTATTTAGATGTTTAGATTAGTAAATTGCTAGATGGTAAATGGTAAATGATAAATGCTAGATGATAAATGCTAGACGATAAATAGTATATGGTTTCATGAATCCGGATCCTGACCAAGATCTGGCTCCAGATCCAACACGATTTGATCCGGATACCTTTCATGGATCAGTTCAGGCCTTCTTGGCCTTCTTTGGCCGAAAGAAATCCCTGAAAATTTCGATTTTATAGGCTGGCTTAGGCTTAGGCTTAGAAAATCATCGAATATCGACTTCCATCAATGCAGAAAACCATCCAAATGGTATATATTTTCTATGCAAGATTTCTAACAATCCCCAAATCAATCACTGTGCCTTTTCCAGTGCTTTTTCCAATTCAGGCTCAGGCTGAATTCAGGCTCCACTCCAATTCAGGCTCAGAAAAGAGGACTTTCCAGAGTCTAACTCCTAGTTAAATCAGTGCAGAAAACCATTCAATCATTTTTTCAAATTAATCAATGTTTTTCGGGCTGTACCCATGCGGAATCTCTCACCAAAGGCTGGGGGATGGCTTGTTGTGCTCTCGGAGAAGGCTGGCTACCCCTACCCAGCCCTGTCCAACCCAACCCCAGCCTCTCCCCCCGCCGGTGTGCGTGGTTGGGGTCCTCCTTTCCCCTTTACCCTCTACGATCTCTCCTCGAAAAGATCGCGTTGTTTGTCTAGAGTCTCGTCTGTCAGAGTCTCCTTTCCCCCTATCACATGTTTTGACCGATTTCCTCCCCACTAGTTCTTACTTTTCTTTCTTTTCCTTTTTTTTTCAAAGCTCCTCCTTTTTGGGCCCTCAAAATGAACTTTTCTATTCGATTTTTTCTTGCCCTTTTAGACTAAGATCCGGTTTTTGTTTTGTGAGAGATCAGGGAGATTTTGTTTTTTTGCTTTCCATTCGATTTTCTAAGAATAGATTTAAAGATTTAGATCTAGAGGTAAAATTGGATTTCTTTTCATAATAAAATTCACTTTCTTTTTCATTATTACTGGAATTTTTATCCTTTATTGTTAGGTTTTTGAATCCGAAAGTAAAGCTGACAGAGTAGGCTGATAGAAAGCTAATAAAAAGCTGACAAAGCTAATAAAAAGTTGGCGAAAAGCTGGCAAAAAGTATTTAATAGCTAAAATTTAAATGATTTCAATATTCTAGATAAATTTTCTAAACCAAATCCTTGTGATCTTTGTTATTTTAGCAAGGCGACCCTTAATGCAATCAAATACAATAAACAGTTGGGAAAGGTAGATGAATCCCTGAAGAAGAATAGGCCCTCCAAGTCAAAGATCGTTCTCATCCACGACAACGCGCGCCCTCATGTTGCAAAACTGACTCGCTCTAAAATAAATAGCCTTGTTTGGGAACTTTTGACAAATTTTCAAAAAGCTTTAGCAACCCATTATTATTTAAAATCATAGCTACTTGTTTGCTTGATCGTTCTGTTGATGACTGAAGAGGTGAAGAGATCTAGAGAAAATGATTACTCTATGTTAAATAACTTGTCTGCTTTAAAGCGCTCTATCTAAGTCTTCTGGTGCTGCTAACAAGGGAAGTGCCCCAGCTCGCCCTCGCCGAGTTTCCACTAATTCTAAGCCTAAGCTGACAGAGTAGGCTGACGGAAAGCTGACGGAAAGCTGACAAAAGCTGACAAAAGCTGGCAAAAAGCATTTAATAGCTGAAATTTAAATGATTTCAATATTCTAGATAAATTTTCTAAACCAAATCCTTGTGATCATTGTTATTTTCGAAACAAATAATTCCTTGCATAAAAAATTCAAAGCAGGATCGTTGTTTACGATGGGTTTACACAAAAAAAAATGTGTGTGTGTGTGTGTGTGTGTTTTGTCTTTCTCAGCTTGTTTACCCCAAAATGAACTATAATTGAATGGCTATTTAAAAAAAAGGAAACAAAAAGGCAGACTATGTGCGCTTTTTTTTTTCGATGATATCACTTTCCTTTCTACTCAGACACACCTCGTGACTCAAAAAAACCTTCAGATTTCATTATACCATTCTTCTTTTATATTTATTGGGTTGGGGACTATGACTCGGCGCCAAACTTTAAAGGGACTTTTTGCACACATAAAGCCTTCTTTAAATATACGTTTGGTTTCATCAAAAGGATCCACTATTTCTCTACAAAATCACTTTTGAGAGATTCCACAAAGCTTTTCTTTCGTGGAGTTTATGGACTCCCAAACACAGCTAGTCAAAATGGCAAAGAGCCCGACTCATCATTTGAACAGTTTCTTTCACATAAACCTTCTTTGGTGTTTATATAAAAAAGATAGAGCACATTCAATTACTTAAGTTGCCAAATTTGCAGGAAGATCCCACCAATTGTTTTTTCTAGATGACAGTTTGTAGTTTTTGTGAAAAAATGGCTTTTTCTTGAGCGGAGGCGCTGTTTGAATTTTCTTTTAAATGTCATTTTGTAGAGAATTAGTTAACCATTCTACTGATATCAAACGCATATTATTTGACGAAGTCGAATAGAAGTTTTAGACATTTTTTTGATTTTCGGCGCCGAGTCATAGTCCCCAACCCAATAGTAGTCTATTCATAAATCATTGTTTAGTCAAATCATTGTTTAGTATGTTTAGTAGAAGAAGAAGACAAAAAATCAACTCATAAATCACTTGCCGTTTACTTTTTTTAAATATTTCTCTAAATAAACCTTTCTAAACCTTTTCTAAACCCTTTTAAACTAAAAAAAACGTAAATTTGAAGCAATGATTGCATTAGAAAGGATGTGTTTGCATTTTTGAGCATAAAGAATACAACAAACTAACCTAATCTAATAGCTTAAGCTTTTAAAAAAACCCCTTTTCTTTGATCTTTTTGATATTATGATTCTTTTATCTCTTCATTTCTCAAGATAGCCAATGGCTACGACAATTCTCAATTTTCATCGCACCAATCGATCCAAAAACCAAAGCACATTCAAAGAATGCAAAAAGCGAGAGTTATTTGTTTGTTCTCACACTATCACACTCTTCTTTTTCTCTTGTTTTTCACTCATGTTTACAATTTTTTTGCCTAGAAAATAGAAAAATATCGATTTTTTTGGCCTCTGGCGCCTTTTCGGAGAAAGGAATGAAGAATTAAACATTTAAAATACCATTTTTTTGAGCCTTTTTAAAGCTAAACCTCTTTGAAATTTAGCTTTGACTTTTAGCTTTTAATTTATTATAATTTATTCATTTGTTATCTACCGTAAATACTGTAATAGTACCCCAACCCCCTCGTACAGTCGCGTAGTCGCGAAAGTTTTGTAGTATTTTTCAAAGCGTCTGTGCCTTCAAAAAATTCGTTTTTGGTATCAAAAAATAGCTGAAATTCAGGGCTATTTTTTGATACCCAGACGCGCATTGTAGCATAAACCAGTGTCGCGAAAAACTCGTTCAAAGCTGGACCACCCAACACTCCGCACCCCCATAATGACGGTGCCGATCGTTGCGTAGTCTAGCTTTGAACGAGTTTTTCTCGACACTGGTTTATGCTAGAATGCGCGCTTAGGTATCAAAAAATAGCCCTGACTTTCAGCTATTTTTTGATACTATACTTAAAGCTATTTAGGAAAGACCGCAACCGTGGCGGAATGTCCTTAAACAATGATGGGCGAGACGTGAAAGGTCAAATCAAAATCGGGCACTATATCTTGAAGGATACTCTCGGAGTGGGGACATTTGGAAAAGTAAAAGGTTGGTAAAAATACAGTAGAGCTTTGGTAAAGATAACAGGATACAGTTTTGCATCAGCTTTACATCATTTTTGGCCTCGTTTTTGGACTATAGCTTGACTGTAGCTTGGCTGTATCTGGGTGTAGCTTGGCTGTAGCTTGGCTAAAGCTTGGCTAAAGCTTGGCTGTAGCTTGGCTGTAGCTGGCTGTAGCTGGGTGTAGCTGGGTGTAGCTGGCTGTAGCTGGGTATAGCTTGGCTGTAGCTTGGCTGTAGCTTAGCTGTAGCTTGGCTGTAGCTTGGCTGTAGCTGGGTGTAGCTTGCCTATAGCTTGCCTATAGCTTCGCGAATCGGTTTAATTCCTTTTTAACATAAAAATTGCGGTAATTTTCTATAGACAATTTCTTTATACTTTCTATACTTTATTCTATAGAGAACTTTACAAATTCTAGAATGTTTTTAACATTTTTATTAAAGACTTGAAAGATTTCCTTAAAAAAACCCCTTCCAAAGCAAAATTCAAGCTCTTTCTAGTTCATTTTCAAACTAAAATCGGTTTTCTCTGATAAATTTAAGCTTTAAGAGTATCATTTGGATAATTCTTTAAGTTAATCTTGAGATTAATAATGAAATTTGCTGATGACGATGAAATTAACGATGAAATTTAACAGTTTCAAGAAAAAATCATCTTCAAAAAGCCATTTTCAAGAAAAATAAATGCCCAGAGCTCATAAAAAGCCATATTCTTGTAGATTTTTGTTGAAAAACATTTGTTTTAAGTTTTTTAACTAGAAAAGATTGAAATAAACCATTTGAGAGGCTTTAGAAGTTTATGAAAAGCTAGAGATTGAGTGTCAAAGGTTGGGCGAATCTTTCAAGCTTTTAATCAAAAAATCTCAAAAGCATTCTACAATTTGTATAAAATTCTCTGTAGAAAATTATTGTAATTTTTATATTAAAAAGGAATTAAACTGGTTGGCAAAGTTACAGCTAAGTTACAGCTCAAAAACTGCAATGAGGCCACCCTGTAGTTCTTGATAAGATTTCTCTACAATTTCTCTATGATTTCGAGAGTTTTTTGGAACATTCTTAATTGGAAATTAAACCAATAATAGTATTAATCTCATAGTTTAATGGCGAATAAGATTGTTCTTGAGTTTTTTAGTCTAGTTTCGAGTCTGTCTAGGTTCGAGTCTAGTCTAGGTTCGAGTCTGGTCTAGGTTCGAGTCTAGTCTAGGCTCGAGTCTAGTCTAGATTCGAGTCTTCTCTAGGTTCGGGTCTAGTCTAGTTTCGAGTCTAGTCTAGGTTCGAGTCTAGTCTAGGTTCGAGTCTAGTCTAGTCTCGAGTCTGATCATTGCCATCAAACGGACCAAGGTCTAGATCTAATTCAAATCTTTCATTACCAGTTTTGTCTTGTCATTCAAACTATAGCTTCCAAATTTCAGTCGGAATTCATGAAGTAACCGGCTACAAAGTCGCTGTCAAAATCCTCAACCGGCAAAAGATCAAAACGCTCGATGTTGTGGGGAAAATTCGACGAGAGATCCAAAATCTATCGCTTTTTCGTCATCCACACATCATTCGATTGTAAGTTTGACTCAAAAAACGATTTTTCTAGCCGAATTTTTAGATATCAAGTAATCTCCACTCCAACTGATATCTTCATGATTATGGAATATGTGTCTGGTGGAGAGCTCTTCGATTACATTGTCAAGAATGGAAGGGTTTGTCTTGAACTCTTGAAAATTTTAAGCTGACTTTATTTCTGGCTTAAATGATTCAATTACGCAATTGGTTTTTCACTAGCTTGTCAAAATTAGATTCGTTTTATTACTCAAGAAATGTTTAAGCCGGTTCATTTACCCTTTTTTTTACCAAATCAAAGTTGAATCAGTTCATTTCATCAGAAATCCTTTGCGCAATATTTCAACTGAGCTATGCTGAGCCAAGAATCAAGTCCAGAAGTTGGCCTAGCCTAACCTGGACCCGGGTTCATTAACTGCTAAATTTTCAGTCCACCAAACATCGCAATTTTTATGTTAAAAAGGAATTAAACCGGTTCGCGATGCTACAGCCAAGCTATAGTTCAAAAACTACGCCAAGAACGACGTAAAGCTGACGTAAAGCTGATGTAAAACTGCTACCATGAGTTTTGCTAAATTTAGCAAACTTCCGTTTTGCAAAACAGGTCCACCAACGCATTTAGCAATTTTGGATTTGCTAAACACCTTCGAGAGTGTTTAGCAGTGCCACCAGCTTTGAAAAACACTTATAGCTCTGCTCTAGACAAAGCTATAAAAAAACTACTCACTGATTCGAACTCCGACATACTTTGGCTATAAAAGAAGTCAAAATTTAGCCAGTTTTGAGCAGTTAGCATTTAACCAAGTTGCTAAATGGTAAATTGGTAAATCGATTTTGCAAAATTGGTAAATGCTAAACTGCTAGATCTATTTAGATGTTTAGATTAGAAAATTGCTAGATGGTAAATGCTAGATGATAAATGGTATATAGTTTCATGAACCCGGATCCTGACCAAGATCTGGCTCCTGACCAAGATCTGGCTCCTGACCAAGATCTGGCTCCTGACCAAGATCTGGCTCCTGACCAAGATCTGGCTCCTGACCAAGATCTGGCTCCTGACCAAGATCTGGCTCCTGACCAAGATCTGGCTCCTGACCAAGATCTGGCTCCTGACCAAGATCTGGCTTCAGATCCAACACGATTTGATCCGGATACCTTTCATGGATCAGCTTAGGTCTCCTGGCCTTCTTTGGCCGAAAGAAATCCTTAGAACTTTTCGAATTTATAGGCGCATTTAGCAATTTTGGATATAGCAAGCTTTTGCTAAAAAACCTTCAAGTGAAAATTTTAAGCTGACTTTATTTCTCGCTTAAATGATTCAATTACACAATTGGTTTTGCACTAGCTTGTCAAAATTAGATTCGTTTTATTACTCAAGAAAGGTTTAAGCCGGTTCACTTACTCTTTTTTTTACCAAATCAAAGTTGAATCAGTTCATTTACTCAGCATTTTCAGTTACCCAATCAAATTTGGGTTGGTTCATTTAACCAGCACAGGTTCTGGTTCAATTACCCAACTCAAAATCAAAGAAAGAAAGAAAGGCTATCATTTATCGGCTGTTAATTCTTCCTTTTTTAGTTAAAAACCCCGGAAGCTCGGCGCTTCTTCCAGCAGATTATTTCTGGCGTTGACTATTGTCATCGCCACATGGTCGTTCATCGAGATTTAAAACCCGAAAATTTACTACTAGATGAACATCGAAATGTGAAGATTGCTGATTTTGGTGAGTTTTTCAATTTCATAATTCTAAATCAATTATTTAGGTCTTTCAAATATTATGACGGATGGAGATTTCCTGAGGACTAGTTGCGGGTCGCCAAACTATGCAGCACCTGAAGTGATCAGTGGAAAGTAAGGCTTAGCTAATTCTTTTTCTAATGCTAAAGAATGATAGCCTTTCTAGTTGGTTTAAATGAAAATTCTAGACTCTACGCTGGCCCAGAGGTTGATGTTTGGTCTTGCGGGGTCATTCTTTATGCGCTTCTTTGTGGAACACTTCCTTTCGATGATGAACACGTGCCAACTCTATTCAGAAAGATTAAAGGTTTGGAATCTACAAGAGAAAGTTAATGTAAATACTTTAAACAATACAGATCTTAGCTCTGGGTTCACTTTTCCAGTCAGAGTCTGAGCCGATTGCTGGCTTCTGGCTCAAGCAGAAGCCGATTGCTGGCTTCTGGCTCAAGCAGAAGCCGATTTCTGACTTCTGGCTCAACCAGAAGCCGATTTCTGTCTTCTGGCTCAAGCAGAAGCCGATTTCTGGCTTCTGGCTCAACCAGAAGCCGATTTCTGGCTTCTGGCTCAACCAGAAACCGATTTCTGGCATCTGGCTCAACCAGAAGCCGATTTCTGGCATCTGGCTCAACCAGAAGCCGATTTCTGGCTTCTGGCTCAACCAGAAGCCGATTTCTGGCATCTGGCTCAACCAGAAACCGATTTCTGGCTTCTGGCTCAAGCAGAAGCCGATTTCTGGCTCCTGGCTCAACCAGAAGCCGATTTCTGGCTTTTGGCCCAACCAGAAGCCGATTCTTTAGGCTTAGGTCAAGCCATTAATCAAGTTAGATCTAGGTCTAGCACGGAACTAGTATGCTTATTATATATTTATCCTTTAGCTGGAGTCTTCCCTGTTCCCGACTACCTCGATAAATCAATCGTCAACTTGCTCCATCACATGATGACAGTCGATCCAATGAAGAGAGCAACGATCAAACAAGTCATGTGAGTGATTTGGCTTTGATTTTGACTAGTTTTTGATATAGACTGTACATCGAATCAATTTCCTTATCAAGTCTATTCTTAATCAAGCCTTTCAGAAGTCACGAATGGTTTCAAAAGGATCTGCCTGCTTATCTCTTCCCACCAGTGAACGAATCCGAAGCGAGCATCGTTGACATTGAAGCTGTTAGAGAAGTTACTGAGGTAAGCAACTGAATTGTGAAGAAAACTATCATATAAAGATATAAATCAATTCCCTTTAGCGTTACAACGTTCCCGAAGAGGAGGTGACTTCAGCTCTCCTTGGTGACGATCCTCATCACCATCTCTCAATCGCTTACAATTTAATTGTCGACAATAAAAGAATTGCTGATGAAAGTATGTCGTTTTTGTCTTAAATTTAAAGAAAACTTCAATAGAACCCAAATTTTAGCGGCAAAGCTCTCAATCGAGGACTTTTATCAAGTGAATGCGAACAATCCTGATGGAATGCGTCATCCGGAGAGAATTTCAGGTAAAGATAAAGAAATAAAGCAAAGAATGATAATACTAGAAGCTGTAAATATCGAAATATTATTGGGCTTTCAGCTAATGTTAGCTCAAAGATCACTGCTTCACTTGAGAACGCCGACTCGATCTCACCAACACAGAAAGACGCAAAGACTTCGCAAATCAAGAAAGCCAAATGGCATCTAGGAATTAGAAGCCAGAGTCGACCAGGTAGTAAACAAATTTCTAAAAAATTATAGATTGTACGGTTCTTAGTTCTACGTATAGTACGGTTCTTAATAAAGAAGTGAAAGAATTGGAAAGAAAAGATAGATTTCTGGAGAGAGATTGAACCCAAGACCTTTTAAAATTTCCCACTTCCCAACCAGCTTTGCGAACTTCCCAACCAGCTTTGCGATCTTTTGCTTTAACCACTGAACTATCCAGTAGCTTAACTTGCCAAGAGAAAAAGGAAAAGATAAGGAGGAAGAACAAAGGAAGGCAAAATAGGGCACAACGGTACTGTAAAGTCCCAGTATCCAGTCTTGTTACAATTTCCTGGGTAAAGTTGAAAGCTGAATACCCTCACCTTAATATTCAGTCTTGTTGCAGTATCTGTGATGATATAAGGTAAAACCAAGCCCTGCTGGTATCCGAAGTAAAGCTGATGATCAGCTGATTACCGTAGAGCTGATGACCAGCTGATCACCGTAGAGCTGATTATCCGCTGACCACCGTAGAGCTGATTATCAGCTGACCACCGTAGAGCTGGTCATCAGCTGATCACCCCATTTTGTGGCGACATATTGAGCCGAAGAGTTAGTAGTAATGTTCTGAAGTAAGAGAAATAGAAAAACCCCCACAATAAGCACTAATCTTGAGCTTTGCATGATAGGCTTTCTGCAAAGAACTCTCAATTTGTCTATTTTGTAATATTGAGTCAAATTAGTTCCAGCTTTCAATAGGATTTAGTGATAGAACACAACGACATTGAGCAACGTGACCGATAACTATCTTTGAAAAAGGTGTAAAGGGCTAAAATCAAATTTTGAACATCTAAAATCTCAAAATCTCATCTGTCAACTGATTAGAGTGCTTTCGTATTGGATTTAGCGCTTTATTAGGAATGAAAATAGGCTTTCAAATCACAAACGTTAGAGTCATTAATCCTTATAAACCTTGAATGAATGATTCTTGTTTGAATAATTGAATGTTCTTGAATGAACGATTCTTCACAAGTACTTCTAGATTATCATAGATTGAGAAATATAACGGTAAAGTACTAACTTCTCAAACAATTCCAAATTTCCATTTTCAGAAGACATCATGCAAGAAGTCTACCGCGCGATGAAGACGCTTGACTTCGAGTGGAAGGTTGGTAATGAAAGAATCTAGGAATTCAAAGCTAAAAGGGCAGAGCATGGCAATAAAGTAATATTGTACTAAAGCAAGTGTCTGAAAGTAAAGAATTAAAGCCTAAAGTTAGAGCCTAAAGAATTAAAGCCTAAAGATCTCTCAAATTTGTCGAAATCATTGAAAAGTTTAGGTCCTTAACCCATACCACGTGATCGTTCGCCGTCGTCCCGAGAATTCAACCCAGGATACTCCGAGAATGAGCCTTCAACTCTACCAAGTTGACAATAGAAGCTATCTTCTTGATTTCAAAAGTCTCGTTGAAGAAGAACGTGAGTTAAACAAATCAATTTTCTTCTACAAAAGCTATTCAGCCAGCTCAGCGTGCTCTTCTCGTCATCCATCGATCTCTTATGCAACAAAGCCAGCTTTGAGAAACAATCGAGCACAGAGTTTACCTATGCCAATGGATGTTGGGTTTAAACCACAAGATGTAAGTTTTATGATAAGTTTAATTGGATTGATTTGATTGGATTGGAGTTGGATTGAATTCATTTCATAGACTAGACTTGTCACCATTTTATGCACTGAGAAAAGACACTTTTCTAGACACTTTTCTAGACACTTTTCTAGAGCATTCTTCTACCACATCATCGTTATCATTATCTATGTTGTGTCTTAAAAAAGAAAGAAATAAGTGCTCTAGAAAAGGAGTGTTTAGGCTTTAGGCTTAGGCTTACGCTTTAGGCTTTAGGCTTTAGGCTGTAGGTTTTAGGCTTAAGCTCAGGCTTAGGCTTTAGGCTTAGGTTTAGGCTTAGGCTTAGGCTTAGGCTCTAGGCTTTAGGCTTTAGGCTTTAGGCTTTAGGCTTTAGGCTTAGGCTTTAGACTTTAAGCTTTAGGCTTAGGCTCAGGCTTAGGCTCAGCTTGTAATAGGTGAAAGGAAAGAAAAAGAGAAAACGGGCACTCTTATCATACTAAACAATCTGTTTACATTGGTGATTCAATTCAAAAATGGCGATTCAAGCACCAACGGCTAGCTGCTAGTGATTGAATCACCATCGGCTAGTCGATGGTGATTCAATCACTAGCGGCTGAAAATCACGAGCGGCTGCGACATATAGAACATAGAGAAAATGTTTTTTATTCTAAATGTTATCGTTTTAATTTCTATGTAAATTTTATTGCTTGAAGAGAAGCCCAGAATAATGAAGAGAAGTCCAGAATAATCAGAATGTTATATGGAAATCGATAAATGCAAATTGATAAATGCAAATTGATAAAAGGCAAATTGCTAAAAGGCAAATTGCTAAAAGGCAAATTGCTAAATGTAAATCGTTAAATGCAGGGAGATACGCAATAAGTATCAAAAGCAATATAATCCGGGAGATAAGCAATAAGTAATTTCCAGGTCGAGTCCCCTCCGCCATCACCGGGTGGTGCAAAGCTTTCTCAAACGATGCAATTCTTTGAGATGTGCGCCTCGCTGATCGGCACTCTTGCTCGTTGATTTGTCTTTGTCTTTGTAAATTATATAAAGCTAAAAATTCTCAATCTCCTTTTATCTTTGTTTTCTTTGAATAATTTCAATTTCTCCAATCACCTAACGGAAATATTGCGTAACTGTGATACTCCAAAAAGGATTTTTTACAGATTTTTGCAGATTTTTGCTTATTTTTGCAGATTTTTTCAATAAAAAAAGTAAACTTTTGAATTTCTTAAGTCAAATCTAGATTCTCGAAGGTTTAGAATGATTTTATATGTGGAAATTGAAAGGGATTTTCGAGATTTGACACTCTTTTCACTCTTTAATTGGTTCAAATGTTTTTTTTCTTCGTTTTTCTTCGTTTTTTCTATGGTTTATTATTTCTCTTTCTATCGTTTTGCTATTTTGTTTTTCTTTTTTTTCATTTAGTGATAGATTTAGCCCCTGTGCTTGTAAATATGATACCGGTAAATAAAAGAAAGTTATGAGAATACAAAGAAATTTGTAGAATCGACTAGATATTAGACTAGAATCGTGACTCAAATCTTGACCCTGAATCCTTCAGTTTGGGATGCGAGCCGCTTTAACCTTATCAACGAGGATGATTCTGCTTAAGAATGGCCGAATAGCACAAAAGGTTATAGGTTATAGGCCGAATAGGTTAAAATGGTTTCTCCCCAAAAGCGCTTTCCCCCCAAAAGCCCAAACGTAACAAGAACACGTAGTATCCAACAATAGATTAATACTCTTGAGAAGAACGGATCGGATTCATACTACGTCGATGGTGACACAAATGTTAGTAAAAACCTCTCTACAATGTTAAACCAGTCATCTAAAGAGGATTTAAAACCTGAAGGGTAGCATAAAGTAAAGTGAATTTATAACGTTACTGTTTATTAGTACAGAACCGAAATGCAACAATACCCATTACAAAAACAGTATGCGCATCAAAAATGAAACAACAAAGTCCCCCAAGAAAGAAGGCAAAAACCCGCAGACCAAAAAAATCATTTCGGAGGACGAAAAATGCGACGCGAATAATTGCAAAATAGCAACGCAAATAGGAAGGAAACGGACGCGACCAATCAATTGCCGAAATTGCGGCTTTAAATCTAGCTAAGGTGGGAATATCACGAACATGATCAAGCTCATTATTCTCTAGTTGGTTGCGATTCAGGAAGGATTTCTCAAGCGTCACCGATCTCTCCCTTTCGAATGCATTATTCACTCACGTACCCAATCCCGTTCATCTACTCCTTCCTTTTACTCTAAGGAACATTCTACTGAAATCCTCTGAACCATAGTTGCTCATCATCTTTGAGACCGGATATCAAGCTACCTTTTTCAACTAACTAGATCAACCAACGAGAAATCAACCAACTATCAACCAGAAGACAGAACCGAAATGCAACAATACCCATTACAAAAACAGTATGCGCATCAAAAATGAAACAACAAAGTCCCCCAAGAAAGAAGGCAAAAAGCCGCAGATCAAAAAAAATCATTTCGGAGGACGAAAAATGCGACGCGAATAATTGCAAAATAGCAACGCAAATAGGAAGGAAACGGACGCGACCCTTCAATATACAGCTATTTTGTATCAGAAGAAAAAAAATGACTCCAGAATCACTGGGAATACGCTGCAAAGGCTTAGAGATCATCACCTAGCTAGAGTACAATAGATTTTCAACATTTTATTATTGGTCTGAAAGGATCTGACCTTGATTAGCTGGATGTCAAGATGAATAGCTCTGTTTTTCATAATACAATTGCCTAAGAAAAAATGCTTAATGAATCACCTGATACAATCACAATCACCTGATAAAAAATAGAATAAAAGGCAGTAGAATGTCAGTTGTTAATGGTCATTTCAAGGTTTATAAATCAGATTTTCCAGAAACTTTCCCAGAAAGAAGAAACACTAAAGCGAATCAGGCGAATCACTACTTTAAGCAACTCGAATCTCAATCGTTTGGCATATAAAACCAAAGACTAAGTATGATTGTGATTTGTATTTGGTAAAACGGGTAATCATATGCAAATTGTTTATGCAAGTTGACATTGGGCAAATAATGGTCAATAATTGTTACAAATTCAGATCGCCATTTATACAGACAGATGATTGATGAATTCCTTACAAGCCACCGAGCAAGTCACCAAGTCCCCTGGAATTGAATTCGTTTTGATTATCTGGTAACAAACTCACAATCCATTGGTGAGTCCACCAACAACTCCGGTAAGACCTCCAAGTCCGCCAGTCAATCCACCCAAACCACCAGTGAGTCCACCAACTCCACCAAGATCTCCAGTCAAACCACCAAGAGCATCAAGACCGGGAAGGACACTGAAATGAGATGAATGGGTTTCTGGATCAAGACTTACACAAGAAGTTTCCCAAGAAGTGGCTCGATCAATCCCTCGAGGAGTTGACACACCAAATTCTGGACTGTTTGGAGGAGGCCGATTTGTTGGACGAGCGAATCATCAACCAAAGACCAAACGGGTGAAAGAACTCCAGTCAAAATTTGAAGACAGAGACCCGAGTAGAGATTCGATTCACCGGTCAACACTCCAGAGAGAAGATATTCGACATTGGCCTCCAATTCCAATCCACATGGACCCATTGGGACGAGAACGACTGAGGGAAGTTCGAGACCGCCCTGGAATTGAGTGGATTGAATGTTGAGTCATTAATTGAATACCTTTAGGATCTCCAAGTGTTGAAGAGTGTATTTGTTGAACTTCGTTCCATTCACAGTCTCCTCAGTCTTGGTCAAGATGTTCACATGGCTGACTAAAGAAAAAAATAGGCAATAAAGTTGGACTATCTAGTCTTGCCTGGCAAGTAATCACTGTAATTCTTAGTCTTATTGAAACTCACTGAAATCCAAGATACAATCCAATACTTGAAGATCTGGAATAAGCGGGCATTTACAAGTCCCATTCACATTCGGAATTGGGATCTTTGGGGTAACAGTTGGAAGAGTGACTGATGGGAGAGACACTGGGGGAAGACTTCCAGCGAATAGAGGAGTGGCCAAGAAAGCGATGAAGAAGATTGAGGTGGACATTTTCTCAAAATTAGTTGAGAAATGAAATGGAATGTGGTGGTGATGATTCGGTGTTAAGCTCGACTTTTATAGTGGAACAAGTTGGTCAAAATATTTTTAAATAAAATGATCAAATAGCTGAGTTCGCTTTTATGAAAAACAGTCTGATTCTTGTTTTGTCAAAAATTTCCATATTTCTCTCTAAGTCTAAACGAACAGAAAAAGAACAGGAGAGGTATTTTTTGACAAAATGATCGATTGTTATTTTTAATCAAGGTTGTATGAGGTAAAAGAATGAAAGAGAGGCTTTTATATTAGTCTAACGATCAAATTTCTTTACTTAACAGTGTTAGTTTGAAGTTTTCACGTTTATCTAATCAAATTTTACTTTTTAAAATGGTAATTGAGTTATCTCATTGCTATTATTCATAGCTATGAGAATTTTCCTTACAAAAAACCTTACCAAAAGCATTTCCGTTCTTCCAATTTGGCCTGGATGACTAAAATAGCTCAAAGTTTTCATTCAAAACACCTCTCATTGTTCTCCACCGTTCAATCATCAATATGGAATCATCAATATGGAAATTTTGTTGCCAAAACAAGCAGCAGACACTTTTTTAATAAATCGTTCGTTTTTTTTGATCACTCTCGGTCCAAAAATGTGCCTTTTTGATCAGAGACGCTGATTGGGAAAATATTTTGACCAACTTGTTTCACTATAAAAGTCGAGCTTAACATCGAATCATCACCACCACATTCCATTTCATTTCTCAACTAACTTTGAGAAAATGTCCACCTCAATCTTCTTCATCGCTTTCTTGGCCACTCCTCTATTGGCTGTAAGCCTTCCCCCAGTGTCTCTTCCAACTGTTACCCCGAAGATTCCAATTCCAAATGTGAATGGAGTTTGCAAATGCCCACTCATTCCAAATCTTCAAGTATTAGATTGTATCTTGGACTTCAGTAAGTTTCAATATGACTGAGAATTACAGCGGTTGCTTGCCAAGACTGGATAGTCCTACTTAAACTTTATGAGCTATTTTTTCTTTAGTCAGCCATGTGAACATCTTGACCAAGACTGTGGAGACTGTGAATGGAACGAAGTTCAACAAATACACTCTTCAACACTTGGAGATCCTTAAGGTATTCAATTAATGACTCAACATTCAATCCACTCAATTCCAGGGCGGTCTCGAACTTCCCTCAGTCGTTCTCGTCCCAATGGGTCCATGTGGATTGGAATTGGAGGCCAATGTCGAATATCTTCTCTCTGGAGTGTTGACCGGTGAATCGAATCTCTACTCGGGTCTCTGTCTTCAAATTTTGACTGGAGTTCTTTCACCCGTTTGGTCTTTGGTTGATGATTCGCTCGTCCAACAAATCGGCCTCCTCCAAACAGTCCAGAATTTGGTGTGTCAACTCCTCGAGGGATTGATCGAGCCACTTCTTGGGAAACTTCTTGTGTAAGTCTTGATCCAGAAACCCATTCATCTCATTTCAGTGTCCTTCCCGGTCTTGATGCTCTTGGTGGTTTGACTGGAGATCTTGGTGGAGTTGGTGGACTCACTGGTGGTTTGGGTGGATTGACTGGCGGACTTGGAGGTCTTACCGGAGTTGTTGGTGGACTCACCAATGGATTGTGAGTTTGTTACCAGATAATCAAAACGAATTCAATTCCAGGGGACTTGGTGACTTGCTCGGTGGCTTGTAAGGAATTCATCAATCATCTGTCTGTATAAATGGCTATCTATCTATCAATGGCTAATTTATAACCACTATTCCACTCTTTCAAACCATTGCCTGTGTCTGTATAAACGATTTGCATCAAAAACTCATTTATATTTGAATCAAATGTCGACAAGGCAAGTTTGAAAGCAAAATAAACAGACAAGCACTGATAAAAATAGATTTAAATTTGTGCAAAATGGCTTTATCCATAAGAATTGTGCACATTCAATCAATCAGGTTTGTTAAAACGTCGATTTTAAAGTCAATTTTCAAGCTAAAATGCCGTTTTCAAATTGAAATTCCATCCAAACCAGCTGTGTTATAAAGAAGATAAAACAAAGCATTGCTTTGTGATCGTTTATTGCTTACACAAAAATGTTTATTTGATGTTCTTTGTAGTTTTGTTGTGTTTCACTTGTTGTAAGTGGCTTTGTGGTCCTTTAACCAAATCTTAAATCAAATTTTGGAAACTTCAGCTACCATTGTCAATAGAGAGCCTTCAAAGCCTGAAAATTCAGTTTCATTACTTGTAAAAAGCTTAGTACCGTTTTAGAACTGGATCAAGGCTAATCCAAATCCGGATGTGCAAATCCTGGCTAAGGCTTAGGCTGGCTCAGGCTTAGGCTCAGGCTTAGGCTCAGGCTTAGGCTCAGAATTCCTGATTTAGAAATGGCGACAAATGTAATTTCGAGTCCGTGGGAATGATCGGATGTGCAAATACACAAAAAGGATTGATAAGTTCAGTTAAACAGCTTCAGATGTTCAAATTTAACTATTTAATGAATAAATGAATAAAAACAATTTTTCCTATCCAAGAATTCAAGTTGTTAAACGGATTATCGAATTTAAATGCAAATTTAGCTCAATTGCAGAAATCTTTCACTAAAAACTTATCGAAATTCAGTGTACTTCTAATAATTTCTTGCGAAACTTTATTGAGGACCGGAGGCCTTCTTGGGACGCCTTATAGAGGCCTTTCTCCAGCCCCTTCCCATCCTCCCATGTGGTCTAGTGGTTAGGATTCGTGGTTTTCACCCACGCGGCCCGGGTTCGATTCCCGGCATGGGAAGTAATGTTTTTGTTTTTGGGAAATGATCGATGATTTTGAAAGCTTTTTTTCTTAAATTCTTGTTTCTTACATTCAAAGCTTTGGAGCTGTTTGATTTCAAAAAGAAAAATAAAAACAGCTTACTGATAAAATCAGTAAGCTTACTGTATTAGTTGATTTATGAACTAAACTGCTGGATCGTTTTCATCAAAGATTTCTTATGATTGACTCATCTGTCTAATTTGACTAATTAGAAGGATTTAGTTGAGATTGCAAGATTCGGCTAATAAGAAGCTAGAAACAGAAGCCGAGCCTGCTCCTCCAGAAGAAGCCGAGCCTGCTCCACAGTCTTGGTTAAGATGTTTACGTGGCTGACTAAAGACAACATAGCCGAGCCTGCTCCTCCATGAGAAGAAATTTCTCTTTTTTGCTTTTTTAAAGATCCAAGATTTAACCTAATTCATGTTGTCAACTTTAGAATAAATTTGTAAACATTTCTCTCCAGATTCCCGCAACTCAGAAGAATTCTTGTAAACAAGACTTCAACAAATCATCAAATCTTGTTCATTACCAAGAAAAAGCCTTTTTTTCAGTCATCCTTTCATCCTCCCATGTGGTCTAGTGGTTAGGATTCGTGGCTTTCACCCACGCGGCCCGGGTTCGATTCCCGGCATGGGAAGAGATTTTTTACAATTTTGTCGAATTCAACTTAATTTTGGATTTTGACGATAAATGCCGAATAAATGAATAAAAACAATTTTTCCTATCCAAGAATTCAAGTTGTTAAACGGATTATCAAATTTAAATGCCTCAAAAGTTGGTTCAAAACTTGGTTCAAAAGCTTTAAAATAAGACTTTCAGGCAATGAGAATTGTTTTGGTGTTGTATGGCTCAAGTTGTGAGTGCAGCTGATTGGCTTGATGGCATTTCCCTGGGTTTTAAAGTAGTCGACCTCTTAACCGATCAATAAAAAAATTCTTGGAATTGTATATAGTCTTAAAATGCAATTATTTATCATAAATAGAAAGGTTACTGTAGTTTTCTAAAAGCTTACATGTTTTAGTAAGGTTTTAGGTAAAAAGGAGGAGAATTTAACCTTGAAATGCACAATGTCAATGCACAAGGTTACGAAAAAGTGATCACTACGGAGATCACGCGAATCTTTGAAAAAGAAAACGGAGAAATGAAAAAGATTGGAGGAAACCTGAATAAATGGTTAACTTTTTGGAAAAACTGTTTCTCTCGTTTTCTTCGATCATTTAGATCTATTTGTGATTCGCTTTTACGTGCAGTTTATCGCTTTACACAAGGTTTTAAAGAAATGTTTAAAGATTTTCAACTTTTCATTACCCTAAAGTCGCGAGTATAAGTTCTGTTTGGTTTTCGCATGCAAATTGACGGCTGTCTCCGGTGCGGTGTGTCGAGGGTTCGAACCCCGCTGCAGCATAACTTTTTTGCTTTTTAAGAACAATAATAGAAGTAAATTTATTGAGGGTTATAACAATTTCATGCTGTTATTTGTTGCTCTGGGCGTGGCTCGGCGCGCTCCTCTCCAGTGCTCAGTCTTATGGATCCCTCCCTGGCCTCTTCATCCGGCCAAAGTCCACGTCGACGGTCGAAAGAGATGCTTTCCAGCGTCTTCTTCAACACTATCGTCTGGATGTATCCATGCACATAACAAATAGCAATGGTGATAGGCTGTCACCCTGTAGTCACCCTGTAGTCCTGTAGGCTGTCACCCGCGCTCCAAGAACAATAATAAAAGTTTATATAACAATAAAAGTCTATAAAAACCCAACAAAAAGAAATTCAAAGCAATTAAAGCGAATGTAAATTAAGGCAGAACTTATAATCGGATCAACTTATACTCGAGACTTTAGGGTAGTTCTACTGTTCGATTCGCTTTATTACAGAATACTGGCCTTTGTATAATACGATTGTATAGTTTATATTAGACTTTAGGCTTACTGTACTGTATTGTACTATGTAAAAAAGTACCAATAATACATGACAATGTGTAGAAGATATAGAAGTAAGCGATAATGCATGTAGCACAAAAATTTCAAGCACTTTCTTATCCGTTCTTCTCCTTTTCTTCACTCCCATCCAAATTCCAAACATTTTTTTCAAAAGAATTCCCGATTTCCCTTATCAAAAAACATTTTTTTCAAACAAACACTTAAAATTTTGCTCTTTTTTTGGAAGACTTTTAATTCCCAACAGCTTTTCCCTCATTTCCTTGTTAATTTCGATTGGTGAACGCTCACAAACTGGAATTCGGCTATTGAAGCAGGCTTTGGAGAGCTGGAATCGCTTATCCAGTTTCTCCCTCAAAGAAATGTTGCCAAAAAGTGATTTATTGACTTTTTGATTCAAAAAATCTTTATAGTTATCGTTATTTTATCATTAAACAAATTGATTATTAACCTTTTAATGAAAATTGATCATTAATCTGTTGATTTATTGATTTAATATATAAATTGCACATTAATCTGTTGATTTATCGACTTAAGAATATAAATCGATCATTAATCTATTGATTTATCGATTTGATATGTAAATTAAGATCCAAAATGCTAGAGAATCTTGAGAAGAAGCTAAAAATACGCGTAAATCTGATTTCTGTACTTTCAGTTCGATGTATGGGTTCTTCTATTACGATACTAGTACAATAGTTAGTTTTCTTCAAATTACGATAGTACAATAATTAGTTTAAACGGATTATCAATTTAAAAGCAAATTTAGCTCACTTGCAGAAATCTTTCACTTAAAACATCGAAATTCAATGTACTTCTCATAATTTCTCGCGAAACTTTACTGCGGACCACTTATAAGAACCTTTTTTCAGTCCCTTTCCATCCTCCCATGTGGTCTAGTGGTTAGGATTCGTGGTTTTCACCCACGCGGCCCGGGTTCGATTCCCGGCATGGGAAGTAATCTTTTGGTTCTTTCGATAAAATTAGCATAAAATAGTCTTGAATCTTTCACAAATTAGTAGATTAAGTTGTATGCAAAATTTTAGTGTTTTACGGTTAACGGGGGTGCCGAGGGGGGGGCAAGTCAAATTGGACAGATGAGTCAATCATAAGAAATCTTTGATGAAAAAGATTAGCCAACTTGCAACTCATTTTTAACTACCTTAAACTTATCAAATCAACAGGTTTTAATAAGATTTAGATAGCTTAGAACGTCATTTATTTGTTTCATTAAAAGTTATTAACAAAAACCTATCTCAAATTGGGCTGCAGAATGGTCAAAGCTCGGCCACCAGCGATAATCGTTCGACCACCTGGTGACTGTAAAGGTCCCGAATTTACATTTTACAGGTTGTTAAAGGAGAATTTTTACAAGCAAAATAAGCAATAACCTTTTAAAGTGTAAATTTTTAAGTACAATATACTGTGGCGAATTGCCACTGCTCCGTAGTTAGTCAAAATTCAATATACAAGTTAAAATTCAAAGTTGATGGATAAACTACCGTAATCAGTCACTAGACGATATTCAGTTGTCCGTTTGTCGTAGCTTGTGTACTTAAAAATCCATTATTTAAGCTTTGTCTTGAGTCAGTCGTGGGCTCCCTTTTCTATTCATCCCTTTTTTCACACGCAAGAGTTGAAGTAATTGTGATAGTGCCAGGTTGCTCCAGTTTGAGAGAAGTTTGCCCTAATAAGGGAAAGTTTTGATAAAGATTTGGTTCCTTTTCGGTATAGATTTGTTCCTTTTCGGTATACATTTGTTCCTTTTCTCTACAGATTTGGTTCCTTTTCTCTACACGTTTGGTTCCTTTTCTCTATTATGCGTTTTCAAGACATCTATCATTGAACCACAGTCACGGTCTCACAAGAAATTATAAAGATCAAAGTATAAATATATTTCTTATATACCTTTTTAAAAGCTATTGCCTCATTTCTTGTCCAATTTCAACAATTGAA